CCCGTTCTCGACTCATCACGTGAATTTCTCGTTCCCCCCCCCTACGCAGTAGGAAGGTACAGACACTTACTTGCCTTACAAGCTTTTTCTTCTTCTTTTTTCCCCTTCCCGGTTTAGATCTATGTACACAGCTTCCCAGGTAGGTACGGACAGTTAAGACGCCACGTGATACTGGCTTTTTCAATTGAGTCATTCATGCGTTGCCCACCACAACCATCTCGTCGGTCCATACACACGCCGGTCTTCTCAATCCCGTCATCGAATTTTACGGTTTGGCGGCGGCAGGTAGCAAAGCCTGTTTTGATGACTAAAACCTAGCCATGACATCGCACAGAAAGTAACATCACGAGAAAGGGGAGGGGGGGCGAAGGGACCACGTAGGGGTTGCTCGAATCAATGGCTCGTGGCCTCTATTGTCCTTCGTCATCTACACAAAAAGACGATGGATGTGGGGGGAAGAGAGAGAGGGAGGGAGAGAGGGGGAAAATAAAGGAAGGACACGTAAAAAAAAAAAAGTCGCAAGCTGCAGATATCTGTCTATCCCATGCCGTTCCAGCAGCCTCCGTCCCCCCCCCCCCCCCGATGGATGCCGGAAAACAAAAATGTCCCTCGATGATGCCGTACCATTGCTGCTCATTCTTTCTTTCCCAGTTTTGAGCCTGCTTCCTCCTCCGAGGGAGATTATCGTTTCCTGCAGCAGCCAACCCGGCCTGGGTTCATGACGGGCCATGGCGGCACTTTTTTGTTTCTTCATTCAAGTCATGAACAACACTTTTTGTGTCCTCGTGTTTCTTTTTTGTTTTCCCTTCCCGAGAAAAAAAAAACTTGAAACAACATACGCTGAAGGAGGATATGCATCCGAAACCAAGTGAGAGTAGCCATCTTCTCCTTAGACAGCACCGGCCGTAATCATCTTCTTGCGGAGGTAGTTCTTGTACTCTCCGATCGAGCCGTCCCAGGCTCTGATCGTCTTGTTTTCGCACACCAGAATCTGCTTGGCAATCTTGTCCAAAAGTCTGGAGAGTGAGGTGTTAGTTTCGAGATCAAATCACCGTGGTCCGAGGACGAGGTGAGGGATTCTTACCTGAAGTCGTGGGAGACGACAATGACACCACCGCTGAAGGCGTTGATGGCGTCGGCCAGGGAGTCGATGGTGGGGATATCCAAACCGTTGGTAGGCTCGTCGAGCAAGAGCATGTTGGGGCTCTCGATGGCGAGCAGGGCGAAGACGATACGGGACTTTTGTCCGTCCGACAGGGTACCGATGAGGGAGGTCTGGGCCTCACCGGTCAGACCGTAGCGGCCGAGCTGCTGGCGCCAGTACTGGTAGTCCTGGGACTTCTCCGAGTACTTCTCACGGACGAAGTCGAGGGCCGACTTGGTCAGGTCGAGCTGCTCAGCGCTGTGCTGGGAGTACAGGCCGAGCTTCAAGTGGGTGTGGCGGGTGACAGAACCGTCGGTGGGGGAGAGCTTGCCCGTCATCAGACGCAGCAGGGTGGACTTGCCGACACCGTTGGGGCCGACAAGGGCGGTACGGGAGTCCATGTCGAAACCAAGGTCGATGTTGCGGTACAGGTCGTCCTTGGGGTCGCCAGAGTAGGAGAAGGTGACGTTGTCGAAGGACAGGACAGGAGGGGGGAGCTTCTCGACGTCGGCGAAACGGAAGGTGAAGACCTTGTCGGGGATGACGGGCTGGATGAAGCCGTCGGCCTCCATCTTGTCGAGAATCTTCTGACGAGACTTTGCCTGTCTAACCAAGTTGGCGTAGGTACCGGCGCTGGCGATGAACTTCTTGATGTGGACAATCTCGTCCTGCTGCTTCTGGTACGCCTTCATCTGGTTGGTCTCCTGTTCGGAGCGGGTCCTGTTGTAGATATCGTAGTTACCTCCGTAGTAGAGGAGCTGCTTCATGCGCATGTCGATCATGTTGGTGCACACGCCGTTGAGGAAGTCCATGGAGTGGGAGACGAGGACAAGGGTACGGTCCCACTTCTTCAGGTACTCTTCCAGCCACACGCAGGCCTCGAGATCCAAATGGGCAGTGGGGTCGTCGAGCAGCAGCAGCGAGGGTCTGACGAACAGAGCCTTGGCGAGGGCGACACGCATTCTCCATCCACCGGACATGTCCTTGGTCTTCTTGTGGATGGTCACCTTGTTGAAACCCAGACCAGTCAGGATGAGGGAGGCGCGGGTAGCAAAGGTTGAGGGGTCCATCTTCTCCATGTGCTGCGAGGCCGTTAGACGCTGTGCCAAGTATCGGGTTAAAGGGGGGGGGGGGGGGTAAACATACCTCGTAAAGGTCCATCAGAACAGGGCTCTCAGGGCCCTCCTCTTCGAGGATCTTCTCGGCCAACTTGTCGAGACGCTCCATCTCACGCTCGGCCTCGGTAACGACCCACTCAAGGGCACCGAGCTCGGTGGGAGGAGCACCCTCGTTCAGCAGGTAGATGTCGATGTGCTCGGGGATGGGGAACTCGCGGGCGTCGATGGCCTTGAGGAGGGTGGACTTTCCGCAACCGTTCTCACCGAGGAGACCGTAGCGGCGACCGTACGAGAGCTCGAGGGTGGTGTCGTTGAAGAGGACGCGGCCGTGGAAGACCAAGCTGGCACTGGTGATCTTGACGTCCTTGCTGGCCTGGGTGGAGGCCAGGACACCGGTGGTGACACGGTCGGAGATACCGTGCTGGTCCATCTGGGCGGCGAGGCGGCTCACCTCGTCCATCTTATCGGCGCTGGTGGCGGGGCCATCGTCGCCGTTGACAGAGGAAGCGGTGGTGCTGGCGTTCTTGGCGGCCTTCTTCTTGTCGACCTTGCCCTCGGCGGCCTTCTTGGCGAGTCTCTTCTCCTTGGATGAGGAAACCATGATGACGATGCTTTGGGGGTGGGTGTTTTTTTTTTTTTGGTGATGGCGGGGTTACTTGTGCTTTTTTTAAGCGATGGCGGGGAACCTGTGGTCGCCCAAAAAGACCAAAGAACAAAAGGAGAGAAATAGGTTTTGTACGAAGAAGCCCGTTTAATCTTTTGGATGCGTCGACGACAGATACAGTGTCACGCAAGCGTCAAGTCGGCGATGAGGTCGACTTTTAGAGAGAGAGAGAGAGAGGGAGAGAGAAGGGGGGGAAAGGATGAGGCGTGCAGGTGAAAAGGTGGAAGGGGAAAAAAAATTCACTGTTATTTTAGCAGGACAAAGAGCGGCAGTGCGAAACACAGTTCACAGCCTGGGGAGGGGCAACTGGGCACACCCACCAAGGTAGGTACGTTGCGTTGCGTTGCGTTGCGTTGGGCATTGCCTGCTGCACTGCGGAACAGTTGGTAGTGGGGCAACGACTCAAATTTTTGAGAAGGCTGATAAGCGATAGGGTACGGTGCGTGTACGAAGTACCTATAGTACATACCTAAGTATCGAAGGTACTTTGGAGGTGTAGGTAGCGCAGGCGATAAGGCACCCACCGTATCGTGGGCGCGTGGACAGTACGTACCGCCGCCTCCTCCACCTCTCCCGCCTCCTTGCAGCACATCCCTATGGCGATGTGAAGTTCGAAACTGAACGGCGGCCTGCTTCTTTTTTTTTTTCTTCTTCTTCTTTTATTCTTCATATTTATATCTTTTTTTAGTATTATTTACCTTCGAGACCACCTACCATGTAAGATTCCACTTAGAGTTGGTTGGCTTGAAGGATCCGGTGAGAGTCATCATCGCCTCGATCCCCCTCCGACATGTGCTTTACACTGTACGTACACTTGTCGTTATCTAATCGGACCCTGCCAACTGTAAAATGGCCCGCTCTGAGTGGCTTCTCTTACGCCACCGTGCAGCGCAGCAAAACAGGGACGCGGGGCTTGACGTCACGTATCACGTGTGGATCCGCCTGACACGATTGGTGGCTGCAGGCGAGAGCTCCTGTTCACCTATGTGGTAGTGTAGGTACTCTGTAGGAGTTACTCATCTTCCTAAATATGCCAATTATGCAATAAGCCGCGAATCCGTAACACTCTTCCATCATTAGATATTCACCAACCCAGTTCAGCCGTATAGAAACAGCTAGTGAGAACATTGCCCGTCAATACTCAGTGCCCGGTCAAAAAGTAATACAAGCTAAAACGGCAAGTCAATCCTGCGCGGCTGAGCAGCGAAGGCCTCAGCGAGAGTGAGCCCATGGGTTCCGAGGCCGAATTCACGATTGCGAATGCTTCTTGGTGACGTCGAGAAAGGCTCTTGATTGCAGACGGCTACATATATAATATGAACGGCACCGAGAATCAACCCCGGCATCCCGTTCTCGCCCGAAATCATTTTCTGGTTTTGTGGCCAATTGACAAGATGTCGAGGTCGGAAGTGCCGGAGGCCCCGATCCTCGACGTGCTGGGGCACTGCCGTGGCCTTCAAGGAGGCCGTCGACGTGGGCGGCTACCAACAATGACGGAAAGGCTGTTTAGTTGCAAATACCGTGTCTTGAATAGCTGAGTTTCTTGACGGTGTATCGTAATTGCCGATGAGTAGCATCCAAGCAGCTTCCCCATCGACCCCAAATGGGTATCATGTGAGGAGGGCCTTTCGTCAACCCGACACAGGCCAGGTAAAACCACCGTTATCGAGAGTTCGAATCCCTTGACACCGGCGTGTCTGTCTGTATCTCGGCCGTGTCGATGTTCTGTATAATTATGCCGGCTGGAATTGGCCTCGGGTTGGCGATCCATGCTGTCCGGTTCTTCACATGCTCTCTCTACATCGTCTATCCTAATGCTGCCGCCTAGTCTGCGATGTGTCGCATTGCGATATACTCTTTAGTGCCTTGCCTCTATTGAGCCAATGCTGCCGGGTATATTATGAGAGCCTCTTGTACTTGCTGAATCTCGTCTAACGAGATGTCGGGTTTGGTGGATCGGCATGGTGTAAAATGCACACAACACAGCCCCTCTGGTCACCATCGTTCATCGTGTATTTGTCTCGCTATGTACTGAGCCGTCGTATAAGAAATAAAATGAAAAAAATTAAGACACTCAGAACCTCGCCTGCCGACTGCTGTAGTCCCGCGCCACTGTGACGGTCCCGTCGGCCCCGGTCGCGAAGCGGACGTAGTGGTTCGCAAAGTACGAGAGCACCAACCGCCTCGGCGAGAAGAGCTCCCACGGGGTCGTCGGCGGCACCGGCACGGTCTCGCGCAGGTCCCCGCGCGGGAGGTAGACGACGTCCGAGTACTGCCGCCTGTTCTTGTCGACCTCGACGCAGGCGAGGACGAAGAGCGAGAAGTGGATCGTCCTGTCCCGAGAGGGCTCGTGTTAGCCAGGGCGTTTTCCGTCTTTTTTTCCTCTTCTTTTGTATTCCCTTCCTCTCGTCCTCTTGCGTGGATGGTCGATGGGCGAAAGGGGGGGGGGGGGGGGGCGGCTCACATGAGGACAAACATGAAGAAGATCAAGGCGGCGGTCAGGTTCATGCGATAAAGGTGCCGGCCAGGGGAGCGCGCGTATGTCCACCAGGCGCCGAGGAGCAGGCCAATGAAGGCCAAGGTGGGCGCCCAGATGAGCAGGTGGGCGGCGACGTGGGAGTCGGGGCGGCCCCCAGCTGAAGCGCGTGCTGCGTCGCGGCCGGGCGGCCGATCCCGCGACCGTCCGGCGGTCCAGCGGAAGCCGCGGTCGCGCCCCGAGCAGCGCGAGGGACGTCGACGACGCTCCAGACCCAGGGCGAAGACGGCGGTCGGGGTGCCATAGGACAGGATGCTGGCGGCGAGGAAGTCGCCGGAGGCGCCACTGGACGGCTGGGCGAAGGCGACCAGGCCGAGCATGATGGAGGCGACGAGGAGGGAGGTGCAGCGGAGGAGGAGGGTGGAGCGGTACATGGACCGGTTGGAGGGGACTGCGGTGAGGAAGTCGCCGTGGTGGTGGCCGATGCTGGGCGGCACGGCCGCCACGTCGTGGTAGATGGGTATGGCGTCCATTGTCGTCGTCGGAGGTCGTCGTCGTTGTCGGAGGTAGCTGAGGCCTACATCGTCGGGGGTATCTTATCGTCGTGCGGGATTTGGGGGGGTTCGGAGCCCACAAGAGGTGAGAGAGGGAATCGCGCGGTCAGGATCAAATCGCCATTGAAGAATTGAAGTCTCTCGGGAAGCCAACGGGGCTTTATTGGCGTTTGTATTTCTTCTAAGCGAGACCGTTTTACACAACCAAGTTCGATGTTCGGGGGGGAGCTGCTTATGGTTTATCTTAACTACTAGCTACGGCGAGCGCAAGGTAGCAGCGGGGGTGGGGCGGTGCTCTAACAGGGCCTAGTGGATTGCCACGCCATGACCCCCCCGTGAGGTGTTTACTATGTATGAGTAGAGGTTTATTATCCATCTATCTCTGTATATATATATATATATGTCTGTGTGTGTGTGCAGGTATTCATGGGATCTTGCCAGGCCATTAGCGGCAATTCAGTCAATGGCATGCGGTTACAGGACAGCTAAGGTGGATGTAGAAGTAGGATAGGATATTACAGAACGCAATCATACAAGTAGGCCAGTACAGCCTGAATCATTTGATAGCTTGAGCCGCGTAGACAAGCAAAATAAAAATATAATAAAATAAGTCTCGGTTCCCCGGCGTCTCCCAAATATCTTTGCAGAATGTCCCTAGTATATACGTGTATATATGCGGTGGAGCCTGTGATATAAATCATATAATGCAGACTATGATGGGGGTAAGGCGAACCAAGCAATCACAACGACCGGGTCCTCCCCCCACCACTACCGGACGGCTCCCCGGTCGGCGTCGCCGACATGTGGACGGGCACGTCCATGCGATACTTGCCCTCGCGCACCCCCGCGTCCGCCGGCGTCATGCCCGTCACGCTCGTCGCGAACTTGATGTCCACGTCCCCCGGCATCACCAGCTGCGGCTGCGCGTCGCCCCTCTTCCGCCTCTCGAGCTCCTCCCCTGACGGCACGTAGTCCTCCGGCGGCGGCCGCATGCTCGGCCGGAGGAACCGGTCGCGGTCGCCTGCCGGCGCATTGCGCGGCACCCAAGGGACCGGTTTTCTCTTGATCATTGACGACGGCGGCGGCGGCGGGATCTCGAGCTGCAGCAGCTCCTGCTGTTGCTGAAAAGCGTTGCGCAGCGGGCTGCTGCCGACGGGACCGTCGAGCGACTGGGGTAACGACGGGGCGCGGGCTGGTTGCTGCTGCTGCTGCTGCTGCGGCGGCGGCGGCGGCGGCGGCGGCGGCGGTTCGGGGAACGGCTTGGCGACGACGTAGACCGTCTGCCCCGTCTCGGGGATGTACATGACGCGCGGCCTGCGCTGGCGGATCTCGCGGCGGCGCTCGACGCAGGCACGGATGAACAGGGCCAGGTGGATAGTCCTAGTCACAGGGCGTCAGCGGTGCAGATGTAGAGGTGGTAAAGGGAGGCGATAACACTCACGCGATGAGAAGCATCAAGACGTATTGGACGGTGGCGAGTGTGAGGGCCTTGCCGCGCAGTTGGCCGGACGGGCCGGTTTCCTGCAGCCTTATCTGGACGGGCAGCCACACGCCGGCCATGTAAGTCATGAGGAACAGGATCAGCTCGACGCCGATGTGGGCTTTGGGCGTGATGCCGCGGCCACGGCGGGCGCACAGGGAGAGGAACTCGCCCAGGTCCCACAGGCACGGGGGCAAAGCCTGCGGTGCGCGATGATGTGTAAGTAAGCGTACGGGATTGCGCTCGAGCTAGACGTAGGTAGACATCTAGATGGCCACACAGAGGACCCGAAAGAAAGAGCAGGAAGAGGACCGACTCACTCCCGGAAGACCCAGCCACATCCAAACACCGTACCTGTCCAGCTCCGGGCGGGCCCACCAGGCCATGGAGATGATGAGAACGACGGCGCACAGCATCATCGAGAGGAGGCGCGCGACGATCTTGCACGCCTCGCAGCGCCGGCCACCCCGGTTCAACCACCGCACGTCGGCCGGGTTGATCTGGACGGCCGGCGAGGAGGGCTTGGCGCCGTCGGCGTCCGATGCGAGGGACTCGAGCTGGTACGACTCGGGCGCGCTCATTGTCATCGCCGTGAGCTTGAGGCGGGCATGGGCGATGATGATGGGGGTAGTGTTCCGCCTTCTCGTCCTACCGGCGTCGCTCGCTGGACAATATACGCGAGACCGACAGCAGCAAGCCGGTGCAGAACAAAAGACAATGATTGAAGTCGAATTAGAGACTCGGCCCGGCCCTTGTTCAATCCAGCCCCTTGTTGTTTGATGGGAGAAACAGCCCGTCTCCAGAGCAAAGCCATCTCACCGGGGCCATCGTGTGTGGTGTGAGAGAGAGAAATTAGGCAACCGTATTTCTCAAAAGGGGGTTCGCTCCACTTAGCGACGGTATCCGAGCGAATCCGTATTGGACGCTGTCAGCACAACCAACTAATGTCGTTGACATGCATCTTGGAGGTGGCTGGTTATCTGCCCGTATTGCCGCAGAGCATTGAATGGTTGGCGGTTGTTAATTGAGGGGTTTTGTCAGTTGCTCTTTCCAAAAGCGGATATCGACATCTTCCGTCCCACTTTCCGTTTACTCACAGACTCGCACGTCCTCAGTCACCATCACCTCCTCACATCCTCTCACTCACGCAAACACTCACCCACCCACCACCATCCTTAGTATCTCACGACAACTTCAAGCAAGCAGCACATAAAAATGAATAGATGGCAGAAGAGCAAAAAGATGGACACTGTGGGAATTGAACCCACGACCTTTCACATGCGGCCTTCGGGTACCACCGAAATGCGAAGCGAAAATCATACCCCTAGACCAAGCGCCCGTTGTTATTGAAAGATACTCATTTGAGTCAGCCTATGATGGCTACACTCATCCCCATTTCGCTCGTGCTGGACTTCTTCCTGGGAGATTTCCAAAGCTGCGGCGATTATTCATGAGCGTCATCGCTCTGAGAGATGCGCATCCGCGTGAGAAAATTACTACAAAGAGCCGACAACGCAGTATCTCCCGAATGAAAATCGCTCACGGGTCGATATGCATCATTCACATTGGTATGGCACTCTCGTCAGGAATTAGGCTTTTCTTATCTTATGCCATATCACACCCCCGTCGGGTATTCTGATGCTATTCATACCAGGTCGTTACACGTTTCCCTTCAACTCTCGCTCACGACACTTTACGCCTGAACATCGTTGTCTAGCCTCTCAAACACCGTCTGGCCGCTGATCTCCGTCTCCCTGGGCCCGGCGTCGCGCCCGGCCCTGGTCTGGCTCTTCAGCAGCTCCCGCTCCGCCACGCGCGCCGGGTCGTTCTCGCTGCCGGGCTCGGCGCGGAACGCCTCCTGCACGCCGTCCTTGACTCCCTGGTCGTCGATGCCCTCGTGGATGTTCTTGCCGTGCGGCCCCTTGGGGTCGCGGATGTACTGGTTGAGCACGTACGTCGGCGCCGGCTCGGCCTTGGATGAGGCGCCGCCGGACCCGGGAGCGGCGCCGGCGCCGGTGCCGGTTCTGGGAGAAGAGCTGTTGCCGTTGTCGTTGCCGCCGGAAGACAGTGTGTTGGGATCGACGCCCCTGTTCTTGGCGAACTCGCCGCCGTGGCTGGCGGACTCGGCTGCGAGGGAGTCGGCGGGGACGGGGCCCGGGGATTCGGGGCGGGTGGGAGCAGCGGCGCCGAGGTCGACCTGGCCCTTGTTAGTAACCCATCGTTGGCAACCTTTTTTTAGGCGTGCATGCAGAGGCCTAGAGTTCTTTCAAAAAACGTACCTTGGTGCCAGCGCTGGGGGGCTTCTTGTCCTGAGCACTAATAGTAGACATTTTGATGGTGTTGTTGATGTTCGGTAGGGATATCAAGAGACCGGGTAGGTGATTCCAAGTCGTTTGGTATCCAATTGTTGTGATTGAATTGTATTGTTCTGTTTCGATCCCTCTCCCATCGAGCTTCGAATCCGTCTCTTTAAACACCATCTCGTCGCATGACATCATGTCGCCCTCTTCTTACATCAACCTCTGCTGGACACAATACTCCCCCAGCACAGACTGCGGCATGACTTCAGCTCTCCACATTATCGCCCTCACGGTTATCGCCCGCCACGGGATGAGATCCGAATTACATCACCCACCCCGCCGCACACCTCCCACCTCGACAGCATCGAGATTGCCCATCGCCCCAAAGGCCACAAACCACCAGCCTTTTGTTGTTTCGCCAGGCTGGGGCATCTAGAACATTCAGCTGTAGTGTACCGCCTACACTCTCGAGATCCGGATAAAGCTAATAAAGGGTCTAGCCAAAGCTAGCTAGCTGATGTCCGATAGTAGTTAGTACAGGCCCATTCCGCCAGGCCTGATATAGAAAGCGGTCAATCTACTAACCCTACCTATCCATCCTCCTAACTATCTACCCACTTACCTGTTGCCTATTAGCAACAACATTTATCTGGTACTCACACTATAACTTCTTGCTTATGTACACTACTATCCTATATTGCTACTTCTAGATCCCTGTTTCTGCCAGCATACTATACCTGTCACAGCGGCCGCGATACTCCTTGCCGTTAGCCCGATAATTAGCTTTATCCGGATATAACCAGTGGATACGGTAGGGCCATCTCCGCAGCATGCAGCCCGATCGGGCCTTACCGGGGGCTCGCCGAGCGCGTGGGAACAGGGAGCGGGCCGGCTCATGGTGGCAGCTGGAGCCAGTATGACGAGATTTCTCCCAGATCAAGTGCAGATCTCTTGATCTTGGGCCATCGTCGAGTTGTCCTTCTCACCGTAGGAGACGTCACCCTGCCCCATTGCAATGGAGTCCGAACGTACAAGCACTCTCTTATGATGCTTGCCATCTTCCATCCCCGTTTTCGGGTCCGATCCATTCTGAGGAGGGTTGGCATGGTCTGGCCACAGAAACGAGTTGAGATTGCCCCTGTGGGGGTCCTCAGGATGAACACTGCGAAAGGCTCGGTCGTCACTTCTAGGAAGCGGGAAGACGACGGCCAAAGAGACCTCTGTACCGTTCGCAAACAGCAGTTGTATAATCAACAGACTTATCTGTTCCAACATCTAAGCTATACGAGAATGAATGTAAGGCACGGTGCGCTTTGCAAGATATCAAGACTGAGGACCCGCAGTGTACAGGCTCCGCCACACTATAATATATATTGACATTTAAACCGAAGAACACTATTCGAAACATGATGGCCCCTGTTTACCCCCCTCGAAAATATCGATGATGCTACTGCTGGCCTCAAGATCCCATGTTCTGGGAGAGCCCAGAATCGTGTCCCAACTGGAGGGGACCCCCGCAGCAGGGAGCCATCCGTACACTGTAGTCTTGTAAGCTAGATTTCTTCAACTAGGCATCTTGGAGCTGAGTGTGTCACCTGGATGCTTAGTATCGACGATACCCTTCAGTCCCCTGCCACCAGCCGCTTCAAGAAAACAACCATGATCGAGAGAATCAATACTCCTAGGCTGCGTCCCATGGTTGAATCTGCGGCTGTGTCCTTCCACTTCATGCTGACTCGTCGTACTCTTCAAGGTCGCTGCCCCGATGGAAGAGACTCGGTTGGGAGCTGCTCAGTTCCCGATGTTTCTCACAGTTTCCTCCTGCCAGTACCGTTTGTTCCTCAACAGCATGGCTCTCTGCGTCGAGGAGAGAACATTGCTGAAACTGCTTTTTACAGACGCAGTCACAGTCGACATAAACCTCTGTCAATTGGAGACACATTTTTCAGCCAAACAATGGGGATATTAACAATGGGGATGTTATAAGGTTTGTGAGGGCGTCGAAGGGCTGAAGAATAGGACATCTGTAGGATAATATATATTTTGTGCCTCCGCGTGCCGGGCTTTGAACTTGGCTCCTTTCCATGAGCTGCTCGTATGTCCAAGGTGTCCCTGATTGGCGCTTGAAATTTCACGCCGTTTCCTTGCCGCCGCTCCCAACTCCACCAAGGCGCTTATCTATCCAGTGCCGGCAAGTTGGTAGGGAGTAATGCTGCCGGAGCAGGCCGCATATTGTAGATCATGCCTGTTAATGGCCCAACCTGTCTGTCTCATTTCCGAATCGTTCAGACCGCCGTCGGGTGTGAGGCGCGTGCTGAGCGTATCGCCGGCGAACCTGGCAAAAGATGAATGCCGCTACCAACGGAGATGAGAAAATCTCCGGGAGGACAGAAATAACTCTCATCAGAAGTGCTGCGAGTTCTCTATTGCATGTGCGATGGGAAGCGCCCTCTGTAGTCTGCGTCGTTAAGAGACGAGAAACCTATCCAGACGCCCATGACACCGACCGCCCGCACCACCGCCGAAAAGTAGACCCAAAATCACATGTAACAAAATCGCTCGCTAACCAACAGAGCCAGATTTCCGCCAGGAAAACCAATGTACCGAGATATGTACCCGTACCCAACCGTCAATAACCCACCCCCGGGCGCCAAATCATGTACCGCTCCCCTCTTGCGAACCTTCATGAGCCGTCTGCCTTTCTTCATAGAACCGAGGCGAGCCTCGCAACGGCGCTAAGCACCATGCGCCAGATGATGCCGGCGGTACCGACAACGACGAAGATCTGCGTCAGCTCGAACCAACTCCTGAGGCGGACCTCGGTTTCGACGTGCCCGCCCTCGATGTCGGCGCTCGCGGGGAAGCGGCCGGTGGACACGTACGTCTCCATGATGGCGTCCTTCTCGTACCACCGCTCACGCAGCCAGGCGTCAAAGGCCTTTGCGTCGTCGAGGGGTATGTCGGCGAGGCGGAAACGGCGCCAGTGGAAGTTGACGGACCGCGGGGGACGGCCCTGGAAGTAGGTGCTGGTGAGGGTGAAGTAATCGTCGCCGAACTTGCCGCGCCTGGATGGGGGGGGGGGTTAGCTATATATTGTGGGCGGCCCGTGGGAGGCGCAAAGAGGGCCTGGTGTGGGCTTACGGGATGCCTTCGTAGGCGACTGTGCAGTCGTAAATGTACTCGAGCGAGTCCTTGAGCTCGTTCAGGCAGAAGAAGGTGCCGGTGCTGCGGGGGAGGAGGACGTGCTCCGGGTCGCGGAGGCCCATCTTGTCGGCCCAGGCGGCCGACTTGCGGCGGCCGTTGGTAGAGAGGTTGGTACCCTCGGGGAAGAGCAGGAGCCACATGGGGTCGAGGTACTCGCGGCCACCGGGGCCGGCGTGGCGCGTCTTGAGCTTGTTAATGCGATGCGCCAGTCGGGGCTGGTCGGTGGCCATCTTGCGCGACATGAAGATAAAGCCGTAGAACATCATGCCGATACCGACGCCGGGGATGTACTTGAGCGACTCCTTGAGGATGATGTAGATGTGGCCGTGCATGCTCGGGGCGTTTGCGTAGGCCACCCACCAGAGGTACAGCCAGTCGGTGTAGATCTGCGGCGGAAGAGGGTCAGTACTTTTCGTCTCGTTCAGAGGTTGTGTTGTAGCGACGCAAAAAGGAAAGAGAATCGCTACCTGGTGGTTGGCGATCAGGATGAGGCGCTCGGGAAAGTTGAACTGGACGCGGCCGTCGGGGGTCTTCTTGATCTGGCCGTCCATGGACTTGTCGCCGCTTATTCGTATCGTGGTGTTGCTCCACATGTGCGTCATGGCCGTGATGGTCAGGCCGAAGGACTGCTTCGTCAGGGCCATGTAGGCATAGAATATTTCGCGGTTGACGAAGTACAGCGGGCTGCCGAGTATCTGGGTCGTGATGATGCTGTGTGTGTGTGCGCGCGCGTGCGACAAAGGTTAGCGGGGAGGTGTCGCATAGCGTCGGGCAAAGCGGCCGCCACTGCGGGAGGAGAAAGAGGACAGGAGAACGTACGCAAGGCAGCAGGCAGCGAAGTAGAGGCCAAAGGTCAGGCCGCGGAACAACTGCATGGCGAAGCTGTGCTTGGGCCGGCCGGCTGGGTGAGGGTCGGTCGGTTTTCTGACCAGACCGACCTTGGCAACGGGCGCGGGGACCGAGTCCGGGTCGGTCTTCTTGTGGATATCTGTCGCCATGATGGCGGTATGTCCCCGTCGGTTTAGTGTGCCGTTCGGGAACGGGGTTCGAGGAAGAGGATCGTTCATCGGATGGAGAGGGGAGAGAGGGGCGATAGAGGCGAGAGGGTGAGATTCGAAGGAGCGTCGTCGAGGCGTATTCGTGGTGTTTGGTGGAGAGGAGGGCCGTTGCGGATTAAGAGGTCTAGTCGTGGTGTCGCGTGCGAATGCGGCATGTGAGACGAGCAGCTGGATGGTGGGAAGCCGGGGTGATGCCTGGTCCGGCGGGGTCGGAACGAGGGTGGGAAGACGGCCGATTAGAGCTACTGTAGGTAGATAGAGCAGGGTGTGTATTTGTAGGCACCTAGGAGAGAATCTTCGGGTTCGTGCTCGGGCGGGGGTATAGGTAGTAGGTGCTTTCTTCCGTCGGGTCAGCGCCTGGTTGGGAGCGGGAGCTGTGAATGCCTTGTCATGGCGGGCTGGAGGCTTTATTGGGAAGAAAGCAAGGTAAAAATGATACTGCTGCAACGGTTAGTAGGGATGGTTTGCCATGTAACAGGCGGAGCCAAAGAAACGGACATGGCTGAATGACGGGATGGATGGATGGACGGATGGACGGGTAGCTAAGGAGGTACTTTACCTACCTAGGCCAGGAAACCACCAGCTAGGTAGTAGGTATGTTGCAGATTCCAGCCAGAGGTATTGTTCCACGCGGCAAGCAAGCTGGAAAAGGTGTCGTCATGGGCCCAGTCCGATTTGCCGGGCTGTTTGGGAGCTGAACATTATCCCGTCTTACTCATCGATTTGCTGCATACATACAATGTAGTATCTACAACAGGTACGGATACGTCGAGGAATGATTCTGTGGAATGCTTGTATGGATGCTTACGGATACAGATACCAAGTATCCGTAAGCTGATCATCGTAAGGTACCTAGGTACGTACATGCCACTTGCATGTACCGGCATCTTCGGGAAAGAGAGAGAGAGTCTCCTTCCTGGGAATCGGAATCTGCGATGTACCGGTACGTACTCACCCGATGCACAGCCCGCACTCGCCCAATCCAGCTGTGCCTGCCAGTACTGCGTACAGCCAGCCGGCTGCCTGGCTGATGTGGGGCCCTGTCAGACCATGGAAGGAATGGTTCCATGGTGGGGTATAAAAGCACAGATCATGGTGCATGCAACTGCGGCGTGACGCCATTGGGCGGAACATTGAGCAGCCGAAGTCCGTCCCTCCTCCTTTCCGTCTCCACTTATGCGCCGCCATCGGCCCCTTCCGTAATCGTGCCTTCCTGCCTCTCCTGTCGGTGGATGTGGTTGGTGGGTGTGTGGCTTGTGGCCGTGAAGAGAGACTCAATCGGAGACTCAATGATACAAACTCTCACCCATTAAGCATTGGTTGCAACAATCTTCACATGTGGATTCGTTCAAGTAACCGCAGAAAACTCCAGTTTATCTTATTCAGCGACCAATTTGCTCTTCTTCTGTCCATGCACGCTCATGCCTTTACATTGGTCCGATCTCCCGATTTCAAGCAAAGCATACATGAGATCAACTCAATTCAACAACTACCCACTCCAAACCTATCAAACCAGCTTCCTCATGCACGCACGCACCGCACACATCTATTTGCGCTCAGCCAGTCCTGAACCATGAGCTTTTCTTCGCAGACAAGCCCTTCTTCAGGATCTCCGAAGACCGTGGGGTTACTTGTGCACAATGAGGCCGATATCACTAGCACAAGCCAGCCAGCAGCCCACTCAGTTAATGGCGAATGTCCGGGGCTCTGTGTGTGTACTGAATCCTCCACTCGGCCAGATTGTTTCCTCACGGATAGCCAAAAATAGCCAAAGAGTGAGTGTTGGCTGTGGGGCTGGCGGCCGGGTAGCGGCGGGTGTCCCGGAACTCTATATACTGGCCGTCAACATCTACCGCCATGGTCGCGAACATGATAGTTGCACGAATGATAGTATCCTATCTTTAATAAATCTAGCCAGATATAACGGAACTCATCCTCATCTTCTGAAAGGTCACGGTATGAGATCCATTGATAGATCCGACTTGAGGCTGGCTAGGCGGTCTTGTAAATAAATACATGCATCGTCTGCTCACCTCGGTCCGAAAGTCTTACCGTGCGAAAGCCATTCTTTGCACCACTGGAAATTTCATTCTCCTCCTTCCCGCATCTATCAGTTGGATGTCCTCAGGTACCTTGAGTCGAAGGAACCAAGAAAGTTCCTTCCACTTCCACTATGTCGTCGTCGTTCAACCTCTGCACTTCAATGATTGACCGGGGAGGATGTCTATTGGGATCTTCACCCCAAAACTCCGTCTGTGCCCGGTTGCACAGCGGCCTGTAGCGATACATGTCCGTGGTGTAGACGACTAGACGGACCGCCGAGAAACGATCAGTGCCAGCCAGCTCGGCGAGCTGGATCATATTGGCATAAGCCTTACGAATTCGCTCAATTCCGACCGGAGAAAGCGTATCATTGGAAGAGTCGATACCTCGCATGCCTATCACACCCCATGTGTCAGTGGTTATTGCGAGGTTGCAGGATACACGACTGAACCGTACCAGCAATATAGAGGGTATTGCCAGCCTTCGACATCAGGCTCCATGGCCCAGTTGGCGTGAAAAGTGTGGAAGGGTTATAGATCTCAACGCCCGCAGGGGAAGTATAATTGGGTTCCAGAAAGCCGAGCGAACTTGCTGCCGAGAACATTGGTAGGATGAAAAAGAGCCTCATGATGGCACAGACAGATTCAATGACACATGGACAGGCAATTGAAGCATATACATTATGAACCTCCAGCGGTAACAGAGAAGTTATATTACAACGCTCAAATCTTCAAAGCTAACACATGACATCATACCAAGCCGAGAAAGCTTGGCAAAGATGTCATCCTATTATCTTAATCTGTTTTATTCTGTGACTTATAAGTATCTCTCAAAGCACCAGTTGTATGGGAACAATTTGAACCGACAGATCTGTGATCTGTAGTTGACGTAGGAGTGAACCACTTTCTGGAACATTACTACTGGTGTTGAGTCGGCGCCCGTTGACCTGGAAATGAGGGGGCCACTCTCAATCCATGTCCTCTAGAGACCAGTTGTGAGAACTATCCAGACACTTGAGACCAGCAGCATAACACTCCAAGCAGATACAGAAGTCCCCTCCAGGACACACTTCGCAGAAATAGTATACTTTGCCACCCGGGACGTAAAACGTACAAATATCACACCACGCATTATTTTCATGGAATGAAACGACCCCTTTCCTCGTTACTGTATCCTCACTGTTGATTTGAACCTCTTCCCCGTCAGAGCCCTCGAGCAGGAGCTGGAGTGTGCGGGCGTTTCCGCTCTTCCTAGCCCAAGACAATGCAGTCAAACCAAAATCATCTTTGTGTCCAAGGTCGACATTTTCAGCCTGGAGAAGCAGCTCTACTACACTTTCGTGGCCGTGTCTCGATGCCGCAATGAGCGGGGTTGCGTTGTACAAGTCCTTGATGTCTGTCGATGCCTTTTGGGAGAGCAGCAATCGCACAATTTCGCTGCGTCCTCGCATGGCCGCAAGAAAAAGACACGTGCGGCCAATTTGATCTTTGATTTTGATATGGCCTGGACATCTTTCGAGGAAAAAATTAGCCAGCTCAACGTTGCCATTCGTCGAAGTGGTGTGTAGCGGTGTCCAACCCTGTGAATCTGCAGCTTCCAAGTCTATTCCGTGAGCCAGAAGTAGCTTGGTGACTTCAAGATGTCCCTTTCTTAATGCAGAGTGCAGTGGCGTCCGGCCAATATAGTCTACAGCTGTAACATCTGCTCCGTGAGCCAGAAGTAGCTTGACGACTTCAGTATGGCCTCTCACTGATGCTACAGTCAGAGGCGTCCAACCGTAATTATTTCTAGCTGTTACGTCTGCCCCGTGAGCCAGAAGTAGCTTGACGACTTCGGTATGGCCCCCCTCTGATGCTACATCTAGAGGCGTCCAACTGTACTTGTTTCTAGCTGTTACGTCTGCTCCGTGAGCAAGAAGTAGCTCAGCAACTTCTGGATGTCCGTGGTAGGATACTAAGCCTATTGGTGTCCAGCCATCATTGTCTGTAACTGTAACGTTTGCTCCGTGATCCAGAAGCAGCTTAACGACTGGAATATGACCATTGAAAACTGCTGAGTAGAGTGGCGTCCATCCATTAATGCCTTCGCTTGAAACGCTTGCACCCTTGTTGAGAAGTAGCTCGGCAACTTCGAAATAACCTTCAGCTGATGCTACCCCCAATGATGTATACCCATTGTCGTCAATATCCGATATATCTGCTCCATTGTTGAGGAGGAGCTTTACTACATCGAGATGACCGTTCATGGATGCGGCAATGAGCGCCGTTTGTCCTCCGATGCCAGTGACATCAATATTTGCTCCCATATCAAGCAGCATTTGTGCGACCTCTATATTTCCTATCTTGCATTCATATACAAGGACAGATCTTCCTGAGTTTGACTTCTCATTCGGGTCGTGGTTGCAGTGTTGTAGGAGGTGCTTGACTACTCCTGTTAGTCCAAGTCGGGAAGCGTAGTATAACGGGCTTGCCGGCATTATGGTTTCTGTCTCTTCTGGCCCCAAGCCATCGAGATTGGAATCAAAGCACTGTCTCCATAGTTCCCAAGTCTGATCTCTTCCGTCGAAAAAGGCGTATATAGCATCCATCAGCGCGTTGTCCTTGGTATCGTTTAGGTTGGTATGCTGGAACCAAGAGTTTGCAGCGTAATTTCGGAACAACACTATGATTTGATCCTTCTCCTCGGCGAGAGAATTGTCCCAGACACGAGGGAACCTGATGTATTGGAGACGTAGCTTTGCGAGGGCAGTGCTCTCGATAGATTCGTTGAGCGCGCGTAATCTCTCGTTGGCAAGCAAGATCGTCCCGCGAGACGGAATCTTGAAAAGCAGATATTCCTTGACCGAAAAATGGGCCAAGTGTACTTCTCTCCATCCGACGGGAGATTTACTGCCCCGCACTTCGATCAAAGATCCACACAAACCCAAGATCTCACTGTCAACGTAATCGTCGTCAACAGAGTCCGGAAACTCGTCAAGTGCCAGATCGTCGCAGTCGTCGTCAACGAGAACAGCTCCGGTCATCTCGAACACAGTCAGAGGCCGTACGGAGAATGCGGCCCATCGAAGCAAAGAGAACGCCCTCTTTCTGTCCTCGTGTCGCAAACTCTGGATTCTGTCCCAGTTCCGGTCGTAGAGGCGATCTAGACCGGCGGGCGCTGAGTCAAGGTCTCTTTCGAGCTGTTTCCTGCTCCTTCCCTTTCTCAAGAATTCTTCTTGCATCTTCAGCCACTGAAACTGTCCGTTACATCGAAGGGCCATTCTCTGGGAGATGTTGGACTTTGTTGACTTGTCCTGCTTGGAGAGCTTGTTGTTGACGATACTCCTCGAATAGGCTACGTTGTTGGCATGGACGTCTTTAGGTGATATTAAATACTCGTTGAAGCCCGGGAACTGCGAAAGCCTATGCCAAATCTCTGGTTCGTTACGGCTAGTCACCATGATCCGAGCTGTGGTATCAGCAATCGCCTGCCGGAGCTCACTGAGAAAGTGAGCAACGGAATTCGCACCGTCCCGGCTCTCTCCTAACCAGGTGCATTCGTCCAGACCATCCAAGACAAAAGTGCAAAAAGGAACGGTTTGCACAACCTCACGGAAGAGTTGTACCAGGGTCGCTCGCGTGGCGACCTGTTCGTGCTGGGCTAAACGCCTTTTATAAACGATGTCCAAAGCAGCCTGGTTGCCAAAGGCCACATCAGCAACCCACGACCTGGGAGCAATAAATGGATCGTCGCGGCCTTCAAACTTGGACGACAGAAAGAAGTGTGCGACGGGGGTTTGGTGATTTGTGGAAACAATCTCAACTATTCTGGCACACAAAATGGTTTTACCGAACCTTCCGGACCGTTGATCCACAGAACTTTGGTGGTCGAGGCACTGGACGAAAGCCGATCTCGAATCTCGTCCCGTTCTAGTATCCATTTGCACGTCTCATCTAGTCGCTTGTGGATAGAGTCATCGTATAGATCATTTGTGGACGGGCACCCAAGCCATACGCGCAGGTCCCGTTTTATCTCAGCTGCAATCGTTAGCTTGCTGACGTGAAAACAGGACCAGATTCTCATTACCTCGCATCTCCTCTTCTACTTTGTTCATGAACGCTCGAATATCGTCGAGAAAGGCAGTCAGGCTGTCTTGGAATTGTTAGCGAGGAACGCCAAGCGTTGATCTGAAAAGGACTTTGCTCGAACCTTGTAACTGCGTAGGTCGCTTCGATAGCGCATCCGATGCGTTGTTAGGAGGTACCACATCATAAAGATACTGCACCAAGGTTGCAAATGTCTGGACATGGCCCGTCTGTCTGGTTTTCCCGGTTAAAGCCCAAGCCGCCTTCCGCCACCTAGAGGCCATCGGCGCTCCATGGCGAGGCTGGATCTGCCGTGAAGAGACCAAACCGCTTTTCGCGAGCCCATCGTCTGATTGTGTATACTGTTGGTACAGGAAATCTTCTGCGTCGCTACAGAAATCTTGGATACTGTCCAGAAGCTTGCGAACCACCGCAAGTTTCTGGGCATCGTCGAGGGCGGGGTGGTGGGAATCTGACAACCTCCCGTTCTCGAAGCCGACGGCCCGACCCCACTCTTCAAAGCGGTGCTTGTCGGCGTCGAACTGAGTCGCCAAGGAGCGCCAATCACGGCCGAAGTTCTTATACGAGTCGAACCTTTCGACGGCATCCAAGCAGGAGCTGAATAGGCCAGCCAGGCCCGCGGCCCCGACGGCCAGTCCTACCGGTTCCATAACTACAGGCGTGTGTTGATGATGGTGATGATGATGGTGATGATATTATTTAACGCCCGACAAGTCCATCTACGTGGGACAAGGCGAAGCGTGTGTTGATGTCAACAGCTGAGTAGAAAAGCGGCTCTGATTGCGGTTGCTGAAGCAGCCTGTCATCCGCAGGCACTGCCTCAGACACTGCCATTTGTCTGACTGGCGACTAAGATGGCCATTCCTGCATCTCTGTCTTGGCCTTCGCCAACGCATGCATCTCACTGTGCCACATATAAAGCGCTCGAGCACACCAACGACAAGGGGTATTGGTCCAACCAGGGGCATGGAAGTCTTTGTGGTTATCTCGAACTTGTGGCATTGTTTCGGTCGAATTCTCCATGCCAATCCTTCGGAAGACGAAAAGGCATTCGGTAACGTTATGCAACAGCGAAGGGTTCAGGAATTATAGCAGCCATGCTGGCTTGAGAAGCAGTCAAGCCATTGAAAGTACGTACGGTAGTGAAGTTAATTGACGGGGATGTATCTGATTGCACCATATTAGTAACCTGGTATTTCATCAAGGCCAATCTATCCTACAATGGGGGCTAACAACACAAAAACAAACGTGTTGCTTGAAATACAACTTTACCTAACCACCTCGGTTTTATTTGGAGCAAGGTCATGACACGGTTGCAACATGTCAAATCTGGCATGATACATCTACTTCTGCAATCCGGTTGAACACCCAGAAAGAGGTTAAACGCTGCTAGAATTATACAGTAGGCATCAAATCTAGACAATCAGTGAAACTCGCCAACTGAAGTCAATGTTCAACTCAATGATGCCCGTTGAACAACCCAAGCATCCTGTAAGCCGTTTCCGGTATAAAAGACGATATTGTCACTCATTTATTGCAAGAATTCTAGTAATCATGCTTCTCTGCGTTATATGGCCCGTTGCAGTTGCAGATGGCTTCTTAAGGCGGCGCCCCGCGGCTTTGTTGCTATTAGTGGATCTGTCTCATAAGAAAACAGGCAGGACGCCCCCCAAAAAGGCTTCTACTCAAAGTGGATATCTTATGATGCATAGAGGCAGGTCGGACAGCGCTTCATGCACATGGAGGGGAGGTTCACCTGAGAGGTTTGCTGCATGCAAGCGGTTAAACTTAGTTCACATTTCAGACCTATTGAATGTGCAGCTGATACAAGCAATGATGATCTTCTGACGCAAAACTCCGGACCTTGATTTTCACAAAATATTCCCGTATGTATGAACCGTAGGTTCATAAAATCCCGCCATTTTTAGAAGAGTCAAAATTGGTCTAGAACCTTTCTCCGAAGGGGAAGCCAGCCGTGGGAAACTGGGTGCTTGGCTCAGAGCTTGGTTCTGAGGTGGGCTCAAAGATAGACTCAAAACTGGACGTAGGGCTAAGTTCTAGGACGGACTCAGAGCCGATCGTGAAGCTAGGTGTAGGGCTGGGTTCTGGGATGTTGTCTGAACTTAACTCCGGAACGGGCCCAGAGGTGAACGCCGGGGTGGATTCCGGGGTGGGCTCAGAGGTAAATTCCGGAACAGGCTCTGGGCTAGGCTCGGGAGTGGGCTCAGGAATGAGGTCAGATTGTGACTCAGAGATAGTCTCAGATCCGGGCTCATAGGTAGGCTCAGGGATAGACTCCGTGGTAGATTCGGGTTCGGGCTCCGTGATGGGTATAGACGTAGGCTCTGTAGTAGGATTGGGGGTATCCTCTGGGACATTGACTGTGTAGGGCTGCTCTGTTTCGATGCCCACAACCTCTTCGTAAGCCCCCAGCGCCGCGGCGCCAAGCTCATCGGTCTCGACAGCCACCAGGTTGAAGTCCGGGTACTCGTCAATAATCGTGATATTGAAATTGTCATCTTCGATATTTTCGATCTTCTCAACGAAGTCTTCAAGGTTGGCGGCCTACGGATCCATGTAGTTAGCACAAGCCTTGGATCGGAGTGAAAGGGAATAGCTGACTCACAGGATCCAGGACGACGATGAAATTGTCAGCGAGGACACTGGCCACGAAGGGCAAAATGATGTAAGTGACAAAACGCATCTTGATGTTTTGAGGTCTTGATCGGTGCTCGTAATGGTGGAAGGTCTGGTTGTGATGATGATCTGGCTAGAAATGAATGGACTTAGTGGTGACACCCTCCTATATATACATGGGAATTCTAGTTGTGAGACATCGTGAGCCTTGAGACGGGAAGTTTCCGGCAGAACGAGCTATATCATTAGCCTCATTTTACTACCGTTCGGATAGTGAACAAAGAATGAAAGGAGCCACTCCACTGTGGTCTGGCCAGATCTATCCGTCTTCTAAGACATCGATGGCATCGCCATTCCGGATAAAGTGTAGGTGTAGACGGAACCAGATTCCTCGCTAGCCAAACTCTTAACTTGCATTCCTCTCGGAATTGCCCATGGGGGAGATTGGCGGAGGGTCTACCCCGTTTGCGGACGCTTTCAAGTCTTCTCCTTTTTCCCGCTTAAAGGACTTGCCGGCCATGACAAACAACAAGATACACCACGAGGAGACCGAGATCGTTGATCATTATCGATCTTCTACCGAACACGACCCCTAAGTACTTGGAGCTAATTCCTTTCACTAGCCCTGCCGAAATCAAGATTCTTACTTCCGTTAGGTTTGGCTGTCGCCCGTCGACTCGGCACGCTAAGCCAAAGCCGCCGCAAGGCGTCAGCTCCCTACACCGCAGGAGGTCTAGCCTTTGGCCATGAGGCTGAAAATTGCTTTTTTTCTTGTCCTTATTCTTTCTTTCCATATCCTCAAGAAAGACGCACTTCGCTTCCAGTTTTGGCGCTCTCTTTGACCGCCTCGATGATGCGCAGAACGTCGCGCGCCTCGCCCGCCGGCACGGGGACGTCCTCATCCCTACCGCTCTCGACCGCCTTGGCGAACGCCTCGAATAGCTGGAGGTATGTCTTGGGCTCGGCCGTCAGCTTCGTGCGCTCCTCGACCTTGCCGCCCTCCTTAGCGAGCAGCAGCGTGCCGCCGTTGATGGGGTCTTCGACACCGAAGCCGGGCTCCTTGGGCTTTCTGCCGGCTTTGAGGTGCTCCTCCTGCGGATCGAGCCCCGTCTTATGGAACGACGCCTTGGTGCCGCGCACCCAGAAACGCGGTTGGTGGGCCTCGACGCTCATGACGCCGATGCGCACGCTAACGATGAGGCCGTTCTTGTACGACAGCTGCGCGTTCACGCTGTCAGGGTCCTCGGGGTCAAACTTACCGCCGCGCTGGCTGATGAGCTTTCCATAGACAGCCTCGGGCATGCCGAAGAGGTGGTAGGCTTGGTCAATGAGGTGGGAACCCAGGTCGTAGAGCGCGCCGCCGCCCTCGGCCATGCCCAGCTCGCCCTTCCACGTCGTAGGGCGCTCGGGGCGGTAGCGGTCGAAGTGGGTTTCAAACTCGTAGACGCGGCCGAAGACGCCGTCGCCGATCATCTTCTTGAGCGTGAGGAAGTCGCTGTCCCAGCGGCGGTTCTGGTAAACGCAGATGAGGCGCCCATTCTCCTTGGCGACCCGGATGAGCTCTTCGGCCTCGGCGACAGTGGGCACGAAGGGTTTCTCGACCAGGACGTGCTTGCCGGCCTGGAGGGCCTGCTTGGCGAAGCTGAAGTGGGTGTTGGGCGGCGTGAGGATGTTGACTATGGAAACCTCGGGGTCCTGGAGCATGGGCTCCAGGGCGGTGTGGTGCTTCAGCTCCGGATAGTCATTTGGTGCCGACGAAGAAGCCGTGGGGTTACGCTGCACAATGCTGTGCAGCTTGAGCTGAGGAGTAAGACTGATGAAAGGAATGTGGAAGACCTTTGCGGATAGGCTGTAATGGAATATCAGCATACGAAATTCGCTGATGACTCCCTCCACGGCAGCGAGGCAATCCCGGAAACATGCAAGAGGGCCTATTCAGTACAAGGGTTGGCTATCCATCACACACGTGGTGTTGGACTCAACTCACCCGTATCCGATGATTCCAACGTTATGTGTCTTGTCTGCCATCGTGATAGTATTTTGATAAGTTGCGAAAAACGGTGCACCAGTTTCCACAAACGAGACTTAGCAAGAGCGGCGGCCTTGCAGTCTTATAGAGAATCGTTCAGAGAGTCGCGTCACTCGAAACTAAGCATGAAGCGCGGAGTGAGGGGCAATCGTAAAGGAACTGGATCTCTTGGTGGAGTGATCGAACCAACCTTGACCCTTTGCGCCACAAGGAATAAACTCGGCGTTTCTCTTAATGGGCAACGGGGGGGAATCGCCCCATTTTCCGCTCGTCCGTTGCTTCACAGACCGGGACGCTAGCACCTGTTTTGACACGCGGGGATGACGAGGCCAATGGACTGTTAAAGTTGCCTGATTGGGTCACCTTGGCGGTTTCGGTGAGACCGTGGCTCTCACCGAGATCGGACCTATCTTCATATATGGATACCTTCGTCTTCCCATCAATGTGTTTTAACACCTTCATATCCACTTGAAGACCATCGCAGTCTATCTTCATATCAGGTAGGGATAATTCCACATATTGTTGATATTACTTCCACATCTCCCCAATGAAAGGTAAGAATCGGTTACCTGTGAGGTAGATCCCATTTGGTTGTTGACGCAGTGATGCAAAGTCCTCGACGTAGAAATATACCCTGCAACACGCATAAAGTGCAGAAATGAGAACGTTTGGCATGACCACGAAAAGAGGAACAGCCAACGACGGGTCCTTGTCTGCTGAGTTGTTGACCCCTGACCGAAGCAGAGTTACCAATCTGTTGACAAAACCTCTTTTCTGAATGTCTCCTTGTTCACCATGCTGACTTTGAGCCTCAGTGTCCACAGTCGATCCGACCGACAGTGAATTCCGCATGCGCTCTTGGTCCCGGTGCCATTTCTGGTCCTCGTAAAGCCAGTGGAACGCTCCGTAGAGACAAAAGAACATGTGGTACGGAGCAGCTAGCCTCCATATCAGTTGCTCCGTGGGCGACGGAAAGTGGAAGTTCCATGCAATCATGAATGAAGCGCTAAATCCCACGATGAAAACGCCGCCGAGGGGGTAGTAAACCAGCTCCATTGGACGCCAGAGATCGGACGGCAATCTATCCCAGAGGTCTTGTTTGATGGGCCGGCCGTACGGGTGAAGGTGCATCATATCGCCAATCCTCTTATAGAAGCACCAGTAAGCGTCGATACGAAACATGCGCGGAGTGATGTCGTCGAGGGGGGTGCGATGCCACCTTGTTTGGAGTCGAGGATGTGTCTTACGGGCGGGTCAGTTTAAGGAATAACTCCACTAATGAATTGGAGTGGTACCGACATGGGATCTTGCGTATGATCGAATGTCATCCAAAGTGATTTGTCGACCGTCGCGAACCTTGGTTTCGATATAGCGTGGATACGATATAGCGGGCTTCGGATACCAGCAAATGAAGGTTGCTACCATGGCGAAAGTAAAGGAGAGCGCAGTCAACTCAAGGGTCGTCATGGGCAGTCCCACTCTGATTCGGTCCATTTCGATAATGAAAAACCAAACTGTTTGCCACAACGTGATGATTCTATAGAAGACTAAGCTTTCCGAAAGGATGCGCAAGCTTCTGATTGTCTTCTTACCTTGACAAAGTATCGACGGTGTTGCGCTCCGAAATATCCATGGACTCCATGTCTGGAAAATCAATAAAGCCGTGCTTCACCAGATAATGCAGTTGTTCGGCATCTATCGGGAATCCTTCGGGAAAGTCGGGACTCTTGAGGAAAATGCCACCCATATCAACAAAGAACGCTTGCGTGTAGGTCCATTTCTTGCCGTCACACAAATGTTGGTCCTTGCGAAATTGCTGACAATTGGTTATTATCAACCCTAACGGCTAATGGACTTTTTTGACAACAGCTCACCTTTACACTCCTCCTAGCACTTGACAGCTGGCCCACGGCTAGTCCAAACAGAAAGTCGGGTCCCAGGAGCCCTATCATGGCCAGACTGAGCTTGTCGTAAAAACCATGATACCACTTGTCTTTTGGCGAAAGCGCATTAGGATGCGTCGCCGCCCATACGCACAGGAGTATTGTCAAAATGCTTGACCAGAGGATGTCAATGGTTCCCCTGTCTCGCCCAGCAGCCACCCACCCATCGACTGTGGTGTATATATCGCTCTGATTGATGCCATTGCGGGCTGACAAAAACTGCAATTGTGTGCTATTGTGTTCCCACATGGGTCTAGAAAGGGCCAAAGAGAAATGAGAAATATGAAAGACGATGGAGGTGTTGCATCCGGCTCGCAGGATATTGAGAATTCAGATAATTGTTCAGTTCAAAAAAGCATCATGATACCCAATCAGACAACCGGCCGGCTTTTGGTCTGTCAGTGAATATGGATAATTGCTGAAAACTTTTATGATAAAAGGTCTCAGTATCGCAGGAGGCGGGTCGAAGGGATAAGAAGTCGGCAATAGAGGCTACGAGGGCCCTGGGGGCGGTCAGGCTAGCACGCAGACAGTAGGAAGCCTAACATCTTACAAATCACAACACAGGTTTCGCATTTATGCAGGGGGCATCTAATTTGGGTAACATATTCTCTTCGGCGCTTAGGAAAATGGTAGGGTGGCCGGCGAGGCGGACGAACCAACGACTTGGTGAAATCCCCGGTACGACGTAGGCTGTGCTGCCATCCCGACCCGCCACGATGAAGTCCTGGCCTTGAAATAGCTTGATTTAGTGGGTAAAAAAGACAGAATATACGTAGAACTTTTGAGAATCCTAGCTAGGGTGAGCATTGTCGTGTGTTGAACATCTTGCCGGACCAATACGATCGCAATATCTTGAACCTGTTGGTTCAAGGTTGCTTTCGAGTATTTGGCATTCACCGGGGCATAACGGGCTAGCCGCCCGCAGACCGGATATGGTAATGTACCCCACTGCTCTGCAGCGTCTATTTTCATACTGCCATGCGATTGGCGAATCTCCTGTCGAGTGAGTTGGGACTCACCTGGAATCGAATGGGTTGGCCACGTTCTATCACACTGTAGAGGGATTTGGGAAAATCTATTGCATCTTAGATCTCACGACTTCACAGAACACATATTACCATCAAACGTTGAACGTGTTCAAATGAGGCATTGTCAAGGGATCATGGTTCAAACATAATCCTCTTCAATATTCTTATGCATTGAAGCAGATGTAACAGTCCAATGAAGGTAGTGTGGGCTATATAAAAACCTGATGCAACGGGCAACGGGCAACGGGCAACGGAAAAGCCTCCTCCTTTTTGTGTCTCTCCGACGGAACAGGCGCTGCCTTACTTAACAAACCCTAACTCCGTTTATGGTGCCATTGGTATCCGATTGTTGGGGTAAGGACTGTTATTACTATTCTGGACTACCTGACTCGGATGAAAGCGTGATGAGCAGTGCATCTCAAGAAGTGACCGCAGCCTCCTTTCCATTGCAAGGCATACGTCCAAACCCAGAAACAGTTACTGACGGAACGGCTAGAGTATCGAAAATGGGATCTTGGACCCCAAGTGAAGTAAATCTATGACCCTCCAGGCTGTGTCGCTTACCTCATGATAATATTGTTAGGCTGCGAGACAAATACTGGTGACTCATTATCTTATTACCATCACTTAGCTTATGGACATTGTCTGATTGCTAACGGAAACAGTAACGACGGCCTTTGAGTCGGAAGATCCATATTTTACACTTTAGCCGACTCTAATCTATCCACGACGTCTTGTTATCTGACGAGTAGGACTTACCCTCCTGCACTTACAAGCTCCATTAATCTTTGTAAATACCTCCGAGGTCGCACATGTGTCGTCGAGTTCGAAGTCGGAGCCGATTCCAAGGGTGCGGCTGTATTGCCTCCGAGGGCGTAGAATTTTCTATTTCCATCCGCGAACTTAAAAATCCACTTCCGTTACGTCTGTTCGGAAAAGATTAAATCCCACTCGGAGAGAACCCCGTCACCGATGCAAATTGAAACATTCATATTTTGACTCTCGTAAGAGTCGTGCATCCGGAATTGCGACGGAGCTGTGCCGACCCCTCGTCTGAAGTTCCGGCCAGCAAAGCGGTTGGCGCGGCCAGTAGATTCGATTTGAACCCTATCTGACCAGATGATGTTGAAGATGTCCTCCCTTTTGATAGTTGGCGAAGGCCAGCTGCACAGCCTTCATCATAGTCTTCTTGAATCTTCATTGCCCTCGGGGAGGATACTTACCACGAGCATCTTCCAATGTGATATGATGCTGAGCAAAACTTTTAGCACGGTCCCCTTGAAGCAGTAGTAGCGATCTCGCAATCCTTTTGGGTTTTCGCTGGACGATAGTTCAGACAATATGACCCTCGTTTGTATATAACAATTATCCTTAAATTGTTATCGTCTGTACCGTTGTGTGATGATCCAGCGAGGTCCCATGTGAATCAACTGCCAAAGACATCTTGATTCGAAAGGGGAGAAGCTTGAGATTAATACCCAGGAACATGAAAATGAAACACGTCAACTTTACGGTTGTCTGAATGCTCCAATCATCAGGCAACGCAACAAAGTTCCCATCACGTCGCATTTGTCCCAGTGATAATAGTGTGGCCGGGCGGGGCCTCCCTGACACAGACATTGTGAGAAGAAAAGCATCGCAGCATAATCTGTTCTTCGCAACCAACGACTTCAAGTAAGGCAGCCGGCACACACGCAGGCCGGAAGCGACCGGCAATTCGGCATGAGCTTTTCTGAACGGCTATGCGATAATAAGTAGCTTCGCTTCTGAGTCTAGACTTTTCTTCCGGAGCCTTTGTGCGAGACAACCGAACAGCCTGCTCTGACTTGACTCCAATCAGAATTCTTCGCAGCCCGTAGGCCAGATAGAGATGCAGGGGGCGCTCAACGAATGGCTCGAAAACTATTTGGATTTCTGAACACTAGTTGTAATTGCCTGATATCGTGTATGTGCTGGTAATGAATAGAGCGTACCCTGGTATAGAGAAGTTTTCCAGTCAGCAACTTCCTTGAACACGCCGGACTGCTCCGGGCCCTGTGTAAACCCATCTCAGAGAAACGCGTCTGATGGCAGAACGTTCAAATGGTGGTAAGGAGTTTCCCGAAAACGATCAGCACCCTCTCCTCCTAGCGGGGTTACAGACCACCCTTTCACTTGAGAGCCCGTGTATCCGGTGGGGATGGATGCATTTCTGGAGATGGTTATTAGAAATCACCCATCCTTTTCATCACAAAACATTTCAGCTGAAGCATCAAGCCCATCTTGAATAACGTTTGAATGTTCCTTATCAATCTTGAAAATGTGGCTAAGCCCCGCGGGACATATTGCGGGAGCCAGGCAGGCTCCAACCGTTCATGGTGTCTCAGACGGGCGAAATCAACTCATGTAGCTGGCAGAAGGCGCACGTCCGTTCTCGATTCATACTGTTACGACCATGGCGTCGTTCTTGGAAAACTGGAAATGAACGGCTCTCGACCGATTCGATGCCTTGTTCTGCGCTAGGTCTGTTTTCACATTGAAAAATCATACCGAGTAGGAAGGCTGGAGGTAAATCCATCACGATCTGCGGCATTCCCAGCCCACGAGAGTCTGGCCCATCAACACATACTTTGGCCTGGAACGGGGATGGAACATGGACCTCTCCCCGGTTCTCAGACAGGTTATCGCATGCCGTGACGACGCACTGCCCAACATGAACCTTAAATGATCGATCGGATTTTGGCCATAGCGCACAACTGTGGCGGCAGAGCGCGGGGTGTTTCCCGCCGACAGCGGAATTCGACAAACAGACTCATCTTCCGTCCTCTAGCTGATTCGTTTCGGCCGATTCCTGACTCGGGATGTTTCCTCCATTTGGCTGGGAATAACATGTCTTGGCGTTTGGGAATCGACACTATCTCCTTGGATTGTTTATCGCTTGACGGATGAATGAAAAGCTGAGCCGTATCTTTTTTAAACTACGGTCCGTCCCTTGTCATTTTACACTGAGCTTTTGGCACCCTTTGCCAGACCAGAATTTGTCCTTTTGCTGTCCGGTAACACCCCCACACGACGCCTTTCCCCATGATATCGCCACATAGCGGTGCAGCTTCGTCGATTATCCTACATTAGCGGAGATGAACGAGACGCCAGATCATTACGATTCTGATAATTCGCCCTACTCGATCCGTCCGCTGCCACCAGTCCTTCGCAATGGCCTCGCCGTGGTTGCAACAATGGGTTTCCTCTCCTTCTTTACTAGCCTCGGCTTGTTGGTGTTCCTGACATTCAAGCTGATATCATGGCACAACGGACCGCCAAAGCTGAGGAAAGAGGAGGACCAAGTCACCAAAGTCGAAACGCCAACAACAGCAAATGCAGCATTTATTATCCCGAGCAACTGGGTTGCTGCTACTGAGGCAGCTGCCGAGAGGGCTGCACAAGAGAACTGGTGGCGAAGGGCGATAAACGAGCCGCCGAACCAGTTTCTCGTCTTGATCTTCAACTTACTCCTTGCCGACATTCAACAGGCGTTGGCGTTTCTACTGAACGCCAAATGGCTGACGAGAAATTCAATAGAGGTCGGCACGAAAACTTGCTGGACCCAGGGTTGGTTTGTTTCAACCGGCGACTTGGCATCGTCCGTCTTTATCACGGGTATAGCGATCCACACATATGTGTCGATCGTTTTAAACAAGAAAATCCCGACCTGGATTTTCCACACGGCCATAGCCATGATGTGGATATTCGTGTACGGAACAGGGATCCTTACGGTCATCATTACAGGACATGGAAAGGCTGAAGCCGGCCTTTATGTTAGAGCCGGTGCATGGGTAAGTTGTGATACGTCTGCATTTTCAGGTTTGCTGTACTAACACTGCCATAGTGTTGGGTCAACTCCAAATACCAGGACATCCGCCTGACTCTTCATTATCTCTGGATATTTGCTGCATTGATCCTCACTACCATGATATACTTTGCAATTTTCCTGCATTTGCAGAGAATAGCAAGGAAGAGCGGTGGCGTGATCCTTTGCTGCAACGTTGCTGGGCACGAGTCAAGTTCGTCCAGCTCTAACGGAACCAGTCCATCAGATTGCAGTGTCACAAACTGGACGTGGAAGACAAGAAGCGTCAGCGACGGTCAAAGATCCCGCATATGGCGCCCTATAGGCTTGACAACGGTGTTAAGACGGCTCCCAGACATACCGGATTACGCCCGCCAGCACACCTTTCTCTTGTACCCCTTCGTTTATGTCATCTGCACCATGCCTCTGGCGGCAGGCCGTCTCGCATCCATGGCAGGCCATAATGTCTCTCTGGCCTACTTTTGCTTCGCGGGAGCCATGATAGCTTGTAACGGCTGGATGGACGTTGTCCTCTACTCGTCGACCCGGAGATCTATCGTATTCTCCGCTGATGGACCACCCACGCAAGAAGTGGGCTTAAATACATTCGCATTCATGTGCAACGCACCACCGAGATTCGGCAATACGACAACTATTATTAGCGGAGCAGATCCCAGCGGGAACAGAAACTGCAGCAAGTGGAATGGCAAACTTGCTCGGAAGGGGCCTAAATCAGGCAGCCTCAAAGGGCTTACAGTCGAGTGCAATGAGAGCACAGACAGCATGAGGGGATTCGGCATGGGCGAGGGCTCTGTTATGGGCATGGCTATCCAATGCGAGAGAACCACGACTGTCTCTGTGGAGGAAGACAACACACCGACACCTCCAATAAGAGCGAAATTTTCCTCTTGTGATAGAAAGATGAGCAACGCTAGTTTTTTGAGTGTCGACTCATTTCAGTCATCAGGGTCGGGCTCTATAAAGGAATGATAAATGTGTTTTGGGAAATGATCAACACTTCTAGATGTATGTATATATGGACATCAGAGTAGGCCCAGTCGCCTAGCCTTACAGCTGGTCACCAGAGCTTTGATATAATACCCCATTATGATACTCATACGCGGTATTGAGTTGTAACAATACGAAGAACACGATGAATATGTTTCCTAGGAGGCAGGGTGCACGAATCTCTCTTGCTGTGATATGCGTGTTGTCACAAAGCCAGCCCACTTGGTTGGTGGCTGTGCTTGAACTTTTTCTGCGTGCTCTAACACAATCATCACTCTTGATGGCCTCCCTTGTATCGAGCTAACCACGAATGGTAGATACCCAAAGCTTGGTTCCCAAGTCGGGTCCATGACACGGAGGGAACACCGCTGCCTTCCCAGAGCCAACGGGGAGCTTCCCTGTTCAATTCGGCTGGCCTACCTGTATGTTTCGTGCCCCACGAATCCGCCTCTCCGTAGATAGCTCGGTCTGAACTTTTGTGGGATGGCTGGTCGGGCTAGAAAGTCAAACATATTTACGGTAGCCGCCGACAGCTAAGAGCCAGAAACAGTCGACGTTTGAGAAAAGGCAGCGGCCATCCCAGAGCGGTTCTGACGTTGCCGGCTGAAAACAGACTTTTCGATATGGTTTCGGGCTGTTGAGTTCAATGCTGCCCTTTGATTCGTCGATTCCAATGTGGTGGACTGACAGTGGATGAGCCGCCGAAGTGACAGCTGACCGTACCCATGGCTATACTCACGGACGTAGAATGAAACATTGGAAAAGAGCACTTGCCGCTGTGGTTAATGCCTGCGAGTGTTGACAAATTAGCTGTATGTTCGGCAGTAGACGGAGTTCAGAACCGACGTCTGCGACCTGTGAAGGCCCTCGATCAATCTGACATTCCAGAGGGCGCAGCAAAGACGAGAAACACTTTGTGATGTCAGGGGCGAGAAAAAGTTGTGCCAGCGCGGATCCGAAGCCCCAAGACCTGGGTCTGTGCCACCCGCTGAAGCAGTGAAGCCTCACTTCGGCATCTTGAGACGACGAGCGGCCCACGTTTCATGAAGCAATTGTAAGACTATACCTACGCCCACCTGATGACGAAGCCTAGTAGGAACCTCGGCCGGATAACGTACCCGTCGTTTTTATCGCATATGAAAATTGACATGTAGTCCTCAGTCGGATATATTGACACTGACGGAGTAACGGATGGTTCCTGTGCGCACTGAGCATCAAATCGATCAGAAACACCTCAAAAGAATTGGACGTATTGGGAGAAAGAAATATAAAAGCTTTGGTAGGGTGAGAGGAGGGAGGCCGGACGGGGAACAGATGGATCAGTAATAACAGCCAAAGCTAAGTAGCCCTCCGATTAATATATGGATTCAGCCAGTCAAGTGAGCTTCAACGTCTTGAAACTAACTACTGTTGTCTCGCATCTTTACAGCAAAACCGCCGCCCTTCTCATCGAGCATCTTGTTTGCCACCGCATTGATCCGGCCAACTTGAGCATCATTTCCATCAAAGAGCAGGGCGACCTGCTCCAAGCTAGGTCCTTTGGTCTGTAGACAGTCAGCGCCCAGCATTCCCATCGAAATTCCCGGAAAACTCACCTCCGGGAACACCAAGTACACGACAACGAACTGGACGATGATCCAGGCGACGTAGAAAAAGTAAAATTTCCAGGAAATGGCCGCGATGCCAAGCGGGTTTACGTAGGTGCTGAAAGCTCCGCAGATACCCGCGACGAGAGAAAACATGGCCATGCCCTTGGCGCGGATAGTGTAGGGGAGAATCTCGACGACTGGCAGCCTATCAGTGCTCTTACTCTCTCCACCTCGTATAGGAAGCGAGTAACACTTACTGTATAGCATTTGCGCGCCCTTCCATCCCAGGTTGTGCACGCCGCTGTACAAGTAGATGAATGCAACAGTTGTGAAGCTGGCGTGTCGATTGCCCGCCTCGACATACGCTCCGGTGGTGGCAGTGATGACTACAAACACAACCCACATCCCAGCCGTACTAACCAACATCAACGGCCGACGACCGACTCGGGCAGGAAGAAAGGCAAAGGCAAACGAGCACGCGAAGCTAAACATCTACGAGGTCGCCGTGACTAGCGTTGTCTCGATTTGTCTCGTGATGCCGGCGCTCTTCAGCATGGATCCGAGGAAGTATGAAATCAGCCCGTTACCACTCCATTGCTTACAAATCCCACACCAAATGATGATGAAGGAGCGCCATCGGTTGCCCGGCGTGGAGAACAGCGCCTTGAGGTGGAACGGGTTCTTGTTCTGCGAGATCTCGGCCTCGATGGTATCGCGGATTTCAGCATACCGGTGCTGAACGACCACGTCGTCGACGTTGCCGGCGCCGTGATACTTGGTGAGGATTTCGAGCGCCGTCTGTTCCTTGCCTTTGCTCCAAAGCCATCGAGGCGATCTAATTGGCAGGTCTTCAGATGGCACGATGTGTGAATGTTCCTTGGCGAACTTACTCTGGAAGAAACAGGAGACGGCAAAGCACCATCGCGGACGGGACGGCTTGAATCATCGTCGGTGTTCTCCAGGCCCTGTCGGAGCTTTAGCGAAGACCCTCGTCGTGTGTGCAATAGTTTCCCCATGCCGCCGAGACTGACCATGTGTTCTGGATCCGGAAGCTGCCAAAGGCAACCCACGCGGCGAGGATGGCACCGACGCTGTAGGTCGTGCTGCTGAGCGCCGTCGCCGTCGCCCGGTGTGCTGGGTATGCCAGCTCGGTCATGAGGACCGTCGAGACGGTCTTTGTCGTCGTCGGCGTCGTTGACTCAAGGGCGTGACGATCGTCGCTATTCACCAGCTTGAGATTCCAGCCCATGGTTGTGGATCCGTCTTCCCTTTGCTCAATGCGACTGATCTGCTAGAGGAGAGATGATCAGAGATAGGCGTTAATCTAGGAATTACATGTTCAATGGACGCCTGCGGTTGCTTATATCCAACTCCGCAGGGTCGCATCACCCTCCGCTGATCATTGTTGTCTGCACGGCTCCGCTGCCAATCTTGTTTGCTAGAGTGGTTCCATTCAGACTTCGGTCCGGGTAGCGGTCCATTGACAGGAGAACAATGGTACCGAACGCGGGGAAACATGGGGTCAGCAATGGCAGAGGACCATGGGGTAAACTCGATGAGAATGGAGACAACTGCGGGACAAGCCTGGTTCGGCAGGTTAGGTCCTCACTGCCGTTCACATTTGTTTTTATGGGCTAGCTCGACTCAAGACATGAGATCAGGCGTTGCCAAAAGCGCCGGGGGTCCTTTCATAGGCGATGGCTGTCTGGAGAAGCTTCGGGGTTCGCGATCCTGACGGCCCATCGGGGGATTCGTCGCGCGGGGAACCGTCCATCGCGCCATGCCTCGGCTCCATTTTCCCCGAACCCAGCGGAAAGGATCACCATACGTCACAATGAACGCCGCATAGAGGGCGGGGGGGTCGTCCTCCGCAAGTACGGCTTTAAACCGGCCGGCTCGATAGACTAGGCTTGAAGACGGAGCATCCAACACCGACGAAATGGACTTCAAACTGAAGTTCGTCGCCAAGTCTGAGTTGACGCTTGATGCGCGCCGGGAGCACCGGATCAATGCCAACTCGTTCCAGCAAGATGCGCTGACAACCTTCAACGGTTGGCAGTACGCCTGTTTCTACACGCACAAGGACGCGTCCGGCAGTGTCCTCTTCGTCAGCCTTGCGCGACGCCCAGTTAGCCAAACTCTAGGTAGCTGGGAGACGTTGAGCTTTGATGACTACGAGCAGACGCCGGACGACGGGCATAACACCATCTCCATAGGTATCTGTGCCGGGGATGGATCGATCCATGTCTCGTTTGACCATCACTGCGACCCGTGAGTTTTACAGTCATCTCATCTCATGTCATGTCGTAGAGCTCCGTTGACGAGTGCGCATGGCGCAGTCTGCACTACCGCATGTCGATACAAGGCGTAGCAACGAACCCGGAAGCGCATGAGTGGAAGGCGTCATTGTTTAGTCCGACTCGTAATCAACTGCCGGGATACACACGCACTGGTCAGCTAGGCGTCGAGAAGCTCTTCTTGGAGATGACTTATCCTCGCTTCATCCGAATCGAAGATGACCTCCTCTTGACCTATCGCATTGGCATGTACGTGCACCGGCATGGCTGTGTGTTGATCCGAAGAAGACGCAACTGACTGGCATGCAGGGCTGGAGCGGGGTCTGACCACCTCTTCAAATACAGCAGCAGATCCCAGTCATATTCATACATCGGACAGTTTCTCACGGGTGTCCAGAACAATCCATACATCAACGGCATCTCGTACGCCAACGGCCGCATCCACGTGTCCGGGACCTACCGCGGGTTTGTCTGGTACGAAGGCGTCGACGATCCGGAAGCGAGGCTGCACACGGTGCAGGCCGGTCCCAACGGTCCGGAAAACAACCACAATGTGGGTTTGTGGTCGGCCCCCCCCCCTGTATGGGCGAGACTTGACTGACCTCAGACAGTTGTTCTACGTATGCAGCGATGACGGCGGGAAAACATTCAACAACACAAAGGGCGAACGGCTCGCGAACCTGGAACTCGGCGAGACAGTCTTTCCCGACTGCGACGGGCTGATCGTCTTCGACATACCCATGAACAGCGGTATCCTGAACCAGGAGGCACAGGCGGCCGACGACAGCGGCGGATTCCACGTCTTGAACCGCGAGAAGGAAATCTGGATGCACTACTATCGGAGTCCGCAGGGGAAATGGAGCCGACACGCGCTGCCTCGCCTCCGGCCGACGCGGACAGGAGCACGCGGGGATGTCATCGCGCTGCCGGGGAAGAGCATGGTTGTATTCGCTTTGCCAGGAAATCTGGATGACAAGCTCACCGTCCTGGGCGTCCGGCTGCCTCTGGAGGACGTGGCGACCGAGGAGACGAGGCTGGAATATGCCACGCTCTGGGAAGGCGACGGGTATTCCGGCGAGCCGCAGCTTGAGACGTTCGAGTCAGGGTCGCAGCGGTTGGTCTCTCTATTCACTCGCACAGAAGAGGAGGAAAGAAAGGTGGTTGTCTTGGACTTTGCCTTGGAAGAGGCTGCTTAACCGTGCTGTCGACACCACGAGCTTCTTCCAACCCTACTGCGGAAGCCAAAAGCAAAAAGAAAAGAAAGACGTGATGAGAAAGTCGGGAAATTACCGGGACCATCCGGCGCCCTGCATTGTTTGCTGTACCGCCGACCCAGACGCACTCTACTTGGAAGATGACGTCGCACAAGGCAGAGAAAAGAGAGGAAGAAGAAAACTCGTACCAGGCTATGTTTGCCCTGATGCCAAGAGGCGCAAATCCGGCGAGGCGGTGTGGATTGCGTTTGTCCGGATAAAGCAAAGTTAGAGAGCAAGAAACGCCTGTTGGCAGTTCGTGGGTGAGACATTTGAAAGATCGCCATACAAATCCGAGGCCTCGTTTCTCGTATTCCACTCGAGTCTACACAAGTGCATGTTAGAGGCGTGTCAGTCAAGAACAACTCGCGCGCTGGACATGGTGGAGGCAGCCAACTGCTCTCTGCTCTGGTCTGGTCTGCGTTTCCCAACCGCGTCATCTCGGGCAGCACGTGCATGGCAACACGGCATACACCCTGGACATACCAGACATCGGACATGGCCCTCATGTATGCTGTGCCTAGTGAAGGACAGAAATAGGGAATCTATTGGGCATGAGGGATCGAGTGAGGCGATGCAGAGATGCATGCTTACCCAGTACTCGTTCTCCAGACCCCAATGTCGAGCAGTTCCCGACCGCATACGAGGCCAGACACTAGGTAGGACAAGCAAAGCATCACAAGACAAGAGGCAAGACGGCCGAGAGAAACCCGTCCGATCCCTGTCTCAAACGGCTCGGCCGCCGGTCCAGCCACCCGGGTGTTGTTGGCATTCTCATAGGCTGCGGCACCCAGCCCCGGCCTCTTCAAGAGGGTCGAAATCTCTCTCTTCATCCCGCCCAGCAACCAGACCAGCCAACTCAGAGCCCCCCTCCTTCTCCTCTCCCCCCCCCCCCCAACAGCCTACCATTATCCATACATATCGTCCAGGGTTTGCTTTTTGAAACCCCGTTCCGCCAATGCGGCGCTACTGTGCCTGAGCTCGTGTTGGCCAACCCCTGGCTGGGCCCCTTGTCGGGACCAATTATAGCTTATTCCCAGCCAATCCGGTTCCATCGACTAGCCAAGTCCCCCTCACGTCTTTTGCCTGCCGTGCTGTTGAATATTGGAGTCGCTCTCTGGGGGAGAACGAACGCATGCAAGGTTTCTTTAGGGTCTGCAGTTCACGGACGGACGACGACCGAGTCACGCGAGAGACAGCTGTCAAGCCACACATTTCCTCCTCCTCCTCACACCCCCCCCCCCCCGGCATCGCAAGAAAGATGCCCGCTCCGGCCTTCAAGCCTACTCTGGGCTGTGTCCGCCGTATCCGAACTTTTACTTTCCTCCCCGGGATACATCTGCGTTCCCCATCCAGTGTAGTGGACATCGAGGTCTCGCTTCTGCACCGCCAAGGATGTGTAGAAGGCAAAGCATCGCTCCAAGCTCCGCATTTATGCGGTGAGCAGCGAGTTGCCGTGTTCCTGGGTGTTCCTGAGCCGTCGACCTGGAGACTAGTCATTCTGCTTGTGTGGAACATGCGCTTTGGGGAACTGCATGTCTAACCTTTCCAAAATAGATTGTCGCCATTCTGAGTGGGCTTGCCCAGCCCGTTGGGTATCTGAGGAATAAGTTCGTGCAGACATACAAAGAGGGATTCCATCCCCTTGCCCGCGAACGATCGTCACACACACAGACACACACACTTTCAAGCGGTCAAGAATCTTCTCTCATCCCACACATCCCTCTCCCCGTCCGTAGCAGTCGGGTCCGTCTGGTCCGCCTTCTTCCATCGGATTGATGGCCGCACCACGCTCGTTTTAGCCTTAGCCAACTCAACCTTGACGCCTGTCACTCGCTACATCAAACCATCCGTACGTATCGCCGCGCCGATGATACTCTCTCTCGCCTCGAGGACCGCCGCGCCCTCGTCCTCTTCCTCGACCGACCCCGTGGCCGACGACTTGACCGCCACAACCCCCGGCTCCACCAACACACGGACTCTCATCATCATCTCCACCGTGCTGGGAACCGCATTCTTCTTCGCCATCGCCGTCGCGGCGTACTTCGTCGCTACCCGCCACCGGAAGAGGCAGGCCGCCGAGGATTACAAGAATGCCTGCCTGCGCAACCCGGACCTCACCTGGGAGGAGTACACGCGGCGCACGAGGCTTACCCAGTCGCGCATCATCCTGGCCGAGGAGGAGCTGAGGGACACCATCATCCGCAAGTCCCTGCAGGCCCGGACGTCCATCACCGTGAGCACCGTCGCCCCCGGCAGCCCCGACACGGAACCCCCCGTCTCGCCGCCGGCCCGCACGCGCTCCAGGATCTGGCATGGCCGCACCAGGTCAAAGTCGAGCATCGAGGCGGAAGAGGGCGAGGGGCTGCTGATGTCCGTCCGCAGCGACTGGGACGAGCACGAAGCCCGCGTCGAGAAGACGTGGGAGCTGCTTCACAAAAAGTACCCGACGCGGCGGGTGACGTTGCCCGTCCAAGAGGACTACGGCGGCCCCGTCCGCCCGCCCACCATACGCCTGAAGACGCCGCCTCTTCTTTCGCATCCCATGTTTAGGGGCTGGACCGCCGAAGGTCCCGTGAGGCAGAGCAGTCTGCCGACGGAGCTGGCCCGGATGAAGCCGGCGCAGATCTGATGCACGACGTCGACGAAGCACGATAAATATATACCTTGCCTATAATGTCTATTACGGATTAATGAATCATGGGTGCTGGCTTGGATCCAGCCCGGCGAGGCGTTTTGGGACGGGGGGTTTTACATGTCATCATGCTCATGAAAGCCTTGTCTTCTGGATTTTGATGATATATGTATATATTGGCAATTGACCAACTTGAATAACACCTCACATCCGTCTGAGCTTGATGTATCTTGACGGCGTACTACTAGCGCCGCCCTTCAACATCTCTAGGTCCTCCGACTTCAGCGCAGCAGCAGCAGCAGCGCTTTTTGACTGTCCAGCCAGACGCCGCTGCAGCAATGAGAACTTCATGTTGGATATTCACCCCCACGTAACGTTCCTTGGTTGTTTGTTTTCTTCTTGACCTGACGTCGGGCTTATCTGATGCATCCAAATCTTGGCTTGTGGCATCGTTCAAGAGACGAGCGTGTATAAAACACCACTATTCACGTGTAAGCACAACTTTGACCCCAAAATGGACGTTTCAAGTAAAGGCCAGATATGAGGAGCAAGCGAATCAGCCCAACACTAGTCAACGAAGAAACGGCTTGCAATCATACAGTCTGGGGACTCCGGTCTCGGATCTCTCAAATGCGCTGAACGAGATCCGACTTCGGGGATGTTGGCGGCGTCATGCATAGACTCGGTCTGGTTTTGTTTTCCAAGTCTCGGCCACCTCTCATCAGTTCCACCGGTTGACGAAGGGGGAAAAAAAGAACTGAAAATCCGACGCGTCACAAAGTCACACCTCACAACGCCGACGGTGACGAAACAACTGCAACAGACTAACGACAATGGCAGGCCGCTGGGCTGTCTCAGATCGTGCCGCTTCGGCCCACCAGGCCGAAGAAAGAAGCATTTGGTCTCAGTTCCACGACCTCGCCGTCTCGGCCCTCCGGTGAAGAAAACAGCGCCCGCATTGATGGTTTTACGCGTGCTCCCGGCTAGATCCTGCAAGAGGAATCTGCATTGTTGTTAGTGGGCACTCGCACTTCCGTTTCCTCGGGACGTTGGCTCTTCGGAACGCTACGCCTATGTGGGCTAGTGCTCTTAGACAGCCCACCAGCGGCGTGATATGCATGCATACATACATAAGCATGGATCAATGGTTCTCATTGAACTCTCCATCTCCGTTCTTCCTATTCTCTCATGATTCCAAGTTCAGGTCAACTGTACTGACCGTGCTAACAGACTTTTTCGAGGTGTCGGAATTATGTAGCAAGACCTGGAAAACTAGCGTTGCATGATGCTTGACGATGCTGCCGGGTGTCTTCTGTAGAAACCGCAGTAACATATATATACTGATATTTGAGAATGAGAGGATAAATTGGTGCAAGGCTGACAGTGTGCGGTAAATCTCAAGTCAGATGCCTTGTCATGGGAGATAGGATAGATTGGTATCATTTTATTATCACCATAGAGGGAAACGCAGGACATGCTATCATCTTCATTTGACAGACGTACTTTTCGATTTCTTTTAGTGATACATATACATCGTCTCGCTCATTACTAGGTTACATATGTACCCCTGTGGTATCTTTTATCTATATCGCCAAGATGGCGAACAGGCTCAGGGCGATGGCGCCCAAGCTCACGGAGACCATGCTGGCACCGCTCTCTCCAGATGTGGAAGACGGCACGGCGGCAGATCCGGTAGCGGTACCGGAGGGGCTGCTAGTAGTACCGTTGCTCTGGACAATGCGGCCCTCGATCTCGGCGTCGATGGGGCTCTTGGCCTGGACGTACTGGACGAGGACCTCGTCCTGGGTGTCCAGTGAGACAAAGTCGGTGGTGGCGACGAAGATGTTGTCGCCGCCGCCGGCCAGGAAGTCGAGGGTGACGACGCGGTAGTCCTTCTCGTCGTCCAGGGCCTCGCCGGCAATCGTGACGGACACCAGCCTGGAGCCGTTGTTGCCGGCCGGGTTGTACTCGACGACGATGTTCCTGGAGACCTGGAACCCGGAGGTGATGGGCAGGTTGTTGAACTGGTTGACCCTGCTGACGGCGCCCTCGAGCACCTTGCGGATGTCGGCGCCCTTGTAGGTGATCTCGACGATGGAGTTGCCGAAGGGGAACGAGGTGAGGACCTCGCCGCGGGTGATGTCGCCCTTGTCGATCGTGGCGCGGATGCCGCCGGCGTTGATGAGGGCGAAGTCGGGCGGCGTCGAGTCCGAGTTGTTCAGGCGGTACTCGTACATGGCGTCCGTCATGACGTTGCCGAGGAGGCACTCCTGGCGCTGGCAGAGGGTCTGGTCGAGCTCTACGTTGCTGACGCCGACGACCTCGGCGGCAAAGGCTTCGAAAGGCCCGCGCCATGCCTCGATTTGCGCCTGCAGGTCCGGGTCCTGCTCGGTGGTGTTGGTGAGGTGGATGGGCCCGCCGTGGTAGGCGAGGACCTTGCCCTCGGTGTCGTAGGTGACGTCGATGTAGCCGACGTACTCGCCCCAGCGGTAGGCCGTGACGATGAAGACGTCGTCGCCGTCCTTGTTCTTCGTGATGGTTGGGTAGGGGCCCTCGGCGTCCTCCATGTCGCCGAGGAGGGTGTGGGAGTGGCCGCCCATGATGAGGTAGAGGCCGGACGTCTCCTCGGCGAGTTTCTGGTCCTCCTCGTAGCCGATGTGCGTGAGGGCGGCGATGCGGGTGATGTTGGTGGTGGACTTGATGTGGTCAATGGTGGACTGCACCGTGGTCACGACGTCGTGGAACTTTGTGCCCTTGCCGGGGGACGAGATGCCCGGCGTGGTTGGGGTGGTGACACCAATGACGGCGAGCTGCTGCTTATCAAAGATGTGGTAGGGCTTGATGGTCTTGTTGAGCTTCTCGTTGTCGGACTCGATGTTGGCGGCGACGATGGGGAAGGTGAGGTTCAGCAGAAAGTCACCGAGCTGGTCGTCGCCGCCGTCGAACTCGTGGTTGCCAAGCGTCATGGCGTCGAAGCCGAGCTGGTTGATGGTCTCGGCGATCTTCTCGCCCTTGTAGAAGCTGTAAAAAAGGGTCCCCTGGAACTCGTCGCCGGCGTTGAGCCAGAGCGAGTCGTTGTACTGCGGACGCAGCTCGTCGACTGTGTGCTTGATGCGGGCGTAGCCGCCGTAGCAGCCGCGCTCGGGGCGCGTGCAGTCGGTGCCCGAGGAAGAGTACTCGTCGAGATGGGCGTGCACGTCGTTGACGTGGAAGAAGGAGATGTTGAAGTGCCCGGCGGCGTCGATGCCGCGCTTGGCGAGGCGCGACGAGTACAGGTGGTCGCCGTCCTCCTTCGCCGGGACCGCGAGCGCAGTACCGGCGAGTGCCAGAGCCAGCGTCGGAACAGACTGACGCATCGTGGGCAAAAGGGAAGGGAAAGGATGGACCGCGGATGGAGGCCGAGATCGGTCTGATGTTCCGGTTCGCACGGGGAAGTCAATGAAGCCTTCGCGATACCACGGTTGGACGCTACGCCAATCGATTGACTGAAAAGGAAGGGAAGAAAGACAGCTACGGCCAGCTACGTAAAAGCTGTCCTACGTAGCTTTGAGGCTACCCTCGCTCGATATATACAGTTTCCATTCTGCCTGCTGTTGGGAAGCGATCCGCCGCCGATCTCTGCCCTGGAGGTGGGTGGTTGGAGGGGAACCATAGGCGATAGTGACAACAACGGTGGCACAGAACGACGAGGGGAACACAGGGCCCTACCGCTCGAGAAAGCATCTCGGAGGCCGCTGACTGGCTGGACAAAAACGAGGGAGACCGATTGGAGGTTCTTTTGGTTGCTTGCCAAGAACCTTAGCAGGGTGGCTGATGCCGGGAAAGCAGCGTGTTCGGTGACAAGGTCTTACTTTGCCAAGAGCCAAGCTAAGATGAGGGACGAGATACGGATACACGTGTCGTGGCCCTTTGGCTGATTGGCTTATCAGCGGTCCGTTTGCCTCTTCGGGAGACGCAATGTTGGCCCGGGGGATTCATGGCCAGTCTGCGGTCTGCGTTACTTCTCAGCTCGGTCACCGGCTCTCATAAGGACGACCGAAGTTTCTGTCCCAGTCCATGGCCAAGGTTGGCGGATAGGTAGGCAACTTGAGGCTCATCTACGTGATAGCCTATTGACAAGGTTGTGTCAAAGCCGGAACGACCACGAGCTGCCACTACTTTGACATGACCCACCGTCCAATGCGCACCTTGATAAATATGTGCGGAGCAATCTACGTTATGGAGCATACAGGTAACAAGCAGTACTACAGAGTACCCCGTACACCAGGGTCAGACACTCCCTCGGTAATACTGCGTATCCCCACGCGTACCAGGACGGCAACTTGGCGTGAGCCCAACAGCGTCTTCGTCGCCCATGTTGTGCCAGGCCGGCTTGGCAAACGTCTCTAATGATTCCAGTATTTCCTCTCTCCTTCTGTTTCCATCCAAGCTCCAGTAAGCCGGCGTATCGTTTCTTTCTCTACGTGGTAGGTCTCGGGGCAAAAGAAGAAAATGGCCCAATCCCGAATTCACCCTCCATGCCCACTGGCAACACAGACCAAAGATCCCTGGCCGGCCCGTGGGGTTTGGACAGGGCACAAATAACGTTAAATCCAGCGAGCGTCCAATCCTGCGCCCCCGTCCGGCCAATCTATCTGATAGCTGAGGGACCTGTCCAGAGAGTCCTAGGCCGAAAACAGAAGGTCAATGTTACAGCGCCAAAGGCTCTCCCTGGCGAGCATCCAAGCCATCTCATGCCCATGGTCCAGTGGAGGGTACATATGGTCTGTTCAGGCGGTGATTCCGGTGATGGGGGTAACCCAGGTACTGGGCCGAGCCTGCGCAGCACCTTGATACGTAGCCATTGTTTTTGTCGGGAAATACTTATTCGTTGGTTCTAGATGGTGTGGGACGCCTCGAAAGATAAGGAGCGCAAGACTGATAATCCGCATAGCCCTTGACACCATCCGTGAGCGATCCTTGTTTGGTAAGAGGGCACACGAGCCCGTCTCAACGATGGAATTCACGCACGGCGTATGAGGAACAGCCGTGTCATTGGTCGCTGTGTTACGAGCGATTTCCTGGTGTTATATATGCTTGAATTCAAGCATGTTTTGGATTGCTATGAGAATGATCCAGTAATCCGCGCTGTCACCCAATTCAGTCAACCTCACCGCTCTCACCGTGGTCTCTCTCCGTGGGCCTTCGTATGCCTCAGCCCCTCCATCTTGCGGAGGGGTACTCGTTTCACCCAGGCAAGGTCAATCGCTCTCAACTGCACAACCGATGTCCAGTCGGAGGGATGGAACAGCGTCTCTCTCGTGCAATCGCTTTCATGGCGCTACTATATTCCAGAACCCCAATGGCTGTGATGACGTCTGTCTTCGTTTCCATGTCTCAACCATGCGCCTGTGTCCTTTCTAGCAAATGCAGCCCCTGTTCCACACATTACAGATTCTGCTGTGAGCAAGCCCTCGGCACAATATCCTCCTGGCACAATAAATGGACGTGGGGTGCCCAATGCTCGAGACATCATGCTCTTGCCAGGGATTCTTTGCAGTTTTACGTTGTATACGAAGATAATAAACCGCAATCAAATCTTTGGCAGATTTGTCTGCTCAGCGCCAGTGTGTCCGCCTTCAACACTTCGGTGAAGCGCGGAATGCCAAACTGCTTGAGAGTTAGCCGACCTCGTCTCATGGGTGAAAACTTTTTAGAGCCAAGTGCGCCGTTTGGTGACTTTCCTCGACATACTTAGCCAGACCGAGGCCGAAGTGTCTCTATTGTAAAGACATCTGATAGACTCGACTAGTACATGGAGGTAATAGATATGGCTGGGAACTAGAGAGAATAATTAGGAGTCCCCGGGCCGGACTGGATCTTGATCTCCTCTCGCACCATTGAACGTCGATCTGAGACTTTAAAGTCCCACGTCTCTCCTCTTCGTGATCGCGCAGGACCCAAGCCACACGAGCCACATAATAAACTCGGAGTGTTGCTGTATCCGCGTCCCTTCACCTGTCACTGCGGCCCGCGGCTTCATAGTGCGGATGGTGTTCGCAGTTGATATGAGAAGCTCTAGGTCAAGTTGTCCGTCTGCTTCCTCTGGATGTATGATCATGTTCAGGAAGAGCGAGATGGAGGCATTGGTTGTGTAGAAGATGAGAAACCTATAAATGATTAGCCAACGAGAGGCAAGTACTAGTACGGGGACCTCTTCAGTAGCAGCAGCACATCTTTGTCACGGCAAAGGCTTACCATAAATCTGCGTCGGAGAGCGTCTTTATGAAAACTCTTAGGCACCGGAGTGTCGACCTACCGGCTTCCAGTGATAGGTCATAGCTCGAGTGAATGACGCTGTGTAGGTCATGACTTCCATCGCCTATGACAGTGTGCGCGTCATACCTCCTGACGGTCGTGTGGACAAAAATCATCAGGTACCAATACTCCAGCAGAAGATGGAAGTACCGCGTCCGATGAGGCGTTCTCGTATCGGGGGTGGCTATCAGCGTCTCGGGGGAGACCGAAAGAGCTGGTCGAAAGTCGACAGGTACCGACAGCCTCCAGCACTCGATCTCGTCGTCCAGCTGGCGGATATGCACGAGCAGTCGGTTATCTTTGCCGCTCATCGCATGGACAGAATATAGATGACGGTAGACTTTCTCTTTGAGAAAGCCGAGCCGAGCATCGCCCCAGAAGTGCGGCATGAGGTTTGCCATGCGCGTGCCGCGGGAGTGAAGGTAACCATCGAGTCCTCGTAGGTATGTGTAAGAGCTAGGATAATCATCTACCAAAGTCAAATCGCAATACATGTCGGAGAGTAAGGGAGGCCGTCCGGTTCGAAGAGACAGATCCTTGTCTGATATATAGCAAAGCCAGAAAAGATTCCGAAGGTGACGTGTCTCCCTGCTGGGGAGTGAGGGGTCATCGCTTGAGACTCGCTGTCGGTCGTAGATGTGCCCGCCAAGAGTGTAAACCAACTGGGAGGCAACTGAAAGGAGCGAGTCTGCCTCTTGCCAGTGACCGCTCAGCAAATGTTGAACATGCTGCGAACTTACTCAGCGGACCGTGCTTGACAGGGTCATACAAGGTAAAAGCTCACCAACATAATCACTGCCTGTAACGTCGTCAAGCTCACATCTCGAGTAATCCGACTCAGAATACAACGCGATTTGTGCGCGTATGAGTCTGACTGTGTTAAGAAAGGGGCTCCTGGAATGAAAACTATGATGCCAAGAACGGCGAAGACACATGCCCGGGCCGAGAGACGCGCTGACAAAGTCCTAGCATCGTCAGTATTTTCGTAGGCCAGGCTTATAGTCTTTTCGAAGAGAACTGGATCAATGACGGGGAAATTCAGCTGAAACGACGAATGAAAAAAGAAGGCGATAGACAGCTGACAGGCATCTCGATCTGGCAATTCGCAAACTTCTGGTAATGAAGGTGTTGGCAGCGTCGTCAGCGGCGAGTGCTTGGCGCTGAATATGTGCAGCTTGGTCCAGTCAACCGTTTGGCCCGTCTTGGATGAGATCCAGAGACGGCCCTCACCGGAAAACGCATGTATACCCCTGAAGAACCAGTTTGGTCCGATGTGGCTCCCAGGTTGAAGGACTCTTGAGGCGGATACTGATATACCACTAATTACCTCGCTCGTTCGTGAAGAGGGGTGGGGAGAGTGAAATTGCTGGGTGGAAAGATGGGAAACCGAATCTACTACAGGAGAACTCCGGACGGGCACAGTGTTCGGCTCGTCAACCGAGTCGGCCGGGGCGCGATCGCCAGAGCTTTTTCCTTGAACATCATGTCGTGCATTTGCTTGGGCCAGCGCATCCTCAAGCTGCTGGATACGCTCGTTCAGACATTGTACGTCGCTTACGGTTACTCTGGTATTACGCATCATCATTAGCAACCGCACAGAAACATGACTTGGGCAAAGATCGCTCATAACGCACTCACTTTCGGCGTTGCCTTTTCCGCGGCGCTTCGCGATTGAAGCTACATTCGGATCTGTGGTGACTACACCAGTCGCATGGGGGTCCTTCAGCAGGAATTAAGCACTGAATCTATGTGCACAGGAGTCGGGCTCAGTGATCCGTATAATCACGTTGGCACTCTCGGTGCATGGTGGCTAGACATTACTAATATCACATACCTTTCTACGATAGCATATATCACATGCTCGTTTGGGCGGCATTTCGAGCTGTGTAAGCCGTCATTGTTTGAGGACCCCCAATTGAAGCGGTAAGCTGTAAAGACGGAGGGAGTAAACCTCCGTTGATGATGAAATCCGAGCTGTTCGGGGGACTCGGATCATGACTCAGCGGAGGTAGATATATCCCTCTGGCTTCCGATGACATAATATTCGACTGAGTTGACGGTTGATATTGAACATTGCACAACGTGACAACTTTCAGACACCGGTGTACGTGTCCACTTCTGAGATATTGATGAATGACCGACGATTCTCTGAGCCAAGAAGTGGAATTCCATCTTCCAATGTAACTTTTGTGCAAGACGTGAGTATTAAACGTTCAATTTCCTGGCTCGAGCAGTCGTGAAACTATCTAGCAGATTAAGGCGGAACCTGATGTACCTCCGTCCCATACTCGGTGTTACATGGCGCGCCATAAACCCGACAGCTTTGAGCCCCCTGCACGGAACCTAATGACTTCCGCGTCCCAATACTGGGAATAAACGCAGGGTTGATTTGTACCGCATCGCCATTGGAGACCTTCCATTCTTCACCGCATCTCCGAGTTCCCAATCATGAGACGAATTGTGGCGCGATATTAAAAATGTCTACTCGTTTCGCCTTTGACGAGGCTCCAACCGCCGTTCCGTTCGGAGTTCGGAATGTTCCTAGCTATTATTGCACCAGTTCTCTGTTTGACACCTTCATATCATTCTCACCCGCGTAGCAAGAACGATGCCCCCAACTCTCAATGACGAAGAAGGCAGCCTACCCTCCGAGCAAACAGCACTCCTAGGCAGTGAGGGTGACAATGCTGGCGGCACGATTCTTGTGGCCCAAAGGGTGACTCCCCAGACAGCACGCCGGCTTTACCTTTCGCACTTTTTGTCTACGTGGAACTCCCGCATGTTCGAGTTTGCCGCCGTGCTGTACCTAGCGACCATTTTCCCGGCGACTTTGTTGCCAATGTCGCTCTATGCCCTCACCCGAGGTCTGTCGGCCTTGCTGTTCGCGCCGACCGTGGGGCATTACGTTGATAATAATAACCGCCTCGAGGTTGTTCGGGCATCAATAGGCAAGCTCTGCTTTCACCAGAATCCTGCCAGATACCGGGTTTTGGGCTAATACCATCTCAGTATTCCAAAGACTGGCCGTGTCGGCATCCTGCGCCGTGTTCTATGTTCTCTTCATACGTCTGCCTTTCGGCGATCATGGCAGACTGGGACTTCTTGCCCTTCTCTCCGTGCTGGCGTGCGCCGAGAAGCTATATTCTATTATCAACATGGTCTCTGTTGAGAAAGACTGGGTAATAGGTTTAGATGAAGTCAGATCTCTTGCAACTTACTGATGGGCGCTTTCCCCTAGGTCGTGGTCCTTGCCAAAGGAAACACGGAGGCTCTCGCAACTCTGAATGCACAAATGCGTCGAATCGACCTTTTTTGCAAATTGCTGGCCCCTCTTTTCATCGCTGTCATTGATGGATTCTCGACAGAAATCGCCATTATCGTCAACTTTGCTATGAACATGGCGTCGGTTGTGGTGGAATACTACGCTATTGCGAAGATATATGATGAGGAACCAGAGTTGCAGGAACGCAAGCCCAAACCTAATGCCGAGCTTTCTCAGCTTAATTCCAACCCAGAAAATGCGGCACCATCTGCAACATCAGGACGGAAAGTGTGGCAGCTCTTGGGAGAGTTCGTTTCGGACTTCACGTTTTACTTTAGCCACCGCGCGTTCCTGCCCTCGTTCGTGGGCTCACTTCTTTATCTCACGGTCCTCAGTTTTTCTGGTCAGATGGTGACGTACCTTGTTGCGTCTGGCTATACCACGACGTACATCGGTGTGGCAAGGACAATCGGCGTGGTCTTCGAGGTATTGGCTACATGGATAGCACCTTGGCTTATCGGAAAGATTGGCCCACTGAGAGCAGGTCTCTGGTTGAGCAACTGTCAGGTCCTGCCGCTCATCGGCGGGTTGTCAATCTTTTGGGTGTTCACGCCGGACCCTCTGATCTCAGCGACCAGTCTGGTCGTTGGAACCATCATCAGCCGACTTGGACTCCGAGGTTTTGACTTGTGTATACAGATCATCGTCCAGGAGGTAAGAAAAACCATTCTTTGTGGTGGAGATCCAGTATTAACCAGAGTGGCGCTACAGGAAGTGGAAGCCGAGAGCCGTGGTCGATTCTCGACCATCGAGGCAGCCTGGCAAAATACATTCGAGCTTCTCTCGTTTCTCTCGACGATTGTGTTCTTTAGACCGGCACAGTTTAACTGGCCTGCCTTGATCTCTGTGACGGCTGTTACCTCAGCGAGTCTTGCATACACAGCGTACGTTGGTCGGAAAAGGGGCCATTTGATTCATTACGAGAAGCTTGGTTTCTAGGGATCTAGACCTGTGAAAAGTACCAGAAAGACAGAGCGGGAGTGAGGAGATGTGGTTAGAACCGCGTGCACGGTTAAGATACCCATTCCAGACCCTAAGCTTTCGTTACTATCTATTGTCATTGCCGAAGACTCAAACGAACAGCTATTGTCAATAAAGATCTTTCAAATGCTACTTTGCTGGCTTGGCTGGTCTATTTGGGAGTAGAGGCGAACTTGGAGCAAAATGATGACATCTTCGAGGATCGTCCCGAGCGAGCCCATCAGCCATGGTAGGCTTGTGAGAAGATAATCTCTGTCTTGCCTGTACGCGATAACGCTGAGCCCATACGTTAGATTACCTGTTATCGACAAGAGCAAGAACAAAGGCGCAAGACCTGATAGCAGATTAGCGCCAGGAACACAGCACATGGGGTGATAAAACCAACCCTCGCACGATTTCCCTCTGTAGTTCTTGATGATCTGGGGTATACGAGCACTGTATTTGTCAGTCACAGGCACACTTTGCGGCTACGAACTCTTACCAAAGGTAGCAGACGGCCCCGACAACTCCAAGAGCCGAGCCGACGGACTCGGAGATGCCTTGTAAATGTGAATCGGTAATGCTTACGCTTCCAGGGGGCTTATCACCTCCAAGCAGACCAACCGTACGAAGCACGAACCAGCCGGTAACGCCAAGCAGCTGTACCGCAAGAATGCAAGCCAAGTTGAAACGCCAGCCATGAAAGGTTCGTACCGCCTGCACGAGAATCTTCTTGTCCTCTTGGAGCGTGATGGCCGACTCGCTGTCAATATCTTGAGGTTCACCGGACGTTCTCGGGTCTCTAGCAGATAGCGAGGGCCCTAGAAGCGGTTGGCGATCATGAGCCGGCAATGCCGTTGAATTCGGCGGGTCGCGGGTCCTTTGCTTAGAGTTGTAGTAGAGACACTGGCAGATGAGCGTAGTATCCGAGAAGCAGAGGTAGCCCGTGACGGCGATGCTTGCCGGAGCAATGTGGTTGGCCAGTCCCCCTGTGCCGGGTACGATAAACATTAGCTCAGGATGAACGGGTGTGGAGTTAAGATGCCAAGCCGCGGGGTTGCAAATGAACTTCTTACCCAACAGATTGGTCACGTCACCTAGGAGCCAGATGAAGAGAAAAGCCATGGACAAGCTATCGGCGCTCTTCAGCCTATAGTTCGCAGCAAGCTGTGGCAGCTACGTCCCATCAGTCCATGAAGCGGGGAAGTCCATCCAGCATCCAATACCGCTTACCAAAAGGCACAGGAAGGCAGCCATACTGATGCTGCCGAGGATCTCGGATGCGTCATCTCGCGAGATAAGGGTCTGGGTGGGCAGCACAAGCCGGCCAAACGTGGCCATGGCCATGATCGAGGACGTCGTTGGAGAGAGCCTCGACTTGGATCAAAGTTCTAGAACACAGAACTTCCCACCAGAGATTCGATCGGAAAAGGAGACGTGGGTATGAGCCAACGTCTTGTGACTGGAAGAGAGCGTGACTATGTGCGACAGCGCGCATAGTTAATCAATGACGATAAGAGATAAACAAAGTTAGTGTTCGCCATGTGCCAGCGCCGTTACGGCTGACTCATCTGAGAGCGCATAACACCTCTTTGGATTCCTTGCCCTATTAGCGGCTGGCTAATTAGCGGACGGACTGTCGGGTCACCAGATGCGAGCCGCCGTTTCTATCTGGGATTCCCACGTCCACTAGCAATGAATATTTCTCACTAGATGGGGGCCGCTGCAGCCAAGCGCAGTGTTTTGACAATGGGGCGCAGTTTGAAGCCAATTTTAGATGTATGTAGCAGTGGGAACACGACTCGGTACTCACATCGATGGACAACAGTTAACAGGGGCCTGAAGCTCGCCAGCATCTTCCAGTATCTCAGCTAACGGTCGACAGCTGGTTAAGAGAGGGAGAATAGCCAATGCAGTCTCCAGAGGTGTAATAAGTCACATCGTGCAAATACTTGATGTCTTTCAAGAGAGACTTTCTTTCCCAGTCAAACATCTAAACTCCACGCATATTACGTCTTCCTCGTCGCCCTTTCTGCTTCAACTTGCTCGTCGACCATGTCGTACAGTTCGTAGTACTGAGTCAAGACTTCAGATAATCGGCCTGTAGGCTCCGTTGCAGCCAGATACATCGCATGCCTGTGACCGATTTCGATTTAACTGTCGTCCTCGTCCTCTAGACTTGATGTCGAGCTTATCGACGACAAATTTGGATTCTACTCCTGCTTTGTTTCAAAGTTTGCTCTCAATTGCAATCCTCCCAAAGTCAATCGGGTGAGGTTGTCATAGACATCACTACATCGTCCCACGGAGAACTAACAGGCTAGTTGCTGCACGATAGGTTAAGTAATTTGCCGCAGTTTCTCATGCGATGCCACCAACTGGATTATGAGTCTCGTCAAACTACAATTAGTCAAAGGCTTGCATAACTTACCATTAATTAGGTGTACAGAGTTAGCTTGAGGCTTTGATTGGTCTTGCCGCCGTCTACGCGTACTAACCGAAGAAATGTACATGTGAAAACAAGACATTTGGCACGAGAACAAGCATAAGACCAACAGTGCCCGATAAGAGAAGAATCAAAGGAATGATCACATATACTTGTGGGTGGTACTTGAAATTAGTCCGAGCAGGGCTTTTTGTGTGCATTTTCAGCCATATCAATTAAATATTATTTATTACGTTCTGGGTATCTTCGTTTAAGACAAAAGGGTTACGTCGCCGACAACGGGGCGGTGATCGCTGATGACGACGCCACTAGCGATGTTGCTCTTGATCTCAATCTTCTGGACCGAGTATTTGTTCGCCGACTGGGGTCCAAGCCAGATGAAGTCGATACGAGAAGCCGAGTTCTGGAGGGAGGTATCGAACGTGGTGTACGTCCCCGTGAGGCTGCCAACCCTCGGAGCCTTGTTGTACAGATCCTCCACAAAGCCTCCATTCGCCAGGACTCGGTATGCGGAGCCATTGGGATCCGAGTTGAAGTCGCCAGTCAGGGTGACGCCCAGCGGGCCGTACGTCGACTGTACGGCCTGGATCCTCGACACAACGACCTTGATTCCCTCGGAGCGGGCCTGGTCGCTGACGTTGTCTAGATGCGTGTTGGCGTGGATGAACCTCTTCCCGGTGGCAATGTGCTCGAAAACGCCGATGGTGACGATGCGCCTGCTGCCGGCGCCCCAGCCGTAAGAGACGACGTCGGGAGTGGGCGACAGCCACTTCGTCTCCTGGTACAGCAGCCTGAGCGCGTCGTTGCGGTAGAAGATGACGCTGAATTCTCCGGCCTTTTTTCCGTCGTCGCGGCCGACGCCAAGGTGCGACCAGCCGTCGCCGAGACCGTTCTGGATGTCATCCTTCTGGTTGTTGAGGGCTTCCTGCAGACCAACAATTACCGCGGCGCCGGCCGGCGCGGCGTTAGCGGCATCCGAGATGGCCTCAAGGACGTAGCGCTGTCTGCAGCGAGACTTGGTGATGCCGCAGAAGAGATCCCACCACGGCTTCTCGCCAGATTCGAGAGAGCTGGTGGCGTATCGGATGTTGAAGGACATGATGCGGATCGGCACGCTTTGAGAAAGCACCGCCTCGGCGAGGACAAAAGGTACGAGAAGAGTCTTGAGCTGCATCTTGGGCAAGTAATGAATGACTGAGGTGGGAACTAGAAGACCTGGTGGTGATCACATTCTCTTGTAAAGTCCTGGCGGTAGACATGTCTTATATACACCGATCTGATCATACCTAGGTAAGCATTAGGTAGATAGGCACACTTGCCCAGACCCCCCGACCGAATAGAGCAGTTCAGAAGACCAGTGGCAGGGATCTTTTCGATATATCGCGGCTTTTACGGGGTACACAGCCCGTTAGGGCTATCAAATCCGGACGCGGGTAGTACTCTCGTGCATGTAAATTGCGGAATGCCGTTGTTGTATCGAAAAAGGGGTGGTCGCGATAAGCCTCTGCTTATGCACCGGCGCAAGACAGAATGGGTGGAATTGGCTTGGCAATGGCCTACCACAAGCTTATCCCTTATTCATGCGCTGGCTTTTGATCACAAGGGCTGTGATGTCCCGCCGCCCTCTAGAACCTCATACAATCCAAGATAACAGTAGGATTCTTCTACCCTGCTTCTCTTTCTCCACGAACATCCTACTACCTAATCTCAATGAAGCTATTGAGACACTCTGCTAAAAGCTGTAGAAATAAGCTATCATATAGAGTTTAATGGGGCAGAGGTTAGGGTTCATGTTAGAGTTAGAGCCTGGAATGTCATATAGTTAGGATTGATATGTTGACCAAGTGGCAGTAGATTAGCGTAAGTGTGCAGCGGCGTATCCTCGCCCTCAGTCGAGCTGAAAAACAATTTTAACGTGCGAGCCCCACCGGTTCCTCTATCCGCAAGCTCTCGGTATCCGTCAACGATAATCCCTGAGTCAGGCTCCCCCTGGTCCGGGATGAGCGAAGCTCACAAATACCTACCTGTACAAATGGATACTGAGGGGACCATTGACTCGCTCAGGGCACGTTTTTCGGCATTTGTCCGTTTACATGGCACGCAATAAGATATAGGCTGCATGTCTCGCTAATATACGTCTACCGTAAATGCTCACTTCACCTCCTTATCTTCTACCACCGGTCTGGCCGAGCAACCTCCACTACTAATCAGCGGAACTTGCCGGTCTCACACTCTGAGGCAAGTAGAAGACCTCTTCTGGATCAACTTCTTCCTTGATCTCCTGCAACCTTGCAACATTGGACCCCCAATATTCTACTTGAGCTCTATCCTGGTCCATGTTTGCGTCCGGGTAGCTAAAATACATCCCGCGAGCGCCCTGTTCCATACCTACGGTGGTGTTCGCGATGAACTGGTCGAGAAACGAGAATCCGTCTTCGGGGTAGGTGGCTGATAAGGCGACAAGGTCATAGAACTGGTACAGCAACAACTTGCTCCGGTATGCGTATGCCGACGAATTCTCAGCTATCTGAGAAATTGCCGAGTTTTTGCCTCCGTGAAGGTCAACTTGAATCCACCAGAATCTCCTCATAGACTTGCCGACAGTATACCAGTAGTCTACAAAGGACTCAACTTGCGCATCTGAGAGCTTGTCTGTATACAGACTTGAAGAATGGAAGTTTTCTTGCTGTAAATGTCTAAGTAGGTGTGCCGAGATGGACTGCACTTCCGAGGTAGCTCACCAACTTGTAGTTGTCCTTTTGATCAAGAGCCATGCCATTGCCAAAGTGCTGCAGATGGCCAAGCCAGTCTGTCGTTTGCGAGGTTGTCAATCGCCCTCCTATAGTTGCCAATAAGGGATTGAGTGCCGCTTGTAGACCTGTTTTGTTGCCGTAGAACATCCCTTCCAAGGTTGTTGAGAAGGATGATATGGCCAGTCTCATGTTGAGCTCATTCGGCATCGTGGTCTCAGCCCAGGCTTGCAGCTTCTTGAACCCGTCAACCGCCTTTTCTGAATCCCATTGAAGCGCGACCGCGAAGTTGGTCGCCTGTTTCGGGGCATCAAATGTCTTGAAGTAGAATTCGGAGACGACGCCGAAGGAGCTGCCAGCACCTTTCAAGGCCCAGAAGACGCCTGGGTGCTCGGATTCAGAGACGTTGATGACGGTGCTGTTGGCGAGTACGACTTTGGCACCCACTAACCAGTCTAGGGCCAGGCCTTTGGTATGCGCGCTCATGCCGTATCTGGGTGGATTCGGTTCCTAGTTAGTCGGGGCCAAGTCACGCACAGCGGATATGGATGAAGACTCACCCGCCATGAAGGACGTGACCACCTACACCAACACTACTTTTGTCAGACAATAACCAGAAGAGAGAGCCGATCAACTTACCCTGGACAGGTTCCGTGACTTATGGCCTTTCCACCTTGCTTGTATAGCTCAGTCGCAACATGCCCAAGTCTGCTACCCGCTTGCACGGTGGCAATTCCGGTGGCATTATTGAGGGTGACGTTGTACATGCGGTCAAGTTCAAGCACCAGGTGTCCGTCTTCACCACCGAAGCCAAAGTTGGCGTAGCTGTGGCCGCCGCTTTTAGGGGTCACTTTGACGCCGTTATCTCGGCCACATTTGACGGCTGCTTGGATGTGCTCTGTCGTGAGAGGGGCGGCTATGGATACGGGCACGAACGGTATTCTGACGTTGAAAGGCGCCGCATCAGCAACCCACTGAGAAGAATCCTTTTCGTTGTAAGGGACCTCGGCTGCGGCGAGACAGTCGTCAATGATGGCTTTCCTGGTCAGCGGGGAAGCAGAAGCAGCTAGAATCGCCGCCAAGAAGGCGATCCTCGTGACCATCGCGTCTGTAGGCTCGCGAATTCCGCGTTTCGGGTTGGCATGAGAGCATACAAGCGGTTGGGCTGAGCCAGGCCTTTATTAAAACACATATGACAACAGGAATCAAACCACATGACTGTGGCAATCCATTGTTTTCCATCTTAGGCGATGTCTCTATGTGGAAAGCTTGGTTGTTTCTCCGTTCATCGGTTTCTTCCTAAGTCTAGTCGTTCGATGCTCGAACAAGATCAATATAACGGCGGCTGCTTTTGGTCCTTCCGTCTGCCAAGATATGGCATGAAACGTGATATTGAAGTGGAGACCAAAAGGATACCCAACGCTGAGCGTACCGTGTAATGGGATGTGCCGCCATTTCGGCTCGACACCTCAGTCACCATTACAAGACGCAAGCAAACATTTTGAGAAAACAATTCACTGTCTATCAAAGTGAGCCAAGTCACCAGGCATCGGCTGTCTTTTACCCCAATTGTGGCTACCAATCAACTCGGTACGGAGGGAGTAAGTTGATGGTCAAGTGTATTAATTTGAGGAACTGACATCAAGCACTAATTTGTCGGATGACGAGTAGAAGGACAGTTGTACTCAATTGTCGTTGATTGATTGATATTAAAACCTATTATGAACATCCCTTTCAACCAAGGATGTGTGCCTCGCTCGATGATCGGTCATCAATTTAGATTAAACTCCTTTAACAGCCCTCCGCTTAAACTGAAGCTCTTAGGTACACAAGGTTGCGGTTAATAGGCATGCAGGTAGCGGAACCGCTATAAACCGACTCGGAAGAAACACCCGGAGTGTTAGTCAGTCCAGCTGCGCCAAACACTCGCTGAGTCACTTTGTTTATCCTAACAACCGTCTACAGCCAGGAACAAAATCAAATTAACATCTGAACTCTATACAAGCTTATTGCTGAGCTACATGACTGGGAATTAAGCAGGAATAACATACATGCTATTGGTATTTCTATTCAAGGGACGTACTGAATTATGCGCCGTTGCTTCCATCCAGAGCCAAGATGTACAATGCTTTTTGTGGGCGAGGTGGTCAATGCAAGGCGTATGGGGGCCAAGTTTTTGCTTGTGGACCGCCAGTCGTCATTTATGCCTCGCCAAGAGGTTTAGGCTATTCTGAATAGATTGATTAGAAGTAACATCATGCACTGCTTTCTGAACAATGGTTGCAAGACATCCCGAGGCGACCTCAAGAAGAAGGCGTGCTACGTTAGCACTCGGGAGAGATACGCATACCAATCAGTTGATTTGGCAACGATGAGATCTCTATACTGCATGCAGCAGGATAAATAGTGTCAGGGTATCTCCATCTCTGCCAGTCCAATCGTAGCAATGTAATCCCAAGTCGGCCGGAACCACAGAACAGCCGGAGTCCATCGGAAAACTGCCGGGACTTAGAAGGGATTGCATCATCACTCATCAAGCCATAGCGCACAAGGTCACGAGAAAGGGAACCGCGCTTCAATCTAATCGGCGGGCAGGAAATTGGCATCGCACTCATCATCATATCTGCTATTAGCCAAAATCCGGCTGTATTGCAAAGCCGCACAAGTTATGTTTGCTTTCGGCACTGGCCTCCGCAATTTACTTAATCTGGTGCTTCGGAGGGGACGCTAGCCCACAGCTGCTTATAATGAAACAAGACAATGCATGCTTTCAGGGGATGGGTTTGCTGCACTGGCAATCTAACGAGGAGTCTCGAGTTGATGGTTCGCTACCAGGCCTGGCGATACTGTCAGATGACGACCTACATCCTGGCGTTCTGTTAACCTGGCGATCGAAGGACGAAAACTAGTCAAGAAGATGGGATTTTCTTTCCAAGAACCACGAGAGCTTTAGCTACATGCGAGCAACGTTTTTTGCATAATGGTTAAAGTTACCTTCGCCTCTGTCTGCCTGGCAGCCGTTCCCGGCGCCATCGGGGCCACCCTCATCGCCTCGCATTACAGCGGTCAGCTCTACACCCTCAACCTGACGTCCACGAACCAGCTCACGATCGCAAAGACGGTCAGCTCCGGGAGCCGCATGCCAGCATGGCTCGACTTGGATTCCACGTCGAAAACCGTCTACATACCCGACGAGGTCCAGTTCGGACAGCCACTTCTGAAGAGCTTCTCTGTCGCGGCTGACGGCAGCTTGACAGCGAAAGGCCAGGTGCAAACCGCTGGTGGCGAGCTGCACAGCACGCTGTACGGAGGATCAGACGGAAAGGGATTCATCGCTTTGGCGCGGTAGTGAGTCTTGAGGGATGCGGCCGTCTCTGTCGACCGATGCCCATGTTGACAATCATAACAGCGATGCCTCCACAATCTCTACATACGCTCTCCCGTTGAGCGGATCAGCTCAAGCTTTGCAAAAGTTGACCTTCACCATGTCCCAGCCGGGCCCCATCCCGTCTCGCCAAGAAAAGCCGCACCCGCACTCTGTCTTCACCGACCCTTCAGGACGGTTTCTTCTGTCTGCCGATCTCGGTGCGGATCTCATCCGCGTCTTCAGCATCGGCAGCACTGGCCAACTCACCCAGTGTCCTTCTGTCCAAACCGGCCCTGGCGACGGACCCCGTCACGGAGCGTTCTACACCCAGGGCAACACGTCATTCCTGTACACCGTCAACGAGCTATCCAACTCCATCTCCTCTTGGTCCGTCGCTTACCCAACGAGCGGCTGTCTCAACCTTGTGAAGAAACAAACCACATCCACGTTCCCGGCCGGGAAAACCGCCCCGACAGGATCCAAGGCCGCCGAAGTGCACGTGAAGGGCAACTTCGTGTACGTGTCGAACCGGTATGATCGCTCTTTCGGCTCGCAGGAAGACTCCATCGCGACGTACTCCATCGATCCTTCGTCTGGCCAGGCTGCGTTTGTGGAGCTCACGAGCGCCTTCTCGTACTTCCCACGAACCTTTGCCATCAACAAGGCCGGCGACCTCGTCGCGGTCGGCGGCCAGACAAGCGCCAACGTCGCCATTGTCGAGAGAAACGTGACAACGGGCAGGCTTGGAAAGCTGGTTGCCAGTCTGAAAGTCGGAAACCCAGGCAATGTGAACCAAGAAGACGGACTAAGTGCAGTTATCTGGAATGAGTGATATACTACTTCGCCGAGTTGTACAACGCACATGTATTCAATTCCTTCACATTTGAACCTTTCTAGCCCAAAGGGTATCTTAAAGCCTTCAGCCGCGTATCACTGTTCTCTCCATCAGAGTGCTGATCACATAATTTGATGATCAAGGAACAATATCATTGTTCATCTGCTGCTATCATGGCTCTTACCATTCCAAAGTTGGACATTCAATATCTCTGGAAGCGGTATTGCACCACGGAATCCACTCAATTCGAGATACTCGCATGCGCACATAACTTTGGACCTGTAATGCGAGACCTTTTGTTGTCACAAGTGTTTCAGGGAGAGAATGCCCAATGGAGGGTCGCTGGCTTGTCATGCAGTGGCATCGGAATCTCTAACCAGGTATAGCGTAGACGACGAACCTTGATAAACCAAGTGGCACCATGGCGGTTTAGTGAGATTGGAGTTGATTAATTCTGTCTGTATTATCAAGATTAAACTCTCTGAGACGGTGGTTCGATTTCACAAATGGTATCTCTAAAGACCAAATCACATCTTCATTCGCCGAGGGGCATAATCATCTCGCTTTGCAAAGTCGGTTGGCGTAGTCAACAACATTCCACTCCTCGCTGCCCGGCGTGGACCACGAAAAGAACACGCCGTCCGGATCCCACTTCTTCTTGGCGGCGACAAGCTCGGGGTAGATCGGTCCCCAAAAGGAGTCTTGCCAGTTCTTCATGAAGGCATAGTTCTGCAAGGGTTAGTCTGACGAGGGCCCCCAGTAGACGGTGATGCCACCAGGCTTACCTCATTCACGTATGCTAGTCCGTTAGGCCCAGCCTTCTTGAACTTCTCTGTAATGGTGTCGACCATGAGGTCGTTGAGTGCCATCTTCACATCCCAGGTCGCGTCCAGAGGTTGAGGGAGGATGGCCATCGTCCGCATCGTTGCTCCCCTCCATCGCGGGTGCATCGCGCTGTGGGCCTCCATCGTCTTGGTACCGGGATCGAAGAAGTGGCTGACGATGATGCCGGACTGGTTTTGCGCTGGAGCCAGAGCCAGCTGGATCGCTTCGGCGATGGCGGATTGGTTGTTCGCCATGTCCTCGTGGGTGAAAACCCAACCACCCGTAAGGCCGTTTTGACCCGCAGCCTCCGGTTCGAAAACATCGTTGTAGAGGGTGTAGTAGTCGGGGTATTCTCTGGCGCCAAAGTCGTAAGGGATGCTCTCGGCGTCGAGATATGACAGAAGCGGCTGTATGACAGCAGTAAGTTCTCCGGCGGTCTTGCCCATACCCATGATGGGCTGCACGTGCAACGCTCCACCGAGGGCTGGCGGATAGAGCTCGTAGATTCCGTAGAGCCCGTTGTCGACCAGTTGGTTCCCGATCTCATGGAGTTTATTGACGGCCTTTGTAACCTGCTCAAAGTTTGCGCCGGTGGTGGCGTTGACGTCCAGAAAGAGTGCTGCCCCGGGAGTGATGTCTGGGAATGTCTTGAGAGTGACGGACAAGACAACTCCGTAGTTACCAGGACCGCCCCCCTTGAGGGCATAAAACAGATCCGGGTTGTCATTGGAGTTCGCAACGGTGAAGTGGCCGGATGCAGTGAGCACTTCGAAAGAGAGTGCTTGGTCTGCAGCGAAGCCATAGATACTGGTCAAGGGCCCGTGACCGCCGCCTCCTATGTAACCTCCTGCAACTCCAACAGTCTAAAGCCTTGTTAGCTGAGCGACCAGCGGCCTGTTCGCGCCAGACGTACATTGCACTCGCCCATTACCACATTCTGAGGCGGGTCGCGGGCATGAGCTGCTTCGGAGATCTCAAAGCCCTGAACTCCGGCCCCGATCGTGATCGCTGGCCCGTTGTAGTCCCCTGGGCCCGTGTAGTTGCCAACAAAGGAGATGTCCTTGAGGTTATGCGTGTTGATGGCCAAAGACCCGGCGCCTGCGCTGCGGCCCTGGAAGTCGTGGCCCGTGTTGCGAATGACCAGCCGCAGGTTGTTCGACTTTGCAAAGTCGACGCCGGCTTTGACGTGATCTCTCGTCCAGGCGATGATGACGAACTCGGGATAGTTGCCAAGAGTGCAGGTACTTGTTGGGTCTGTAGGAAGTTCGCAGGTGTTGTTGCTTCCCCAGGTCCAGAGCTGCGATGCCGGCTGGGCAATCCTGATGGGCTGTAATCAGTCGCCTGTCTCCAAGTTTTATGGAATAATAAACTAACTGCCACCCTTCGTCTGCCCAATTCGCAGTTGCCTCAGCGCACTTGGCAGCATCGTATGTCTCTACCCCGCGCAACTGGTTGTAGCAGACGGCTGCCGGCGGGATATGCCTGACGAGGCTCCCTCCAACGGTCTTGTTGAGCTTGTCCCAGGCGCTTGGCTTCGGCCAGCAACCGTCTGCCGGGGAACATTTGCAGTCGTACTCCGTGCCATTCTCTCGATAAGATACCATATTTGACGCCGTAAAAGGAGTGGCGGTGGAAGAAAGACATGCCACAGCCAGCAGGTTGACAATGAAAGTGGGAGTCATCTTTTTCCAGGATCGCGGCGAGTCCGACCGGCCACAGCCTTGAACTTGACTTGGAGCTGTCTGGAACGCAGGTTCTTGTAAAACGGCGTTTTTCTTCGCCATTTTGTATCTAAGGCCGTAAGACACTAGCTTCTCGCTATCATCGGTCAGCCGGAAGCCACCGGTGCAACTCCCTTTCTCGTCACAGCGGGACAGGGGATTTTGGTTTGGCTGCATGGCCTTGTTGTACTGGAGCCGAGCTAGTTGTTAGCAGTCGGGGAACAAAGGTCCGGGTGACGATCGGGACTTTTCTAGAAAGGGAGGACAGAAGAAGCCTGAACATCAGCACGTCGAACTCGAGTGTCAAACGTGCTACGATACTATCTAATACCGTACCAGCGGCTTGTCGATCTTCGCTAGAAGCCGGGATTGACAGAATAAGATCATCACATCTACGGATAGAGTTGCAGTGAACTATATCTTGGATGAGTAGCTAGCTAGCGTGTATCCGCCGGCGGTGTGGGGTGAGGTCATGCGATGGGTCAGGTCAGCCAGTAGGAAATAGAGCGACACAAATGGCGCAGGCAACGTGCCGAGCGATCCCAGGTAAGATTCGTTGACGAATATGACGGCGATACCTGTAAGTTGTCGGCAAATTTGCAGCAGCAAAACCGAGACTCTGGGTCGCCCTACAGGGAGCATGCGGTGAAACCACTCAATGTCTGTCTGCCGGGAAAGGCGGTACTCTGCGAGAGGAAGGATAAAACCAAGTACCTAACCAAGAGGTAGAGCGAGAATATGAACACAAGGATTTCATGGCCGGCTGTGCTGGTTTGTGGAAGAGTCAAACTCTCGGCTCTTCAGAGTCTATGCCTTTGGCACAAGACGTTTTTCTCCATTTTCCAATTTTAACATTACCGGGCACGTACCAGCGCACACGGCACAGCGCCGAGCGGCATAGCTGACAACCCTGCTTACTTCTGCAGCTTGCCGTGCATGGCATGGTGGGCTAGTGTCTCTCGCACTTCATTGGTACGGACTTTATCTCCGAAAACCGAAAGCCCACTGTTCGAAACATGTCGACCGTTGCCAGGTGAGTACCTAGCAAGACAGCCAACGTTCCAGAACAAAGAACATGCACGTCGAGGCTATAGAGTTTGGGGAGGCAGCTCATCACGTGTAACCATACAAACTGTCGTCTTAAAATATCGCGTTACCCACGCGAGGGCTGCCGCTTGCTTTCTGAAAACTTTCGGCGTTTTGTGCCGGGCAAAGCTATGCCGATTTGCTCTGGGCAACGGGATCACCGATTAGTCATAGTAGGACCTCACTAAGTAGGTTTGACATCGAGTTTCCTGTCCCCTCAACCCCGGGCGCGGAACTGTACGCCTGAGCGGTGAGAGAGATTGTCGTGGCGCCGGACGAGTAATTTTGATAGGACCAAACCACATACGGTTCTGAAAGCCGGAGGGAACTGACCGGTGGGGGGGGGATGAGACTTTCTCTAGACAAGTCGCCACTGACAAGTGATAGGTTAGCCGAGCCACGATTTACAACTGGTATCGTTAGCCAACAGCGCGGGTTATTGTAGACATGCAGAAAAGCATAACGGACATGGGACAACACAGCAATGTGAGACTCGGGGGAGAAATCTTGCACACGTTTGCCATTGCGGAGGCGCTGTCTGATATCACAACTCACCAAGGTCGGAGAATAACCTATTCAGAGGACCTTGTGAGTGGCCCATCGGATCTTGTAAACGAGGCAACCAACGGTCGACTTGTGGAAATACGACCAAAACTCCAGTTACATGGCGATGGGCCAAGGTCGAGTTAATTTCCCCGTAAAAGCCAAGCCCTTGCACACGTAAACTCTTATTCTCTTGCTTTCCGTCGGCCCACAAGATGAACAAGAGCTGGGATATTCCGCTGCCGCTTGCTCATGCCGATCCGCCACCGAATCCCATACAACCTAGAGTTCTGCCAGGTGGAGATTTAGAGAGGACCTCCAAGGAACGCCTAAACGAGATTAAAACGCTTGTTATTACGAGAATCCCGGATTATTATTACGCTACCAGCACCTGTAGTAGCGAGAGGGAAAGCAAAACATGCCAGTAACGAAGCAGAACCGACACATTGTCTGCGCGGCTGACTCAACAAGCGACAAGTCGACATATAATCGAAACACGGGGAACTGAGAACATTTGCCCCGACGATGGCACGATTCGCGGACGACTTTCAAGAAAAAGAACTTTGGTAATTGATTTGCAGAATCATTCTAACCACGGGCCTACCTCGTTACAACCGCTGGGCCCTCGCATCTTCTGGTACCACCTACCGCCGCCGCAGGATAGGCACGACCAGTTTGAACTGCGGCATGGGCCTCTTCCACATTCTCCCGTTGACATCCGTCGACGGCCACGAATGATGGGCGAAGAAACGATGGGTATCAAACGCCCCGAGACCAATTTCCAGCTCCGACGCGGCACATGGCCGCACCTCAACAAACTCTATCTCTTCCAGGCCGCCCCAGGTCTTGGGCCTGCCGGGATGTCTACGCTCGCACCTGCCGCAGGGGGAACCGTCGTGGTGCGTGTCGAGGTAACGGTGCATCTTCTCGCGCAGGGCATCGTCTCCCGTGTCGAAGCCGTTCAAGTCGACGAGGTAGAGCTCCTGGAGTGCCGGGAACACGTCCGTGAGGAGCCGGATGTTCTGCACCCAGTGGGGCTCGTAGTTGGAGTAGATTGTCAGGGGGCCGGGGAGGTGGGCCGGGGAACGGATGTGGCGCTGAGGGGTGTCCGGGTACCAGACCTTCCCGCCAGCAACGGCTGGAGGAGGCCAGTCCTTCGGCATCTGGCCGTTCAAGAGGTTGCGCGTCCCCTGTTGGGCCTCCAGCTGCCAGGTGTGTGCGAGAGTCATGCGGCGGTAGATCATCGTCAGGCTGTTATCGTAGCTCATCTCCTCCCAGTTTACCATATTCATGGCAATCGAAGTGAGCTGCTCGAGTAGGGGGTCCCATGTAACCTGCTCATGAATGGCGTTCTGGAACTCATACAAGAACGGCCAAGAACTGTAGGTGGTTGGGATGTGGACAAAGATCAGATCACCCAAGTTGCAATTGTACGGGTCGCCAAGCTCGCGGGCGGGCTTCCCCTCTTTGTGCACAACTTGTGTCAAGCTCCAATCACCCTGTTTTTGCGGAAAGGGATTCAAACGCCGACTTCGCTGCACCACTTCCCGGCCCTGGCGGTTCGTGTCCGCGATTGCATCCCTAGGCGGCCTCGGGTTCGTGGTACAACACAAGGCCCCCCATTCCGCCGAGCTCGGGAGGATATGCCGGTCAAGGGGCCAAAACGTGATGTAGTTAGGCCGCTCACTGTAACACACGCATCCGGGAAGCGGGGGGATCCTGGGGCAGGCGTCGCTCTTGTGAACTACCGCTTGTCTAAGTGAGACAAAACGCATGGTCGGTGTTTCCGGGTTAGAGGCAGCCTCGAGAATCAAGTCCTGAACCTCGGTAGGCAGACGTTGGTAGAATGGAGCAGGGCCTTCCCAATGGCTCCCTCCTTGAGTGGTAGATTGGGTCATTCCAGAGTTGTGAATCCCAGTTTGCGTACTAGAGACGCCCAGTCGGTTCGATCTTCGGGTCCTGCGAGGCACTAGGCTCGGTCTGTCTTGTTCCGTGAGGCCTGCCATTACACCTTCCGACAGAGGGTTAGACGTATGGACACGTTAAATAGTGTTAACGGCTGAGATAGCCAGCTTCTACCTACACTTTAGCTTGTTGAGTTTGTTGGTCGAGGCGGAATAGAGAACTGATGTTGATGGTCTGAAGGAAGCAGTTTGATGCAGATGTAATAGGCTAATGACGGCAGCCACTTCCATATAATATACCCGGCCAGACGAATGGTCGATCATGCTGAACACACAACAATGACTTTATCCATAATAGCATTGTAGACTTCTTTGACATTATTCAGTTTGCCTTTTTCTGCAGTTGTTTGTACAGTCGTGAGCAGACACCATGAACCTGGATAAAAGAGGCTCCTGGAAAATGGTCAAAGAAAGGGAGATACTCGACTCCTATTGTTGATAGCGTTTTGTGTGAACGCAAAAATAACACAACCGTTGGAAGATGAAAACATTCCCACCCAGTTTTCTAACAACGAAAACCAGCGCCCTTGCGCATAGCGCTAACGCCTTTCGAAAGACTTTTGTACTACTTACATTTGGGGTATCAAAGCGACATTCACTGTCTCCCGATCGGGTAGTTGAACATTAGGAGGCCATTCAAGCCGCCCACCCAACCATCGTCATCGTAATCGGAGGTGTCGCCCTTACCTGGTCCGCAAATGACGCAAGGGACGCCGCCTTTCCAATCACCGTCGGCAGACTCGCCAACCATTTCGCCTTCGACGCGGATCTCAGTGCCAATGCCCGCGCCGGCGCTTCTCTTACCATCGATACTGACCTCAAGCTCGCCATCGCGGTTCTTGCTGCTGACCTTGAGCGTGACCTTTGTGCTCAGGGGCAGCACCAGAGGTCGAAAGCTGAGGCTCCTGGGGCAGATGGGGGTGATGAGCAAAGACTTCACTAGAGGATGGATAATGGAGCCACCAGCGCTGAGGCTGTAGGCCGTCGAGCCCGTTGGCGTGCTGAGAAGTATGCCGTCCGCGACGGCCTCCGTCAAGAAGCGATTATTGAGGTAGATGTCGATGTGGGCGAGGTGAGGTTTCGGGCCGCGGTGGATGAGGAGCTCGTTCAGGGCGTGGATCGGTTGAGGGATATCTCTCTTTGTCAGGATTGTGTCCTCGGGTGGGATCGCTGGCAAGTGCGCCTGGGATTTTGTGGTTGGAAGTAATTGACTGTTGATGTTCTGGCCATTGTTGTCGTAAACGCCGACCCGCAGACGATGCCGGAGCAGAATCTTGGCGGCCCGGCTCTGGCCCATGCTCTTGCCAGGCGAGGCGTGCCATCCAGACTGGTCCCCATTGTTGGTATCGTGTTCTTTCTCTCCACTTGCTACTCTGGTGTGCGGCGACAAAAGATCCTGAACGGCGACACCACTGCCACTCATGTATGCCTCTCTCCAAGCGCGCTTGTACTCCTCAAACTTCCATTCGGCAAGGAAGCCGATAGTGCCAAAGTTGAAAGCTAGGATTGGAGGTACCGCCGAGTACATGCTAAAGTGGCTTGCGGCGCGCAAGATGGTTCCATCGCCGCCCAGCGTTGTGATCATGTCGATTTTGTCGGGAAATGCCGAAGGATCGCAGGTGTAGATGGGGAAATTGAAAGACTCGTGCACCAATTGCGCAACCCTAGGCTCAAAGATCAAATTCAAGCCAGAGTAGGTGCTATTCAGGTGCTTCGCAAAGTCGATGGTTGCCCGGAGGACTTGGGGGGATCGCAGCTTCGGCATCAGGAGGATGTTTCGCGGCGGCGTCGGCCAGTGCAGGGTGAGGAGACCAGAAGTTGAGTTCGGGGGGTCGCGGTACTTGGGGATAACCCTAGGAGGCAGTGAGACGACATCGAGTATATCGGCCGCGCGCGCCGTCGCCGTCGTGGAGAACCCCAGCGGCTGAAACGCGCGAACCGGCGCCGCAGCCCGCGGCCGGGCGCAAAAGCGAAGTGTTCTAGCCCTGAACATTCTGACAGAAACAGCGGTGCAGAGACCAACCGAAGGAACGGATCTTGACCGACTGTTTGCGGTCGAGAGTCTCTCTCCGCTTCCTTTCGGGGAGGAGAAGGGGGGAAAGCACTTCGATTCGTTTTCGTCGCCGTCGTTGTCGTCGTTGTCGCGTCCGAGTTGTGACGGTAGTATAAATTGACAATGACGACAATTGCGAAGACGGCGAGTGCCCCACTTGTGCTGAACCCCACATGAGCTCCTCTTGACCGAGACACACCGAGCTGACTCATCATCGGAGACCGCACCCGCTTATGGTCCGGCTCGGGTAAAGGTCTTTCCGAGTCCGGCGGAATCGGCCCGCAGCCCGGAAAGTGTCGTAACCTACGGCCCCACTCACGGGACCGAGAAGATCAAACTAAATGTATTAATGATGCTTTCACCTAGCCATGCCTTGGCAGACCTGACAGTTTCAAAAAAAATTCTCAATAACTAACATGCAGACTCCCACTTGAGTGTATGGGTGCATGATCAATCATGTCTAGCTCCGAAGGCCCCACCCGGCAGCGGCCGGCATCAGCAGGATCGGTAGAGCGGGTCTGGAGGTGCTGAGTCGACGTCAACGGCGTCATGTAGCTCACGGATGTGTATGAGTTAGCATAGGAGAGGTGCCGATTTGACAATGGTGTGGAAGCTTGGCTCAAACTTCACATGGACGTTGAGTATTTGTTACTTTGCGCGGAGAGCTTTTGGGGGGAGGGGGGAAGGGAGGGAGGGAAGGAGGCAGTATCAGAGGCATGCAGCAGGATACAACCCTGCTCCGAGGTCTTTCTTTCTTTTTAGATTGCTAGCGAAAGAAATCGACCATGTTCACCCCGTGACAGTCTTATGATTTCACCAAAATCAACAATGTCGTCCATGGGTGATACCGAGGGTCTATTTCTCCCTTTAGATCCCAGCGCCGGATCGCACACCAATAAGGGCCACCCATCTTTGTTCGCCGCCGATCCGCTGTCCTCCAAGTCCTCCGAGATTGAGACGGGAGACGAGCAACGATGCCTCTCCCGGTCCTCTCCAAACAACCAATACCTGGGGTCACCCTCTCGGTAGCAAGCCTCATCGCCCTTGCCGATCTCCATACCATCGCGAACCGCGCTGCGCTTACGGGGACGTCTTCCTGGGCCGACGCCCTGGTCCTCGCCCCGGGCTTGCACTACCAGCATGCAGCCGAATGTGTCGCGGGCAACAGCGGTAACGGGACCTCCTCCGAAGCCTCTAGCTCTGGCGGAGATGATGGTAACGGCGGCAGAAAGTCCACGAGACCAGCCGGCGTCTATGGCACGCAGGAACACCCCGGCGGGCGGACGACAGACTTCCGGGTCACAAACCCGGGGATGCTACTCTTTCTATCGCAACTCAGGGGCCGGGAAGAGCGCGCGCAGCAGCATGAAAGAAAGACAAGGAGGAAACGGACCGACAGCAGAGTCGAAGCTCTTGGAACTGACTCCGACGACAGCGGGGGCGAGGAGAAGGTTATCGACGTCGACATCAGCCCGTCTGGCCACCGCCACCACAGGCACGGCGAGGCCTCTGCGCACCACCCGCGCTGGAATGAGCGCGGCAGCCATCTGCTGTACCTCACGACCCCGGCGCTGACCCTCGCGACTCCAACAGTCATGATTTTACTGGCGGACTGTAAGTTATTGCTACTTTCCTCTGTATAAGGACTTAGGTTGTGCTAAAGCGTAGAAAACTAAGGGTGGTAGGCCAGTGGAAGATTTGTCTCTGACAGGAAGCCCGATTTCAATAGGTCGGGATTCGATCTTCTCCATCAAATTTGACCGATACTCACAAAACTGTGATGTGAGTCAGGTAGAACTCGAGTTAGCCACACTGTGCTTTCTTGTTTATGCTACAAGGCTGTTCGGCCGAACTTCGATCATTTCTCCACCGACTGCAATGTCTTCATCACTTGCTTCATGCAATAAAACATCGTATTGAGCCTCTCTGATCCATCTCCACTCTTTGGCAGAAGAAACAACAACGAGACTTGTGACAACACTCCCAATTCCGACCAATGACAAAGTATTGACTTTAGAGTGCCATACAGCCCAGTCCAGAAGCAAGGCCCAAGCCACCTGGGAGTATATCATAATGATAGCAACCGATGATGCATCATCGGCAATGCCTGCGGCAAGAAGACACTCCTGCCCTCCTTCTAGCGTCGAAGAAATGATCACACGATATATCAACTGGCTAACCATTACGAAGCCGAAGATTCCAAGTGGTATTAGCTTAAGCCATGAAAGCGCACTTGTAGTTAGGTGAATGCTCTCCATCGAGAAAAACGCGATCGTTGTTATCGTAACTACTGCCCATGCAAAGTACATGACACTGACTATATGGTGCTCCCGATCCCCAATGCAACGAATCGCAGTAAGGGCAACCTTGAATATTCTTAGCAAAAGTGATTGAGTGAACACTATAAACTTACCGACCCGCCACAAACACCAACCAGCCCAAAGCCAACTCCAGTCATTCGACTTGTGGCAGATGCTTCGGCACTAGACTGCGTAGGGCTCGTAAGTGTGGGCTGCGACCCAAACAGAGCGTCTGGTTGCACAACAAGAACCACACCCAACAATGCCATCAGAGCTCCGACACGATCGGTTACTTCAAAAGTCCTGGAATGAAGATATCGGGTCAAGATCATGGCGGCAAGTGGTCCGAGAAAGTTCAAGGCTGTAGCCTCGCTAAGTTTGAGATACATGATGGAGACTGACGAATAATGTGTCAGCAGTCTCAAAAACCTCTTGAGTGTTGGGCCAAGTATCTTACAAAAAAAGCCAAATGCCCCAAAGACGCCCGCTGTTGCCCGAAGGGCCAGTAAAGGCCTCACCTCGGGCAACCCCAATGGAAAGTTGGGAGCCCCAGTATAGCAGAGGTAGAGAGCGCTGGCTAGGCCGGTGATAAGAAATCGCACAAACAGAACTTGAAAGGGATGCATGGGATCGTCTTCTGTTTCGAATAACTTGGCAGGGCCATTGAGAGCTGCTGCCGAAAACTGAGATGCCAGGACAAGAATCGAGGGCTTGTGCCTTTCCAGAAACGACCGACTCATGGCTTTGCCCATCTGGAAATCGTAGGAACGTGGATGAAATCGGTTCGTTGAGAAAACTCGTCGGTCATGATTGCTCTAGAAGCTCAACTTACTGAGAACTATCCTAGAAGCTCCGTCTACCCAACTACTCATTCTGTCTCCAAGGGGCTTGGATACAAGGCTCGGAAAGCCTCAAATCGGGGGGAGGTTACCATACGGTTTCGAAAACGAAACGATTCAACTTTGAAACGGGACCCCTAGCGCAACGCTGACATAGGCCCACTGGTAAATATCAACCCACAAAATCTGGGTCTGGAGCTTGGGCCGAATTATGCCGTCTCTGACGGCCCGGGCTCCCACTCAGAGCTTTACTGGGATCGGAAATACGGATGTGATGGCAGTAGTCAAAGAAGATATGGCATCGCCGGTACGGATGCAGGATCCGGAGCCTGATATAAAGTCCGTGTCACCTGCAGAGGAGATGAGGGCGATCGGCCTGCCAAGTACAATTCTACATTATAAGATACCTTTATATCGTTCTGATGCCATGTTTGGCCGATATTTCCTTTCTATCAAAGGAGCAACTCATTCGCTGATCATGCTGAAACTGTGGCTTTGAACTGTGATTTCTTAGGTGGCGCTCACTATCTGGACCAACTCCAGGTAGTGATGAAGAAGCGACCCCGCGTCGCCATCCAGACTCAATCGCCCGAATAAGCCACCGCAGATGGCAAGGTAAGGCATCGTGGTCTTCCGGTCGCATTCCTCGCCACTGCCAACGTAATAGACAATAAAACAGAGGGAGACCAGTAGAAGCTGACCCATGTCACCCCACCGGCGGCTTGACGAACTGAAATCTCTAATGGAATCATGTTAGACGCAATATGACGACAACCAGAAGTGCAATGCTTACCTTTCAAGACCCCTTTCCCAAAATAGCCCGCAATTTGCCAGCTTGACCACAGCAAATGCTGACTCGATGCAACGCTCCGCACATTTCTTCCGTGTCAGCTCAGCAGCCCTGGATGACTTCAAATCAGCAGAAGGGGTTGACGTTATCCATGGACAGTGAATAAAGAATATCGCTCCATGGTACATGCAGAAGACACGGAATGATTTCCGTAACTGCCGGTCGTCCTCAATGTATTGTAGATTCTTGGCGTCGCATGCCTCGCTTAGTGGTGCGGGAAGCCTGCTCACCCACTCGTTGAGGGCATGGTAACTCGCCTTAACATGATGATCGGCAGAAGACGGGTTTTTGAGTGCTCTTGGGCTGTATTGGGACTTCATAACATAGTGAAGGAGCTCCGAGTAGGTGTACGAGACCGCGATCATGTCGTCACCTTGTTCAAAAGAGGGAAACTGGGTTGCCCATTCAGGATCCAAGATCTGAGTTGTCGTTTAGTACAAGGAGATAACGATATTTCATCTCATCATCACTCACTGGAAGAATGCCGTGGTGAATCGCGTAGTCAGTCTCCAAGCTGTAAAGAAACCATATGCTACGCTGTGCAAGCTCTTGATCTTCCTTGTTCAAGCTCGGTTGCTGGCCTCTCGCTGTATGCACAAGTCGAAGCTCCCGAGCACAGCATACAGCTGCAGTAATCTTGTCCCAAATAAGAGACCCATCGCACATGCAAGCTATGACAGCCTACGGCAGGTTACAATCTGGGGCTGGAAACCTTTCCCTAAAGTGATTGCTTACCATGAGTAAGGTCGCCTAAGGGCAGGTAATTAGCATGTCTTTCAATAAGAACTGGGATGTAAAAGTACTACGTATGAGAACACTTACTTGAAGCTTCATGAGACTGCTTGGCGAATTTTGTATTTTGCTGTGAAGTGCCAATGTAGATGAAAGACGCAAGCGGGAAGCACGCATTTCATCCACACTTATGGGTTCTTGACCTCGAAGGCATGCTGTATAGTAGCCTATTGCCAAAACGGCACCAGCGAAAACAGTGACCACTTCATCAGCGTCTGGCTGTCTAGACTGTTTGATGATCCTATCGACTGCAGATCGAGTAAGAAAGTTGGCGATACTGTTGACAGACGACGTAGTGTTAGTCACTAGAACTTGGTTCATAGAATAATGCAGTTGATGGTCGCAATACACTTACGGACAGTTGTCTTCAAAGCATGCTGTATGGGAAATTTGTTAGCATTACACAAAGACCTGAACTGCATTCCGCTTACAATCACAGTAGAGAAAGAGGGAAACTTCGCTATCGCGACAGTGTCTGTTTTCATCCAACACCTCTTTTCTTCCCGCGGGTGACGGATTGCCACATAGAACACGTCGAAGTTCGTTGACAATCTCGATAGTTTTCGTCCTGTGTGGTTCCTGACTAATCCTTGAAATGCAGCTGAGCAGTCCGTAGAGTTCCGATGCAGAGAAGTCGACGGTTGCTGGGGCCTCGTTTACGTTCGTCAACTTCTCTTCCATATCCATATTTTTGCAGGCGGCTTGTGCTGATTCGTTAAAGTTGAAGAGCTGCGACCACTCAGTCATTTGTGTTCAGTACGAAAGCTCGGGCTTGTTCTCTTACCGTGTTATAGTCTGGTGGACTTATAGAATGCTGCCTTTGTTCCCAATGGTTATTTGACGTGATGCATTGTCCTGGGATTGGGGATGGGGCAGGTTTGGCGCCCTGCAAACTTGTAAACTCGAAATTGAATCCCCCCCCTGAACTGCATTCTGAAGGCGATGAGTCGAGCAATTCCAACAGCTCATCTTCCCCTGGGATTGGTACATCCAGCATACCAAAATCACCGTACTGTGAACTAGGGTATGAATTGGGTAGCGAGAGCTGTTGCATGCAGCTCAAATCATCCCCATGAGGTTCCAATTCAATACTGCTATTTCTATCATCTCCAGATGAACTCGGTGTTGATATGGAGTCTTCGCAGGAAAATCGTTCCCAAGCTGCATAAGAGGAAGTGATCTGGCCGGCATTGATATCAAGCCTTCGTCTGTCATGAGTTGCTGGGCTCTTGGCATCGGTTCCACCAATATTCTTGCGAGGTCGAGGAGCTAGGGGGGGGTAGTAACAAGTTTGACCTTTGCGCTGCAATGAATGTTTAAGTATCAATATAGTGAGCGTAAACGGGCCCGTCAGTTGGATTCCATACCTCGCAGTGTAGGCACGGGTCCGCACCATCGCCTTCGAACAATTAAAAACAATGTCAGATTTTCTTGAAGCTGACAATACTTACAGCGAACTTTTCTTGACCTGCATCCCTGACAGGCACCTCTCCTGCGTGTAACACGACGCATATTGAAAGTTCTAATTGAATCTTATGTAGAAACAAATTCCTCCTGTTAATAGAGCCACGTAAAGGCAGAGCGTCAAGTTGGAAAGACCGTCGGCAATTGTGAGCGAAGAATGGCCAGGTACGGAGTCTATACGATCCAGCCCTAAGTATCAGTTTCATTGAGTTCGGAGGACTAATCCAATCACCGCCTCAAGCCTCACATATTGTTAGATTCAGGAGGCGCACCAGCTAAATCATACGATAGCTGATGGGGGGACTGGGTTACCAAGTCGGTAACGTAGGTAACACTTCCCTTCTCAATGCCGGCGGAGGTACCAAAGCTCCAAGATGCTTCAATCTGGTGGCTTATCGGCTCGGGTGTTTGGCCAGGACCAGGTCACGTTGGAGCTCGCTGCATGACAAGACATCAGCAGATAGGCGGTAGGCCTATCGAGTAGCAGTAGTTTACATTAGCAGAAATGCAGCCCATTCTTCTAAGTTCGAGTCTATACCACGCGATCCATGCTTGATTCTATCCTGTTCTTTTTTCGTCAGGTCATCTGATTTACTCGGTAGACAAAATAACATTTTGACCTGACTCTCCGTAAACATGGTGCTCTGCGATGTCGTAATTGAGAACCAGAACTTTCGGTAGGCGCCAGTGAACCCTGAGCGAGAGACATGAAAGATCATCCAAGATAATTTAGCTGACAGACGCGGGAGTTCCATTTACAATACTTGTACCAGTGCCTTTGTGTATAAGATACCGTAGAGGCTAGAAACCAATAATACGTATTACTGCTATCGATCCTTCGACAACTTAGGCGTCCGATATGTGGCCGGACTGCGAAGCCAAATATTTTTAAGCTTCGTATCTACATCAATGTCTCTTCTTGCTCAAGTTTGATTTGATGCTCCTGATTGCGAGTCAGTGTTTAGAAACATGCATGTAGACAGAGAATAACTTCCACTAGCTCTGGTAACTTGAAAACCTAGGTGCAGCACAGGAAGAAGCTTGTACCACTCTACAGTAGTTATGAACGTGTTTACTTACAAAAGCTCGGAATCAAAACCGTGAGACGTGGAGGAGTGGAACAGCAGTTTGACTCATTGACCTGCACTACAGTCTACAAGACTAACCTTCTCTTCGATAATGGATCATACTTCTATTTTGAGCACCGCATCAGCCAGAGACAACAGACAGACTCCTCTGACTCGTCATTCACTGACATTATTGCAGCGTCTTTTTTGCACGTAGCTTTGCATCACGTTGAAGCTTAAAACTCATGCTGCAGGTACGTGACGAACTACTCAGATAAAACAAATCCCGTCTCCTTCAACTAACATGAAGTAACCCTTAAAAGTGCTCACAATACTGGGCCGGCTATTGTAACGCTGTTGAAGGCCTGTTGCGGCACGTATCTATGTCTGTGAAGCATGTTGTATTGCCAGAGCCACAAGCGAAAATGTCTGAGATTGCTGCACCCGCTCCAAAGACCGCTTTTCTGACACGAACTTCACCTATTGTCGCTTTAGCAGAGAGGACCCCTGAGAACCTTCCTCTGGCTAAAAGAACTTCGACTTCGTTACAGCTTACGAGTCGCTCCACTGGACAGTTCTAGAACTGCCCCTCAACAACATTGCAAAGAGCTTTTGAGAGAACGAAATCTTTGCGGCAGTGATCTGCGGTCCCAGTCATTAGCCCGCTAAGTTGTCCTTCAGAGAGTTTCTCTCAGAACATAATGCTCGGCTTCTGAGACACGAGTGGATGAATGAGAGAAGAATGGGAGCATGCGCCAGTTCTTCCCTGAGCTGGAGTGCGTAATATTGCACGACGAGTTGTGGACTTACGTAAAAGTGTATAGATATCAAATGCTAAAATGGATGGCAGCAAAGTGTTACCAAATATTTCAAGTAATCACAGATCCAATCAGCGATCAAGGACTTGTGGGCGTGCTACCATACATGACCACACCGCCTGGCACAGCTAATTTAAGGGCCTTCTTTCTCTTTTAATTTGTGTAAGACTCCGTTAGTTAGTGGATGTCTGAAAGTTCACACTATACTCATGATACATCCTCAGAAAATCAACTTGCAGCCTGTGCCTTGCTGTATTGCAATGCTATCTATACCCCAGAAGCTGATGAACGCAATCCGTGAAACGTTATTATTAAAGTGTTCCATGGCTCCGTCTTCTTAATGGATTATCAGCGGTAAGACACCGCCATGACCGCTTAGTATCCCCCTACTGCTATGCCTGGTAATGCAGCATGAATGTAGCTTCGGGCTTTGCTTAGTTGTGGAAAGTCCCGCGAACTCTCACAGGGCACTTTCCTACAAGAGTGTTATCTTCGTTAAGTAGGTTCCCATGTAGGTCTCTGCGGTGAAACAACACAGCAGGTCACAAGAAGATGCTGTGTCTAGACTGACCGTTTGTATTTAAAAGGGAATTGAAGCTTATGTTCATTATCTCTCCACATAGAGTACCAGTCCTGGAAATTGACCTTGGAAATATAAGCGTGGTAACCACCTGAGTCGTGACCATGTGTCGGGTCTGCGACGAGAAGTAAGAAACTGGAAGTCTCATTCTCGACAACGTGTAGGTTCTTGCTGTTTACTGTGGTATATTTGTAATATTATCAGCGACCCTTGCGTTGATGTGCTGTGGACTTGATCAAAAACTTGGCTACAGAGTCAAAGTATGATGTTTCTCCACGACTCTAGGTTTGTCGTAGTGGATCCATATGATATGAGGCGTTCATTGCTGCTTGCGATTAACGGCGTCGTTTTTGCGACAAGGTTTAAAGGAGTGGCGAGATTCATTACCCACTCCATTTCACAAAACCGGCATCAAGAATGCTCATGTATCATAAAATTTGGATTCCATGGATATCACTAGGTATTCAGCCAATTACAGTTGCCCTGAAAAATTCTTATTTACTTCAGTATTCGAAGTATCCTGTACGTCATCAATGACACAACCGCCGTCCTCACCAACACATATATCAGACGTTTCTACACCGTGTGGCTAATTTTCATCTTGAGCTTATTGCACTCATACTCAAAGTCTTCAGATGGTGGCAGAAAATCATCGACGATGGAGCGTTTGACGCTTGTATGTTGTCTGACGTATGACGAAGGTGGTTCGTAATCGTCCTTATGTAACAGACTACTGGGGCCTTTGTAACCCATATTCAGCTCGATAACCTGTTTGCTGTACGAAACGATGTTATCGCCGATCGTTCCACCAGAATTCGCCGTCGAGTCATTGATGCATTTTGTCTTCTTCCAAGCGATATCGGCGCTACGAGTTCAGATGGCCACTGGGTCGGTGACAATTCCACTTGTGTAGAACCGTTGGTAGTTCGCAGACTTATACACAAATTTCTCCGAGAATCCATTAACCTTGTTGCGCGCGTAAGCGTTGCGGTAGTTGAAACTGCCGCCGGAAGCAGCAAGCCGAGGCAGCAGGGGTGGTTCTCTTTCAAAGGTTACCTTCAAGTGGTCTAAGTAGTTCGCATTGATCGCGTCACGGTCGCTTTGCTTGATGTTCGCCCGCAAATTCGCAAAACCGAGCGCTTGTGCACTGCCTGCATGGCAGCCTCACGGGGACGACCTCCCAGAGCAATGGTGCGGACCGTCGGACGCCATGTTCTTCGACCAGAAGACTAGTAAAGAGTGAGCATGTTGATGCACAAGTACCATCAGTGACAACAATGATGCTCTGCGGCTCAAACACTTGCCCTTCTGTGATCCGGAGAGATCGAAGGTCGCTTTGGTTGTGTCGCAGCAGGTCGGTGGCGTTCTGACCCCTAACTAACTCGTGTCTATAAAGAGCTTGAAACCTCTTATAGGGCTTCTCAGCTGCGTCCAAAAAGATATCATTGGAGTCTTCTAGAAGTTCTGGGGACGCATTTTCAGCATTTAGGCCAATGGCGTCCAACGCCCCGTGAGCGCGCAGCCCGTTTCCGTTCCAGATATCTGCAGTCTTGGGGAAGAGCTGATCGTGGAGTCCGGAACCGGCAGTATTCTCATAAACGCTACCGTCAAGGAAATATCTAGGAATCCAATTGCTCGCGTGTTTGGAGATTGGCAGAGGGCTTCTTGGAATCCGGATCGGTGCAGGTATTGCGGTCGAAGGCCAAGAGGCGGATGATGTGGCACTGCTTGAAGTGGGAGTAGCGGTAGAAGGAAGCTCAACTGCCTAGTGAATAGATTCCAGACTGCCAGCGAAGGTTACCATGGCTGCAGGAATGGCGACAATCATCTCGTCCGTGTACTCGCTGCCGTTCTTGAACTTGAACACCTGAGTATCTGTGGCCTCTCCAGCATACCGCACAGCGGAGGCATTCCCCCTATTCTGGGTCTGCGTTGCGGGATGGGTTCGGAACAGAGCGTTATACTTGGTGTCAGTGTTCAGGTATGTCAGTCTATCTTTTTTTCTTTGGATTTCCGTAGTACAATGTATATTATTTAGTAGAGCGTGGTATTTAGGAGCTGTTTGCTGACGCGTATGGCTGAAGTCAAGCGGAAAAAAGTGTGATAGCACCATCAAAGCCCCAATGCATAAAAGATTTCCGCCTTTCAATATTAACAGATGTAACGCTCTAAGTCTAAACGCCATTTAGATCGAGTTCCCACGTCTCGATCCATGCATCCCACATGTGCTCCTGATGCTTCCAAGCAAGCCCTAAGGCCATATACCGTAGACAAATGGGTCAACGTATGGATAGTCGGCTTCCATGCCCATAATGGTACTGTACTCGTCTCGCAGTAAGTCCGATCCCTCGTTACCATATTCCGAGTATTTGCTGAGCTCGTGCCTGCGCAACGCTATAGTCCACGGAAAACTGGAGTGCGCGACGCCCATGAAAACGCTCGCCTTAAACATTACTAAAAAGTCCACCAGGGCCAGCTGGTCGAACGTGAAGCCATCGAGCTGCTTTCTGTCGGGCCCTTGGAGCAGATCATGCTTGGTTACCACTGTGACGTTCCTCCCCGACCCAGCCGCGAGGCGCTTGTGCAGTCGTTCGGCGAAGATATCAACCACGGTCTGGTTCCCAGACGCAACGTATACGACGCTGAGACCGCTGCTCTCCACATTCTTGAATTGCTCTTCGAATTGATCATCCATGCGCGAAAAGCGCCAATTTTCCGGTTCCCAAGCAGAAGTTGCATCCTTCTCGAGTCTCAGGTGTGCACCATAATAGGCGTTTGGATTGATCGCTACTGTCGGATCAATGGGCAACGCGAACTTCTCTTTGAGCTTGTAAATAATCTTGGCCGCCAGGGCGCGCGTTTCGTTGCGAAAGGACAAGATCTTGCCGAATTCGTTCACGAAGGCCTCGCCATCGTCGCGAACGGGATATTCGAGGAAGCTCTGCTCCATCTTGATATGCACCGGGGCATCCGCTTGCATCTTGTCCTTGACAGACATCTTATCTAGCCATTCGTCGAAGAATTGTCGCCATTTCCGGGGGTATCTCAATCCCTCCTTGGGATGGTGCGGCTCGAACTGGTCGCCCAGCAGGCTCAGAGGCTCTCCTATCCGCCGCTCGTAAAACGGAAAGTCCTCTGCGCGTTCGTAGACACGCATGCCGGGGCATCCGTTTGTCAAATGGGTGACAAATGTATCGTGATCCAACAAGTAGTCGAGCGGCACTTCGGTAGAGGTTTCGATATCGGTGATGTCTTTCGCGTTGCGCAGCGCCATTGAAGGAATAACTATCGCTCCTCCGCCGTTGATTGCGTACCGGACGCACTTCAGGATCTGGTTACGCACCATCCCAATACCGCCATGCTGACCTTCGCAGGTGAACAGCAGTCCCGGGCGAAAACTAGTACGGGAACATATTTGCCGGATAGGCTCGTAGTCGATCGGGGCAGGGTACTCGACGCTCATGGCCTGTTCAATGAAGAGGCTTTCTGCATCTTGATGGCTCGGTGCCTCGTCGAATATTGTTGACACTGCATCGGTTATCGCTTCGTGAACGCCCAGAAGACGAAGCGTCCAAACAAAGATAAGGGCTATACCGAGCGAAAACACCACCAGTGGGCGACTTTCGCAGAGCATGGCGTCTGTTCTTAATGGGGTAATCAACGGAAAGCGATCATCAAAAGTATGTACCGGACGATCGAAAGCCAAGAGAAGCCAAGGAAGCCAAGTTGAGCCAAGAGATGAACCAAGATCGCATTTCTTCTTTGAGAAAGAAAGGTGGTCAAAGGATTCCCCGAACGTAGAGTTGCATCCGTATAGGGAGAACATCCAGGGGCCGCGGTTACCGAGGTTTCAGTCATGTTTCAAGCGACTTTGAGATCGACCAGTTCGGAAATCATCCAGTTGCCGTTTACCGACGGCCACCGTCAATGAAGATTGTCTGGCGTTTTCATCGCGGAAGTTGGAGTAAGTTTCCCAAAATTGCGAAGAAGAATGCAGCTGGCTGTTGTCCGGTCATGGTGGACGGCGAAATATTATTCTCTGTAATATGAATCACGCTTAGGTTGGCCGTTGGTCCGAAAACTCAATCTAATTCCCCAAGTGCCCATGCGTTGCTTCGGATCTTCGGCACGACTCATTCGGGTTAGAGCGGCGTTTCCAGGTCCTCCCGAGCCATCAAGGCTAGTTCTGGATAGGATCCAACCAGATCTGTCTCAAAATTGCAGTTTCTACAGGCCATGTATGCCAGCAGACCCTAATTGCTTGCCGGTATCGTCAATATCGGGGAATCTGGTGCTTTCAAATGGAGTGCTGCGTTTGTTGTTCCTCGGGCCGGTGGTAGATCAGAGCACCGTTCCGGAAATGGGCTTCGGTATCGGTCCGCCCCGTCATTAACCGCTAATAGGTGACGAAGATTTGCGACGGGAATATGTTGTGCCGTAAGAGGATTCAATGACAACTCAACCGACTTTTACATTAGGTGTAAAGGTACAGTTTGTTCCCACGTTAACATGTAGTTATTTTTCTTACACTAGACTAGTTGTGAATTAAACGAACCTCGTTCACTTGCAGGGAACACGTCTAAGCAGTTACGCTATCTTCGCTTTCTCCCCGCCCAAGTACTACAACTATAAACTCCAACAACAACAGCATGCCCTCCTCACAGAAGCCATGATGCATCTGTCTTACGCAAAAGTCCAACCCCTGAGATCCATGTCTTGTATGGTATACGGTTCAAGCAGACGTGACGAGAAGTACTCAGTTCTCAAACAAACCCCCAGGGAGCCGCGCGAAGACGCGCCATGACTAGAGATGGTCTCGTCCGGATCACGTCATCTCTATCCGTATACTCGAAATATCGGGTTGTGACATCGGTTTATCCCGATCCACCCGTATCATCCGCCCCATCATAGCTGTTATGGTACCGATGGGCTGCACTCTGTTGTGTCTGAGGGTTCATTTACGCTGTAGCTAACCATCCAAGGAGAGTGACGCCCCGACTTACGAATAGCAACGAAAAGACGTGATACCACAGTGCTGCTTCATCTTCTTTTACCATTTTGATACATGTGCCCAGCCGTCAATATGATAAGTTTGGATGTCTCGTTCACCTGACGGGGCTCTTCTTCCCATCGGACTGGAATGCATTGCATGATTTGTTCTGACGAAGGGTATCAGTGAACATCTCTTATCTAGCCCTTTCCAAAAAAAAAAAAAATGCCGCTGTTTTGAAGCAAAAATGTTTTGGCGAGGCGCATATGGCGTAACTCGACGTCTGGGAGAAGTTCCAAGAACCAACCACCTCTCCGCTCAACCTCCCAGATCGGCATCCAATTCCAGTAATCATACTTTACTCTAGAGTGAATTAGACGGCCGTAAATGCATTTCATTACGGCTTTGTATGGCTGAAACTATCTTCATAGTTGGGGAAAGTCCATGGCGTGGCAAGGGTTATTATGCTGCGAACTTATACAGCCGTCCCCTGACCAGGAAATCCCGCTCATCCAGTCGAGCTGTAGACAGCTTTCTTCTACCTTCTTAAGCCATAGAAAGAAAGGCCCCCACCCCATACGGAGAAATCTTAGCAAGTTGCCACGTCTCGATAACAAGACTTGTGCGGGAAGCAATGCGCATCAATAGTCTTGGGGTGAGGTTTAGGAATGTGACCCTCGCTCCCCAAATTGCCAACGATGCAACCAAACAGACGCAACGCATGTTCAAAAGGAACAACATCCTAATTGGGTGATTGTGACGTACGGGATCCATGCCGGCAGTATCTTCCGACGATGGTGTCCTCTGCATGGAAGCAAACCCACATTTCCCTCCAGATAGGCAGTTCACCGGAGCTTCCAATAATAATTTGGAAACAGCAATGAACATCCAGGTGGTAATGACGACAAGGACGGGAAGATAGAATACCTGAGAATCGCCTTCCAGGTGAAAGAAACATAATCCACCCGTGGTGTAGTAAGCTCGAGCATCAAGTCTGAGTCGGTTACAATTTGATTTGATACAACTGGGCCGGAGTCAACCAATCATTATTCCATTCAATCTATCCGCATCCCCAACCCCCAGTTATATTCAATGAAATATAAAACAAAATTGATTCTTCTAATTGAGCGGGACTCACTCCAGCTTACGAGGGGCAATTGTGGACCGAAGCTTGACGAGTCGACTCCCCTGAGTCTAATGGACGTCTCGGGTACAGTGACCTCGATGATCAACATCCCAACTCCGACAATGTGGCAATACGACATGTGATCGATTCAAGATGCCTCAACGCCAGAATCACGAGGGCCGTACCAATTTCAGCAGATGGTATACATGAGGCTCGATGTAGGTGCACGAAGGCTCTATATGTTTTCTGCTTGTAGATTGACGCTTGCCCAGCCATCGCCAGGCGGCCAGTCTGCTCCATGTCTCCTATATACTGTAATACGTATCTATCTACAAGGATGCCTATGAATGCTTAAAGATTGCAATATGGCCACGTTATCCACTACGGTCGCAGTTAATCCTCAGACGGTTCATCCGACCTTTTCACATTATCAGATTGGAGGAATATGCGCCATATCTCTGTTGAAATTTATCAACAGAGAAAAGTGATAGGCTGCAAGACTTCTCGTCGTCGCTGGATGTGGACTCGAGAGCCCACTGCACATCCACCCATGTGAGCAAATGCGACAGACCAACAGCATTGTTCTTATTTGAGACATCGCGTTAGCTCCCGTAGTCGGCCCGCTCGGCTTGGTATGCGATGCGAGTTTACTTCAAACAACCTAACGGCCCCAAAAACGCACTTCTCAGGGTCAGCGGGGCTGCCAAAGACAAAGACAGAGACAGAAGACCACTCAACTGCTTCCGGCCGGACGCTACGGACCCAGACCCTTCCAATTGCTGCATATGAAACTATCAATTTAGATTCGGAGAACTTACGTAGCGCTTGAGTGGGTATTCGCCTTGCCCATTTGTGATTGTCCAGGAAAGGGGGTTTGTGAGTAAAAGACGTGCATCTTCGGAGTGAACGGTGAAGATACAAGACCAACACGATTGAGCAATGTACAGGTTGTTTTGTTTGTTCCAACAGCCAAGATTCCTCTTCTTCTACAATCCGATTCTTGCGATTCACCGCTAGGACGGCGTTTCGTTGTTTTTCCCACATCGTTGTCCCTAGAGGACACAGCCACTCTCTTGTTGCGCATCTTTTTCATTCTCTACCTCCAAACAGACCAGACTCAAAGCCATTCGCTTTCACTATATCCATCCAACCAACCAGTCATTACTAGAAACCGGAATAAACTTGAAACATTCATCACCATGCGCTCGATACTCTCTGGAGCAGCGGCTCTTCTTGGGCTCGCTGGAACAGCAGCTGCGCAGTTGCGCGCCTCGGCTTACACCGATCCGCAGACCGGCATCGACTTCCAGCGTTTCAAGCCCGGATCTTATCCCTTCAGCTTCGGTATCGCCGTCCCCGAGACTATCGGTACCGACTTCATCGGCCAAATGGTCGTTCCCATCTCGGAGACGGGCAACTGGGGTAGTGTGTCGTTGAACGGTGGCATGTTGAACAGTCTGCTATTCGTGGCCTGGGCCGATGGCAAGGACATCAGGACGAGCTTCCGTGTCGCTAGTGCCTACGCCAACCCTAGCGTCTACGACGAAACCAAAGTCAGCGCGGTTCCCATCGCCAACGGTACCTTTGTCAACAGTACTCACTTTTCCTATACCTTCCTTTGCAAGAACTGTATCAACGACAAGACAAGCTTGGCCAGCTAGAGCCCCATCTTGGGTTGGGCTATCTCCAACGCCAGCCCTTCCCCTGCCTCCGATCCCGGAGCTACTCTAAACTACCACTCTGCTGGCTTCGGTGAGTTTGGTCTCGACATTGCTGAACCCAAGTCCGCCAAGTTCCAGACATGGTCCAAATACGCCAAGGCCGTTGGGGCTTCCCCTGTCCCCGGCAATGGCACGGCTACTCCTGGTGCTGGCAACAGTACCATCCCTGCTCCCACCACCTCTAATACCACTTACGATGTGATTGTCGTGGGCGGTGGACCAGCTGGTATCATCGCTGCGGAGCGTCTCGCCGAGAAGGGCGTCAGTGTCCTCTTCATCGAACGTGGTGTTGCAAACGCAGTCCACCTCGGCTCCAAATTGGCACTGCCCTGGAACAATACCCTCACTCCCTATGATGTTCCCGGTGTCGCTGACGTTATGACTACCTTGCCCGGCGTCTCGTTCTGCAGCGACACTGCCTCCACTGCTGGTTGTGTTTTGGGAGGAAGCAGCTCCATCAACGGGCTCAACTTCATCCACCCTCCTGATCGCGATTTTGAACGCTGGCCAGCGGGCTGGAACTGGAAGGATATCTCCGCGGCCGCCTCCCGCCTCTACGAGCGTAACCCCGGTACCACGAGTCCGTCCAGCGACAAGAAGTACTACGATGACCTCACCTTCAGCATCTTATCCCGTCTCCTGCAGGCCAAAGGCTGGACTCAGGTTGACTCCATCGCGTCCCCGAACGAAAAAGACGCCGTTTTCTCTCGCCCTTCGTTTTCCATCAAGAACCGCCTTCGCGCCGGCCCCGCTCGCACTTACATGCCCTTTGCCCAGGGGCTGCCCAACTTCACCCTCAAGCTCGGGACCAAGGTGGTTCAGGTCATCCGGTCCGGCAGCAAGGTCACTGGCGTGCTCGTCCAGGCCGCCGACGGCAGCAGACAGGTTATCAAGCTCAACCAGGGCGGCAAGGTCGTCCTGGCCGCCGGTGCTTTGTCTACTCCTCGTGTCCTTTGGAACTCTGGTATCAGCCGTTCTGATGCTCTGGAGATTGTCAAGTCCGGCGCTGCTACCACTGGTGTCACCCTGCCCAATAAGGCCGACTGGATCGATCTCCCCGTTGGCCACAGTCTCCGGGACCACGCTCAGATCCTGCTGAAGTTTAACTCCAAGTCCAACTTCACTGCCTACCCCTTCTCCGACATCGTTTCTAACCCCATCAAGTCCGACTTGGAGCTCTTCCAGCACGGCTCCGGTCTCATCGTCCAGGGAGATCAGCGCATCCACCTTTGGACCAGTGCCAAGGGCGCCGACGGCCGTACTCGCTACCTTCAGGGTACCGCCAGCGTCATGGTCAACGCTGTCTTCTACCTCCGCACTTTCCTGACCCATGGCACGTCCAGCGTTGGTGAGCTCAGCATCACTGCCTCCGGCAACACCCTCATCAAGACTAAGCCGTGGCTGGTCGATGCCGAGGATCGCAAGACCATGTCCAACTTCGTCCAGTACTGGCTCGACCTCGCTGGCGCCGCCAACTCAACCATCAGCTATGTCACCCCCAGCGCCACTCCTACAGACATCATCGACACCCAGATCATCAGTGGTGACCACTGGGTAGGCACCACCAAGATGGGTACCGACCACGGTCGCAAGAACAACGGCACCGCTGTCGTTGACCTTGATGCCAAGGTTTACGGCACCGACAACCTTTTCGTCGTCGATGCCTCTATCCACCCCGATCTTCCGACTGGTAACACCCAGGCCATCATCATGGTCGCAGCTGAACATGCAGCCGAGAAGATCGCTGCCGTCACGGTGCCCGGCACCAACCCAGACGCCTCAAAGAACTCCGGTGGATGTGCCAAACGCTCCACCCGCCGGGCCATGCGTTCTAGACGCAGTGCCCGCCTGCACTGGATGATCGGCCCACGAGCGCTGAGTGGACATGTCCGCGTGTTTCGGCGTGGTTGGTGACTTGGTCCTCCCAAGCCATTTCAACGTAAATATTATGCTCTATATTGTATAAAGTTTCTCGTCTCTAGTAGATACACTGCTTCAAATTGTCAATTCGATACTTGTTTTGTTCACAGTGCATGATGCGCACTCATTGCAGATGGTACAGCCCGTTCCCACGAGGGCTGTTATTATCCAACTTTGACTTGCCAAGCAATAGATTAATTGTCCTTTGTCACATGCATATTACGCAGAAAAACAAGGACATTGTGAAAACTTCGAATATGTGAGTGGTTGGCCATTATGATTATCTTTAAGAGGTTTGGTGTCTACTTCTGTTCTAAAAAGCTCTATGCCTCTTTATGTTGTTTCTATCTAGCATGTAGCAGCGCTGGCAATTATGCGCTCCGCGGCAATCTCAGCAATACCGTAAACGGCAGTTTGCATATGAGCGGAGATGAGGAGGGGGATAACACTAGCATCAACGACCCGCAGGTTGGACGTGCCGTATACCTTCAAGTCGGCATCGACGACACCCCCGTCCTCCTTCGGTAACATGGAGCAAGTCCCGACGGGGTGGTATATGCTCAACGTAGTGTTGAGGGCGAACTGCTTCCACTGCTCGTCGGTCTGCACAGCGTCCAGGCCGGGCTCATACTCGTTTTCCCAGAGTTGCTTCATGGGCTCCGTCTGGGCGATCTTTCGGCAGTACTTGATGGCCTGGATGGCGGCCTCGAGATCGTGCTCGTGAGAGAAGTAGTTGGGGTCGATGATGGGCTTTCCAGCCGTGTCAGACGGGTTGATGTGGATCGAGCCCCGGCTCATGGGGTGCATGAGAACGGCGATGAGACTGAAGAAGCCCTTGCCAAAGAGGGGCGAGGTGGCTGCAGGGTAACCCTTGACTCCTGTGTAGCCGTCCGAGAAGATCACCTAAGTCCATTGTTAGAAACAATATCGAGTTGGCGGTGTCGTTTGGGGGGGCTCTCTTACCTCGAGCTGGGGGATAGACGGATCGGACAGGAACTCCAGCTTTTTGTGGTCAACGACACTGGAATCCTCGCCGGCGGCTTGCTTAGCGAGATTGACCAAGTGGGAATCGTTGCCGATCGCCTGTGCCCACGTGCTGAAAGTATAGCCTGAAACAGTAGCGTAAGCAAAGTTGTTCATTATTGAAAGATGAGACATTCATGGAAATCACTCACCAGATCCAGTGTAGTCGTAAAGGGAGACTTGGCCAGCATTCCAGAGTGCCAACTGCTCCGCGGCCACGGTGGTGTTGCTGCGAAGGATGTCGAAGGAGGTGTAGTTGGGCTTCAGCTGGTAGGAGCTTTGAATGCGGAGGTGGTCTTGCAGGTTCTCACCGACACCGGGAAGGTCAATGACTTGCTCAATGCCAGAGGCTTCGAGGACAGAAGCCTGGCCGATGCCAGAGAGCTCTAGCAGACCCGGGCTCTGGATGGAGCCAGCAGAGAGAATGACCTCCTTCCGAGCCTGAATCACGGTTCCGTCCTGAAGAGTCACGCCACATGCCCTTTGTAGGGTTGACTTCGCTGTGTCCTTCTCAAGGTTGACCTTGGCAACAGTGGTGTCAGGGAGGATGACCAAGTTGGGGCCGGCGATGGGGACATATGCGTTGGCACTGTAGGACCTGTTGTAGTGCGTAGGGTCGATGCTGCTGGGCTGGTACATGACACCGAGAGGGTTTCCTCCGAGTGATTCCAGGTTGGTCTTGATACCCAACGAGTTCATCGTCGGAATCCATGTCTCCTGCTGCTTAGGGATGATTCTGTTGATGACGGCCTTGACCGGGCCACTGTCACCGACGCCCTCTGAACCGTACGTGTCAGTGTTGATGCCAGTAAAGTTCTCAGACTTCTTCATGGCGGCAATCATCGTCTCCCAGTTCCAACCCGGGTTGCCAAGAGCCTCCCAGCTATCGTACTCAGCAACGGCTGCCCTGTTGTAGGTCATGAGGTTGAGAGCGGAACTGCCCCCAAGGACCTTGCCCCGGTTGACGGCGAAGGTACGGCCTTTGGCATCGGGCTGAGGCACAGTGGTGAAGTTCCAGTCATATTTGGTCCCCAGCGTTGATCCCTTCATACCGGGAATGTTGATCTTAGGCTCGTCCCATACCGCTGGGCCGGCCTCAATCAAGAGTATCTTGGCTGCGGGGAGTCCCTCGCTGATACGGGCGGCCACGGCGACTCCAGCGGTGCCACCACCAACGACGATCTAGATGAGAGGTCAGTGTGTTCAAATCATGGTGTGCCAGCCGCGTCTTTCCGATGTCAGGGGGGGGGGGGGGGGGGGCGGTGAGCCCATCCAGCCCTAAGGCCCCTGTACAAAGAGCAACGCAACCGCAAGAAGGCGGGATGGCGGAACTTACATAGTCGTAGACATCGTCTCCATAAGACCGCGTCAGAGAGGGCGCACCCGAAACAATGGCCGCAGAAGCGAGGGCAAGACACGCCTTGACAAGCATGGCTCAGACGGCGCAGCGATGCTTCGGGAAGATTATCTAGGAATAGTGTTTGGAACCCAGTATGTATTACCTAGACAAATCATACGAAAGCGAGCGGGTAAACACAAGCTCAAACAGATGATGCGCGTACCGGCACGTAAGGCCGATCAGAATGCTACCGGGCTGTGGTATATCGCGTGACGCATCAAGAACTTGGACTGCACTACCCTTTTGTAGACTGTCCCCCAAATGTTCCCATGTGCCACCGCATGTCGGTAATGTCACTAACGCGGATAGTGGATTAATAGTACGGGTTAGTGTTCAAAATTTGCCGGTCAGCGAATGTGTGAACCTGCAGATACCCTTGTCTCCATTGCCCCAATGGCACCACATCTACATAGTAAGGCAGGGACTGCAAAAATATTGGTAATCTTGGCTCGGTGGGGTGCCGAGCACTTTCTTATACTATTACGTGGGAGAATATGGAATACTCCGGCATACAATGGAGGGCGTGTGGACTACGGACACTAGAGCCGATCTTACTGTGTCTTGAAGACGCGTGAGCTATATTATCTACCGACATATTGGGAGGGGGGGTAAGAGAAGAGAAGGGAGGACAAGAGAGAATAGTTGGCGCTCATGGTTGGCTTGCTGCACTAGACCAGAGATCGAGGGTATTGGCCACAAATGCACTTTTGAATCTCTCAACATCCTCAACGTGTAAGGTCATGCGATGTCCGGGGTACGAGGAGGTCTAGCCGCTTGGCCGTGCTCGGCGATGCTACCGTTCCATTGACGTCCTTGCTCCCGGAATGTTAATTAACACTGCCCGCTGGCAGAGACGGAGCTTCTCCGGTTGATTGTTCACCAGGGAGCTGCTGGCATTCTGACTCAGGGTCATGCCTGTGCCTGCGAATCTGTCTCCTCGACTCCATTTGTCCGCCTAAGCCAATCATTCGCATACCCACGCTGGCCCCCGCGTGTTCTGAGAAAAGAACGTGTTTTACTTCATGAAGCAAGCACCTTGAATTCCCATTTTTACAAACCCTCCATCGTATTCTCCATGAGAGGCTCGTCCCTTCCAACCGCTGATGATAATGCTCCTAGGACTACCCCTGAGGCTCATGCCATCTTCCCCTTTCAAGGTTGGCAACGGATGCATGAAATCGAAACTCTGCCTCTATCCCCCCTTTAATCAGCAAGTGTATGCATCACAGCAGGATTACCTACTGCGGCTTGCTCACCATCATCATAACAGCATCATAGTATGATTTCTATCGCCGACGTCCCGCCCACCATGCTTAAGTACGTAGAACGACACAAACAAGCCGAGAGAATGCGGACGAGATGACAAGCGAAACTCAAATAGGGAGATCATCGTCACGCAATTCAGCATGACTGATACGTATACAGCTGACATTGTCAAACCCATCACTTCGGACGCTCTGCCCCTTGAGAGGGCCTGTGGCATATTACGCGACAGCCCAGCCAGCCTGGCAGATACGATGTCGTGACATGAGAATCACTCACATTGGTCTAGGGGCCTCTATGGTATCCAGGACGAGATGATCACTTACAATCCTAGGTCATTTTCCGCACAGTAAACTTTTGAGCGAGGCCCTTTTCTAGGCTTTGTATCCACCGCGAACCCTGGAAGACACACGGCCATCTTGGTCATGGATCAACCCGGGATTTAAACTTTGTAGGCACCAGTGCCTTCCCCCCACCCCCTCCAGATGGTATGTAGCATCGCACTCTGGGCAGTAGAAGCGATGTGGGAGGAATATTCGTCGACTGCTCTTGGTAGCGGCCGTCTTTAGCGGATTCATCGTATGCATACTACTGTAATAGGTAAAGCAAGATGTTGCTGTCCAGTGAACTGCGGGATCAATCCCATCTTGAGAAATATGCGCCGCGTCGCCCCGGCACTCGTTGCATCGCCTACAGACTTTATTCGAGCAGGCAGGGCGTGCGTGTGTGCGGAACCTCTGGCAGCGTACGAAGTCTGTCAGTACCCTTCTCAGCTCGCACGTTATCCAGTTTCGTCGCAGCTCTTAAGACGATAAAGCCGCCCAATCGCCGCACCTTGGTGCTCTGCAGTGGTTTGTTGGAAACCCAGGGCGAATGATAAGGTCAGGCCGCTATTTGAAACTAAATCTCGGCGATCAACATCGTTTCCTTCAGCTACCCACCCTACTGGCCACCAACTCGTGGGTCGTTTACCCTCCTTGGCCTCCCCCGTTCTTCAATCTCTCAAGCTTTTTGTCCAGCCCATAGCCCATCTCTCTTGCTAGACACACCCATCCACGTTCTTGGCTTGGCACATCACTCAGGCTACCGGGTCCTACTCGACGATACCTTGACCGTTTTGTTTTCCCCCTCTTCCTCCAGAGAGGAGAGAGAAGGTCAACGATGCTGCCAGTCACTCCTCCGAATCCGTTGCCGCCGGACAAGAACATCAATCCGGTTCTCCTCGGTATCTCTGGCGTGCTCATCTTCTTCGTCGTCTTCACCACATCGATCCGCCTCTATGTCCGCTTCATGCTACGCCACCTGGGATGGGACGACTATCTGATGGCGCTCGTCACAATTCTGGGCATCGTTCGATATGGCGTACAGTGTGCGCAGGGCGCATCCGGCAACGGGAGGCATAGATGGTACATTTCGACCGAGCAATACGTCCACAATAATATGCTTGGGTGGTTCGCGCAGATCCTCCTCTTCTCCAGCATCTGCCTCTTGAAGTGCTCCATCATGCTACTGCTGCTCCGCATCAAGAATTCCAGCAAGCTGAAATATTTCCTATGGACCGTAATGACGGGGCTGATCGTCACAAACTTTGGCGTCATTGTCATCCTACTGGCAGAGTGCGATCCCATCGATGCATACTGGACAGGAGTGGGCACCTGTTGGGATGCAAAGATCCGAATTTACTCCATCTACTTGACCATCTGTAAGTCATTTGGATAGGTCGTGACGACACTCGATTCGAAACCAAAGCTGACATCATTCGTCGCAGCGTATTCTGTCATGACCGATTTACTATGCTCGTTTTTGCCCTTGGTAGTCGTCTGGCAAGTCCGCATCCCGATGGCAACCAAGTATTTGGTCGGCGGCCTAATGAGTCTTGGTCTGGTGTTGGTCGAATTCGATCCCCTCTTTGTAGCTGTCTTGCTAACGACGTGATAGTGCAACCGGCTTCGGCATCGCCAGGGCAGCATCGCTGGGGCTCAAGACTGCCGACTTGAGTTGTACGTATTTCGCATGTCTCGAGCGCCCCAGAGGCCATTGCTAACAGTTGCCCATGTAGACGTCTATGCCGTAACCGCAATATGGTCAAACCTCGAGCTTTACCTCGGAATCATTGCAGGTAATCTCGCCATTGCTCGGTCCCTCTGGTTTTACTTCTTCGGAGAGAAGGAGGTACCTACGTACGCGTCGGCCTACGCAAACTCCTCGTCTCATCGTACACGCTCTGCATACAACGGCAGCAGGTTGCATGGAGACAACACCGACGCGATGGACACCTACATCCGTTCCGAACGCAGACCTTCAGTCACGAAGAGCGATCACAGCGACATTCCACTGGAACCCGGTATTCAGAAGAGGACGGAGATTTGGGTCTCTGAAGAGGACGCCGGAAGAAGCGATACTCCCGAGTCGGCGGCAAGAATAACCACAAAACAGTCGCCATTATGAAAGAGGGCAGTTTTGTGAAGAGTTTTTTTTAAGTTTTTTTCCCCCTTGTACACAGTGCACGCAGCTCGGGAGGAGCTTACGCATTTACGGTGTTCGTTGGGAAAGCCTCATGGGAACATTGTTGGATACCCGGCAGAGAAGACCAGGGTGGTCCGCACCATCTTCTCTCGCCATGCCATTGTACTTTGACGTGTCAAAAATATCGATTACGTTCTGAATGAAGAGTACGAAGGATGATGAGAATCATGAGAGTTCCTAACCGTTAACCACTCACCAAGCGCGGTACGCCTTGCCACACTCCAAGTTTCGACATCGAACTGAAGAGCCCCGGTTTGGTTCATACTAATGGCTAAAAATTACGAAATCTGAAAGCATCTCATTTCTTGTCAAAACTTACACTGCATTATTCATAATACGACACAGGCAGCGTTGCATGATACGCACCCACACCTACCTGTCGGCCTCTTTCGTCGGGGAGAAACATCCGAGCGCGGCTGGCGGATACCTGCGATTCCAGCTCCATTGGGTTCCAAGTCTGGCTCGGCACGGGTCGGTTGCCGCGCCGTCCCCTGTTCTGGATCATTCCCGAAATCGGTTTGTCTACACGTCGGACAGGGTTACGAGCCAAGAGGTTTCGGGCTTGCACTCCTTCATTTCTGGATTTGAAGGCCGACCTTTCCCAGGTTGGAAGATAATGGGACCTTCCTTTCCCAGCCTCCCAACAGTCGGTATGGAAGCGCAGGGCTGCAAGATCATCGATAGCCTTGCGACCCGGCACGGTCTCGGCCAAACTCAAGCGGAGACGATCATGGCATGCGGAGCAATAGGATGGGATATGGTGTCAGACTGATTTTCTGTACCCAGAGGGTGGTGGGTGTTTGAAAGTTCATCTCAGTTTTCCAATCTTAAGCCACTCCAGTGCCAGATATACTCATCAAAAATAGGAAGTGGATTGGTAGGTAGGCATTACCTAGTAAACTACAGATTAGACCTCCGGTTTATCCTTGAGAGTGGCAGCACTACTGCGGTCCTGAACATGATAACATAGGTAGTGCATTTGCGACAATATGTATACGGTGACATGCAGAAAGTCCAAAGACAACCACTAATTTCCCCCCTACCCACCTGACTTCAAGACTTTCAGCAAGTCAATATACTTGTCAAAGTTATATCTCACTGGGATGACATAGTAAACCGCTATTCCCGATTCAAGCCCACTCCATCGGGCAGCCAGGCTAGATCAATGCAAACTGAGACAGAGTGGAGGAAATCCAGTAAGCTACAGTTGAAGCTTCAAAAGATAGCCAATTTGAAGGAAAGGGGCGGTCGGTCCCGTAAGGTCGCATGGGTACACAGTACTGACCGTACACAGTCGTATACATACCTAACTAAGCAAACCTGAATCTTTCGGCCTTGTCTCGAACTATGAGCTTAGCTTCCCCTTCTTTTAATTCTTGGTGTGGCTGAACCCAAAGAATTGGACCAATACAACAAACGCCCGACCGATGCGACCTCATCGCATGGCGAATAGCACGATTCGCTTGCAGAGTTAGTCCTTGTTGTGCCCACCCTACTTTTGTACTTGTAGGTATATCGGGTCCGCCTAGTCGTTGGTTAGTAACCGGAGTTCCGGGAATCCTGCCGCTGTATCAGCATGAGAGATTTCTTTTCTAGATCGATTGTGCCTTATCCTACGTTTTCTCGAGAAAACAATTCATCTCAATACCCGTTGCACCGTGAGCTTGGATGTTGATAAGGTATCCCTCAAGCGAGCCATTGTCCCCTAACACCATGCCCGCAGCGACATGCCCTCCTGCGTGCATAAATCATCGTCCGAAGGACCAGACGAAGCTCAACCAGCTGGCTGGGAAGGTTTCCTATGCAACGGGGACCGTTTCCTGTCGTTGTCAGCCGTGGGTGCATGCAGCACTAATCAACTCCTAAAACGCAGATGGCTCCTGAGCTAAACCTGAAGGTGATGTAGCGCCCCTTTGACAGAAACCATCTAAGGTCTCACCCCGTATTGCCGAAAGCTTCATAGTAGGATAGCGTGCCAATTCACACTAGTATCAGACAATTCAAGCGCCAGTTGTAAAAGCGAGGGAGACAGTATACATCAAACAGAGGAAAATCCCAGTATCCTCCCCTAAAGGTAGTAGTGGGTTTGAGTCTGATGTCAACGTGTGCATGAGACATCATCCAGACTAGCAATATAGAAAGGAGCTAAAATGGAAGCTGTTGATGGGACAACAGCAAAGAACAAGTGATGCGTGAGATAATGCGCCCCGCCTCCCCGACTGACGCTGCGTGATGGCAACAGAGGATTCAGAACTAAACCATTGGCGCTAGCATATTCGCATCGCGAGTTGGTATGGGGAATGACGCTGTGGACAGAACGGTACACTATGATGGCAGTGCATTTGAACCTCTTCTTCAGGACTATTTGTGCCATTCTCTCGACCCAGTAGCTTGTTTTGTTTGTATCTACCACCACCATCATGCTTTATATGTGTGACCCGCACACGCTACTTTCCACCTGCAACCTGCCACGCACAATATAACTCAAATACCCCCCTTCTGCACCACCCCCACATTTACACCATTTTCACCACCATCATCACCACCATCATCACCGCTTATTTCACCATCTCTGCCGCCCACCCATATGCAACTTCCGGCCTCGCTGGGCAATTCGGATGCCCTGGATTCATCCGGACTATCTATATTGCCGGTATCCGGACTTCGGGCCCGGATTATATCCTCTATAGTGGCAAAGGTGCTGTTAGGAGATAGTCAGACCTTTTTCCTCTTCTGTAACCGTATATTATCTAACTGAGCCTGTAAAGAGCTGACTTGCCTTTCTAGAAGGGCCACTTTAGATGCCTGCTTATTATAGCCCTTTTGTACCTTTTGAGATAGGTGACGAATAGTATGGGTATCTAGCCTATCCTGGCCTATCTGGTTGAATAGTTGTAATTGATGCCGTAAATTAGTAGATCCTTTAGGTGTTAACCATCGGACGATAGATACAGCTTTATCCTACTGTTGGCTACTAGTCTGCTGGCTAGGCTGGCTCTGTTAGGCCTTGGTTACTATAGAGTTAGATAGAGGGCGCCTTATACAGATAGGCTATAATCCAGCTGACCTCTAGCCACTGCTGATGTTCTTGCTTGTAATAGCTGCTTTACGGGCCTTGAAATAACACTCTAGGAATGCCCTTTTGCTAGCTATAGTTAAATCCGTAACCTAGTTATCTAGATATCTAACCCTTTAGCAATAGGCCTGCTTTAATAGGCTAAAAACAGCCACATCTAGAGGCTAGAGGACAGCAGAGGAGTGTAGCAGTAGAAATAGGAGATAGATATAATGCTGCTAGTATTGCTATATAAATTTAATAGTTATATAGCTGTAATGCCTATCTAGGATTAATAGTCTAGCCTCCTCTAGCTAGGTAGGTGTAGTTAATAGGATAAAGACCTTTTCTAGCTATTTAAGGGCAGTATTATTAGTTATCTAGCTATTATTAGAGTAAGTAAAGTGCTATTCTTTATATCTTAATAGGTTAGATAGGAACCACTAGGCCTAGATAGACTTCCCTTTATATATAACTAATAGGCATAAGGACCTCTTATTAGCAGATACATATTTAATAAGGGAAATCTATGCCTAGGATCCTAGCTGTTATTTCTAGATATGCTGTGATTCTAAAGAGCCTATTACTAGCCTATTAGACCCCCTGCCCTCTATAATACTAGTCTTATCTATATTCTATTAGTTAGATAGATAGATTCCCTAGATAGCAGGGATATTAGTTAGGCGCTAGAAGAATTCTTTAATAACCTTAGAAGAATAGGCTGCCTATCGCTAGGCATCTATTAATCTAGAGCCCTTAGTTCTAATAGATAGATTTTGCTGCCGGAATTAGGCCATCCACCTCTTCCTAAGAGGAGGATACCTATCACCTATTATACGCTCTGCCAGGCCCTTTACTTGTTAATGGTTAAGGGACCTGCTAAGAGAGTCTTGAAGAGATATATGGGCAGCTAGTATCTCCTCTTGGCTCTGGGATAGTTGCTGTAGATAGGCAGAGGCAGTGCCCTTAGATTGCCCACCGTGAAGCCGGTATCAAAGAGTATAGTATAGGATACCCTATTTACAAGCTGCCTAGCGGATAAAGCAACTACTATCGATATCTAGAAGTGCCTGTTGGAGCTGATCTTCGGTATATTGCTTCATGATGGGTTAAAGAAGGTATACTGAAAATTTGAAGCAATTTGGATAACTATGGGAAATGTTATGATAGTTTGAAAAAAGTGGTGATGTTGATGAAGGAGGAGAGTTTGGGTGGTGCAAAAGCGGGGGTGGTGCAGAAGCGGGGTATTTGAGTTAAGCCTGTAGGAAGTAGCTGGGTAAATTCCAAAATGTCAAGCCAATCACATATACAAAGACTTGACAACGGTATCAATGGTAACTCTAGGATATTTTAAGAAGTATATAGTTGTCTCAAGGACTACAGATTCTTTCTTTGGTGGTCAAACAAACTTTTTGACATGTATTGCATGGAAAGGTCCAGAATCTTATACAGTCCGCATCTTTCGCAGGGCGCTTGATATGGGCCACTCACCTGAATCAGAATAAACATTTAGACTTGTTCATCTTCCCCGGCTTTCCGGAAATCGCCATTGGGTGCTAGCTCCTAATTAGGCACGATTTCATTTTGAGACGAGCTGCGATCATACACCGTCCAATGTTGATCATCTGGTCTGACACTAGCGTGCTTGGACTTGAACATCTATGGGCAGGTACCTCAAGTCTCGGGCCACAGCCATGTGTCTAAGAAAAGAAGGATACTGCGAAGATGAAGAAAACAATCGACAAAGGCTATGTAGTAGAATGCCATCGATCACGAGCATCCACGTTTCTATTCATGTGCGGATGAGACACCCGCTGCCCCACGGGTATGCGATAATATGGGTGAGCGAGGTGAGCCAGGCGCTTCTGCGGGTTGCTGAGTCGTAATTGTTGAACAGAAATGCCATTATATCATTCCGTAGGTTATTTGTGGGTTTAGGTTCTCCGTATGAAATGCGCAAAAAGGAAATAAGAAGAATAGGGATCTATCAGGGCATGTGTACTCGAATATCGATAGCACCCTGGCCCCAAGTCCATCTCATCGTACTCCTGACTCAGTATCTAGAAACCTTACGCTCTTCAGGCTGTATAACGTACATTGCAGCCCATGGGTTGTGACGATAAACCCTGACAAACGCACATCAAGATCAAACTTCTAATGCATGGCAATCAACAGCTCATTCAATATCCATATACTACCAAGTTGATGGCCTTTATAGATCATGGTTCGCCTGTTCACCTCAAGCCCCTCACTTAGAGATAGATCCTTGTTCACTGACTACTACATTAACATTCGAGAGAAAGACGAACCCAGAGCAAGTTATCAATCTTGAATCACATGCGCCTTGAATGATCTACATATACATTTTGTATTATCTCAGGTTTGCATCTGTTGTATCACGGGTCACTCAAGAACTAGGTATTCCCATCTTGGTCTCGGTTACGTGGCTTTAGGGCTGACTTGATTGTCTATCGAGCGTATGCTAAGCCATGACAAAGCCACAAAGGATGGCAGGCGCTTTTCCTTATTAGGATAATAGCGAGGGAGTTGCGATTGTTTCGGTCGGTGTGTAACAATGTGGTTCATCCCATGAATATTAAGCATCTGGACCGGCGCACTACGCATTCGATAGCCCATACCTCTATTAACCCAAAGCGTCCAAGTGATCGTGCTTGAGCATGATGGAGACGAAGTACGTATCAAATCAGCGGAGTCCTGCCACCACGACCCCCGCCCATACGACGAATGGCAGTCAAAGGCGACAGTGTTGGGAGTGCCAACGTCGACGGTTGGTCTGCGACTCGGGACGTCCCGTCTGCTCGAAATGCAAGATCAGCGGCATGGTATGTCCCGGGTACGACGACAAGAAGCCGCTGACTTGGCTGGCTCCCAACAAAGTCAAGACGCGGACGTGGAACCGCAAAAGCGCGCTTCCCGATAAAGAATCCGCCGCCAATGGACGCCCCCAGGATGGTCAAGTCGATGTCACAAAGCCCGCTAGTGGGAAAGAACTGGTCCATATCTTTCCCGGGTATGAATTTCGGACCGAGACCTGCGACATTATTGAGGCTACCTTGTACTGTTAGTGACTCCCCTGTCGTAAGCATAATGTACTTTTGAGGGATACGGAATTTAGCTGTTGCTTATTACCTATCAGACGAATACTGACAAACAGCGACTTCACTGTAGGGAACGAACAAATATACCCGTACTTATCCCTGAATCAGTTGAGTCAAAGTCCATGGGTTATACCCGTAACGCACGTTCACTACATGCAGCCCCCCATACAACACGCCCTGGTTGCTATGGCTATCGAACATCGCATGTTACGGATGATATCGAGGAAGCACGACCCCTTTGTGGCCGAAGTCAAACCCAGGGCTATACAACATCGCTCCACGGCAGTCCAAGCCCTGAACAAGGAAATTGTGGATGAACGCAGGCGAACCTCCGATCTCACAATGTCCGGCGTGGTCGTGTTTATGTATGGTGATGTACGCATTGATATCTGCCCCTCTCTCACATTCTGTGTAGTCAACAAGCTGATGCCTTCACCGTAGCTTATGGGGTCTGCGACGGCATCCAACTGGCGATTTCACTTAAATGGCTTTGCAGCCTTGGTTGCTTTGCGTGGCGGCTGGGAAGACCTGTGCCGCAAAGTACCCCATATGAAGGCTGTGGTCCTCTTCTGCAAGATGTGAGTCGTGGTACTATCTGGATTTCTCATGGGTACAATCTCCTCCTATTCCCATAACATTTCCTGACGTGAATCAACGTATGTAGCATCGAAAATTTCGCCAACACGACTAGCCCAGCAGATGATCAGATGTCTCCCGTCTTGAATTCCGAGATGAAGGTTCTTATTCGCGACACATTTGAAATAGGCTACTACCCATATCTGCCATGTCCTGTAGAGTTGTTCATCGACATCATCGACATCAATCGCCTCCGCTTCCTTGCCTCGCGTCAAGGTGCCAAGGGGACAACTCAGCCAGAAGCGGAAGATCTCCTGACGAAGATCACAGACTTCTCCCCAGAATCCTGGTCGGAGAGTAAGGAGAAACTACGGGAGGAGCATTTGATGATGGCTCAGATCTATCAGTCCGCAGTGGTGCTGTTTGGTATTTCGTCTCTGCAGAGTGCTGGCGCGTTCTCGTCGTCGGCGGGTTGGGCAGCCGTCAAAAAAATACACCCCGGCAGGCTATTCTCCCTCCTCAAAACGTCGGCTACCTCGGACATTCTGAAGCACTGCGCAACTTGGCCAATTATCGTGGCTGGTTTTGAAGCTAAGAGCCTCGGTTCCACGCTCCGGGCCTTCCTTTTCTGTCGGCTGGAAGAAGCGTCTCGGGACCTGGGTGTATACTTGCCGTTGGCTGCGAAAGAAGTTCTTGAGAGGTTTTATGCTTCCCCGGGTAATCAGTGGGATGACTGTTTCGATAGCCCTCGTGCATTAATCACTTGAAGCATCAATGCTCGAGTAGAAAAGAGTCAGGGAAAGTTTGGATTTAAATAATAAGTAGATTCTACGTCAGATGTCCATTTGAGGTGGCTTTCATGTTCTTATCCAGTACTATTTATCATATACTAGTAGGTGGATCCATGGCCTTCAAACCCCTTGTCATTATGACGGACATAGCAGCATTCCTTCTTTGAAACTGTCGGTCGTTCAATTCAGAAAGGCTATTCAAAACGGTGGTGTTCTTTTTGGTTTTCCTGTAGAGAGGTGCGCTCCAAGTTCTTAGATGCCTAGGTTATCTGAGATATCCAACCGCAGACATACGGCTGTGGTTATTGAAGAGTCCGGGAAGCAACTGACCCGGAACTTGGACTCAATACCCGATCATCTCCAGAAGTGAACTTGTAAATTATGTGACAGACTTGTTGCTGCAGGTTCATCTCACGCCGCCCAGAACTCGACGTTGAATAAGAATTCAGGACCAAACGAGCTGCTTGAGTTAAAATGCCATTTTATAGGTGTAACGAGGAGATTTCAAGTTATAGGGTTTCGGCCCCAAGCCAGTACTCTTGAGGCTATCATTAGATATAATGGGGCCATTGCAGAATATATTCATGTACTTTGAGTCTTCCAAAAGTCATGAGTTGCTATCGGAACACTAACGTGTTGACCTTGGAGTGGTCTTCAAAAAAGCAACACTATCAAGACGCCATTAGTTCAGAAACGAATTGAAGGCATATCCAGCTTAAACCAAATCCCTGTTACGCTTCCCCCATATATTCGGCCCATAGCGTGGCTTTATCGTGCTCAAGACGTAGCATCTACGCTTTTCTAGTAAGGCATTTGGCCCATGCTGTAGGACGGTCAGACACCAATTGTACCAACGCAGGGCGTACGGAATCGACTTACTAGTTTCCGGGGGGGGAGTAGCGAGCAACCACATAAGTTTTGCCATCTGGGGAATTTGCGATAGCTAGGCCGACCTTCTGGGTAGACTTCCAAATGCATTGAGCTGTGGTCCTGTTAGTCACGATCTCAGTTGATGGAAACATCATAGGGACTCACTGTAATGGCCGTATGTATGGTAGTTGGGCCCGCCTGGCTTGTCCGTGATGGGCTTTCCGTCGTACAGAGACTTCTCATCAAGCCAAAGCTGAACAGCCTTGGAGTTTGGGGGGTCGGAGGCGCCTTGGAAATAGGCCAAATTTTCGCCCTGGCCACCCGTGTTCTGGTCATGCTCAAAGCGGCCGGAATCGGCAAGATATTTTGCCCATTTCTGAGCGCTCTTGGCAAGGTCGTCATCCCAAATCAAGTCTCCATTACCAACCTGGGCTCTATAGGCGTTGTGAAGGTCAAGAGCTTTCTGCTGGTCGGCGGTCAAACCCGAAGTCGGGGGTGTGGTGGGAGTGGGCAAAACGGTAGACAGGGTACTCGAGGTCTTGGTCTTGATGGAGACGGTCGATTGTGCTGGTGCCGTTTGGGTTAATGATGATGTTGTGTTCAACAATGCCGTCGAGTTCAACAATGCCGTCGAGTTCAATGATGCCGTCGAGTTCAGTAATGTCGATAAGTTCAACAATGCCGTCAGGGGCAAACCGGTCACTGAGGGGGTGACGGTAATGGTCACGGGCAGACCTGTAGAGACGAGAGTGACAAGAGAACCGGGCAGCACAATGGCTGTGACATGGGCAGCCATCAGGCCCAGACTAGCTGCTGATCTCGTGGGAAAGTGCATATTGGCGAAGAAGGGCTGGATACGCAGAATCACCTGGATATCTGACGAATCGAATAGGTACAATAGCGACCAAGAGGAACGTTTCGTCCCTTGAAAGACGAAGAGAAGGATGCGTCAATGATAGTGTTGCAAACAAAGCTGTAGACAGGAAGCATGTTAAACGAAAAAGACATGGGTGTGATCGATGTTGATATATCTTCTCATTGCCTTCATTCTTCGGGACGCAGGGTGTCCAGACTTGGGAGGCATGCTGATTTCGTCAATCACTGGATTCGAGACACATCCAATTTCTTTGATGCGAAAGCCACATTATCCAGTTCTTCGATCCGCAAGACAATTTTCTTGGCTTTCTCAAAGGAGACTGACGAATCCACCCCGGCCTATTTTGTTGTTTCCGCCGGCTCCCGGCCAACGATCCGCCACGCGCTGTTTCTGGGCGATGCTTCCGGTCACGATGTCATCAACCTCCCCCCTTCTCTCTCCCGCTCTCTCTCTTTTCATTCTATCTATCTCTTTCATTCTATCTCCCATGCTATCTTCATCCATGCCGCAAGATTATGAAACTGGACACCAGGACTATGGAATTCCCGATGCCCCTGAGAGGGGCCGATGCACCCGCATTCCAAGCGGCCATCATGGTTGAATCATTTCCACCAAAAAGGATTGTCGCGTTGTAGTAAGCACCTCCGAGAATGAATGGATCAGCATCCATTACATACGTGCTCCTGCGCTCACTGGCATGTCAGTGGAGCGCACATGTCCGCTTAATACCTAGGTATTTCTCCCTCGTCCGACAATAAACTTTCAATAGGCAGATCAACCTTGATGTATGGCGAACGTCCCAAATAGACTCTTTCTTGTGATGGCAGCTTCCTGCCCCCACGGTTATTCTTCGAATTAGCGTAAAATGCACCGCCCTCGGTCCGGCCGCCCCATGTCGACCGTCCTGCACTGGGTTCGTCTTGTGGCGTTTAACGCCGTCTTCGGACAAAGCCCGGACGAAACCGTCTTCGGACAAGGCCCGGCGGACGAAGCTCGACAAAGCTGGCGTCTTTCTGACGATGTGGCCTGCCCACATTACGGGCCGTAGAAGGTTGGCCGTACGCCCGTGCCGAATGCCCGCCAACAATGGAAGCACACGCTGCGTCCTGTCCTGGGAGCTCACCAGCTCTCCAAGTGCTGACTCTGCGTCACCATGGGTGTGCGCGCTGGGATGGCGTGCTGGGTTTTGGGAGATTTAAATCGCGCCACCTTGGCTTGGTCCACTAAGGACACCAGTTGGGATCCGGCTCGGCGTTACGGACTGGAAACCCAAAGGGCAACAATGAGTAGAGCACTTAGCAACCGTGCAACAACAACACCATAGCCAGGCAGCTGTGTATCCAGGGGAACGAACCCATTGGTCCAAGGTGTTACCAAGCCTCTAGGCAATAATCTCCCAGTTACGGCCATACAAACCTGATTCATGATGCCTAGAATTCTGAGCAAAGCAAAACAGAGCATCCATGTACCAATCATTTCTGTGGATATATACTCAACGCGGACTAGCTTGGTCTCTTTTGGGCGCCGCCTCCGAGAGAATGGGCATCAGCCATAGGTCCCTTTCTTTTTTCCTTTTCCCATCCCCCTCCCCTCCCTACCCATCACTCTCTCTTCCAAAGAGTAAGCAAAACTGTGCTGCCGGAGTAGGCAGCCGTCGAATCAGAAAGGCAGCCATTCAACGATGCGCAAACATGTGGGGATTGGAAATCCAGACCGCAAAGTTACACTCTGCTCGGGCCTATCCGATACGCAGCGATAAGTTGTCGGTCCTTGGATAGGGGATTTGTTGTGATTTACAGGCATATGTATCTATAAGATGACCACCTGTCTTGAGTAGCGGGGAAAATCTCTGCTTTCCACCATCAACTTTTGACAATCCACACCATTCCCAAAGTTCATAATGCGTGAGATTGTGAGTTGTACCTTGTCCACGTACCTATTGAGGTATTGATTCTCAGCTGACTCGGGGATCCAACAGATACACCTCCAAACCGGCCAATGTGTACGTATCTTTCGCTGCCGAATGGATGAGCCCTGACTGACGAAGAATCTGTAGGGCAACCAAGTCGGTACAGCATTCTGGTATGAGGATGGGACCGTCGATGCACCTTCAAGAGATGAGACTGATGTTGGTCACTACCAGGCAAACCATTCACGGCGAGCACGGGCTTGATCAAGATGGAGTGTGAGTCTCACCGCCATGTAACGCGACGTCACCTCGCTCATCGAGCGTCAAGTTGACATTTTCATAGATTCCGCGGCTCTGATGAGCAGCAGTCCGAGAGGCTGAGCGTCTACTTCACCGAGGTAACTCGATACAGTCGTCGCGCACTTCTCCCTATTCCTTTCTGACACGATGCAGGCTGCCAAACAAAAGTACGTTCCTCGTGCAGTCCTGGTTGACCTTGAGCCCGCAACCATGGATGCAATCCGTTCCGGTCCCCTTGGTGACTTCTTCCGTCCCGACAACATGGTCTACGGACAGTCCGGCGCGGGTAACAACTGGGCAAAGGGCCACTACACCGAAGGCGCCGAGCTGGTTGACCAAGTCCTCGACGTCGTGCGCCGCGAAGCCGAAGCCTGCGACAGTCTGCAGGGTTTCCAGATCACGCACTCCCTCGGTGGCGGCACCGGCTCTGGCATGGGCACCCTCCTCATCGCAAAGGTCCGCGAGGAATTCCCTGATCGTATGATGGCGACCTTCTCTGTCCTGCCGTCTGCCAAGGTCTCTGAGGTCGTTGTCGAGCCGTACAATGCGACCTTGTCGATTCATCAGCTCGTCGAAAACTCGGACGAGACGTTCTGTATCGACAACGAGGCCCTGTATGATATCTGCCGCCGCACCCTGAAGCAAGCGCACCCGTCCTACGGACATCTCAACCACCTGGTGTCCAGGGTCATGTCCGGCTTGACGACGGGCTTCCGCTTCCCGGGGCAATTGAACGCCGACCTCCGCAAGCTGGCCGTGAACCTCGTCCCCTTCCCCAGACTTCACTTCTTCACCGTCGGATTCGCGCCGCTCACCTCCTCGGCCTCCTTCTCAAACCTGGGTATCGCCGAGCTCACGCAGCAGATGTTCGACCCGAAGAACGTCATGTTGGCGTCTGATTTCCGTGACGGACGCTTCTTGACTTGCTCCACCATGTTGTGAGTTGGTCCCCTCATGTCGCTTGATGAATTCTTTGCTAACGTACCTTTAGCCGTGGAAAGGTGTCCATGAAGCAGGTCGAGGAACAGATCCAGGCCATCAAGAACAAGAACTCAGCCAACTTCGTGGAGTGGATCCCGAATAACATCCAGACTGCTCATTGCTCTGTGCCGCCCAAGGGACTGGACGTATCATCGACGTTCATTGGAAACTCCACCGCAATCCAGAACAGTTTCCGCAGAGTCGGCGACCAGTTCAGCCTCATGTTCCGGAGAAAGGCTTTCTTGCATTGGTACACTGGAGAGGGCATGGATGAGATGGAATTCACTGAGGCCGAGTCTAACATGAACGATCTGGTATCCGAGTACCAGCAGTACCAGGATGCAGGCATGGATGACGAGTACGGCGAAGAGTACGAAGACGAGGCTCCTGCTGAGGAGGAATGAGAAGGCAAGACAACTCTTCGATGTCCTTCCCGAGGTGAAGTTACTTTATATTCAAGGTAGTTGATGGTCTTTGAACCTTTTCCAATCACTGTACACACCCAATCCACCATCATAGTCCGAGCAGCTCACTTGAAGTTATTTTCCCTTTCGACTGAGAAGGCAATAGAGTTGTTCTATCTCGTTGCTTGTGCAGACAACGAAGTGGATCGTTACGCAACCCCTAGTCTTGACTTGCAAATCATATCGTCCCAAGATCCAGATGGCTATTAGTTCATGGATCGGTACCCTTGTAGATCCACCTGAAGTGGCTCCCCGGGATACGGGAAGAAAAACATCACATTTCATTGAATAATTTTCACCCGGTGAACTGAGTGAAGACAAAATGAACCGAACGGACTTGTGGCCAACTCAGATGTTTATCAAGTTAGTATGAGCTCTAAATCTACATTGACAAGAATTCGGTGGGGTTTGTAAGTGAGACTATCTTCGTGACGGCCAACGGGAGGTGCTGGGATGTTTGTGGTAGAACCCTCTGCTCTGGTGAATGAGTAGATTATCCCTATTTGAATAGCATTACGGCGCAATCCTTCCAAAGAGCATATGGCCAACAAGAATTCGGCTCAACATATCCATCTCAACATATCCATCTGTCTTCAACCTCAATCCTTCGAGTTGCGCCATCCTGTTAAGTGGCTAAGGTATATAAAGGCCATCGACATTGCCTCTGAGAAGCTCTTGCAACTCATCATCTACCCTAGGTTGCTGTGGAGACCTGCCATTGATTCCTTATAGTTATGAGCATCCCTCTCAAGTCAGAGAAAGCTGACTTAGACCGAGCGCAGTGTATCTGCCAGGGCAGCAAAAAGTTGGTGAGTCCGTGTTGTTTCCTCTCGCATCTCTTGCGGTGCCTTGACCTGCTCAAGTGAACTGATATCTGCAAATGAGCGTGGTTCTTCCCAGACCTTCAAAGGAATGGACGCTCTGGAATTAATAGATAGTATAATAATACCCTATGTGACTTTTGCCTAATCACCCAATGAAAATAACGACCACTGCTCTTATTCCGTTACTCAATCTGCTTCTCACAGCCGATTCTGTTGAGCAATTCCTTCCGGTCACTTTGACTAAGATGAATACTGACGCCACTCGCCCTCAAGCCGGATGTCCTTTTGGCGGTGCGGCGTTCCCAGGCCTTCAAGTCAATGGAATCTACGCCGACGTCTTCCACGACTTGCACCTCCTCCTCTTCCTCTTCCTCCTCAACATCGCTCCTGACATCTTCGGCAGAGGCCCCTTTCAACACACGGATTATTACCCAAATAATGAGGAAAGACCAGACGCAGATGACGACCTCAAGAGCAAGGAGGAAGGTCAGGAACCCCTTCGTGATGCCGTTAGTCATGCACACTGTGCCCTTAGGGTCTACGAACGGCTCAATAAGGTGGGACCAGCCTTCCTCCGGGGGCTAAAAAGGACCTACAACGTCTTCCGCAGCGCCCCAGAAGCACAGCTGTTCCAGGCTCCGCAGCAGATCGTAGTAGACGCTCCAGCAGACCATTAGATAGAAGACGTGACGCGTCCAGGCCCACACGCAGAGGAACACGCCAAACACCACGTCACAAAGGGTAGTAAAGCCAACGTACTTAAGACACTTGGCCAGCTGCAGCGGGTGTTAGTGGGGGTCGCACGGGGGTGCCTCTTCTTCTGGACGTACCAGAAAGATCAGCTCTATAACGTCCATAAGGATTAAAATCAGGTGGCTAACTTAGGTTTAGTAGTAGGCGTAGCATGCAGCAATAAGGGAGATAGTAATAGCGTGGTAAACAATCATCTCCCAGTAATCCTTACAGCAGGCCTCAATATTCACAGAAACGACTTGCTGCACCCAATACGCCCATTATATCAGGATGTAGGCCTTCATCAGCCCATCAAGTTCCCTTTTCAGCCAATCAGCCCAAAGCCCTTTCAAGCTAAGGAAGTATGACAAGTTACAGTAGAGGTACTAGAGCGCCAGTCAGTCATAAGAAACGCCTAAATCATAGATAAAGAGCAACGCGCGGTACCATTCCAAGTGGCCAAACGACGCTATAATAGGCCAGCATCCAGCCCTGTTCAGAGAAGCAGGTGGCGTCCTTCTTCTTCAATATACCCCAATGCCTGCCAAGGGGCGCAAGGATGTGTTACATAAAGGCCGCGCGGATGCCAATAGCAAGCATGACACAGAATGCGACAAAGTAGAGGTCATCATGTCCCGCTCCATACTTACCCGTGGCCGGGTTGTAGTATAAGAGCCCTAGGAACTTTGAGGTGTGTGGACGCGCACTGGGGATGCAAAGATGGGCGATGAGTAGAGGGGTGACGGCATAGGAGGTGAGCCCTGTTCAGATACGATGAGGTCTTGTAAGCATTGGCTCAACGTGGGTTGGGAGGCAGCGGCGGTAGAGCCCACCAGCTCCTTTCAGCATACCCAATTGGTGATTGAACAGCCATTGAGCCAGTGTCTTCGACTGGCATCCCTCGCCCCTTTTCTTCTCCGTGCGCATGGTTCTGGAAGGCTTCACCGTGACAATAGCGCCCTCTGCAGACGCGATATCGACGTTGAGTTTATTCGTCATCATCGATTCAGGGACCCAGGCAGTAAGTCAGTTTAGGCAAAGCTTAACGCTTCAAAACAGACGCCAGCAGGGTCCAAGGTAGTTAAGAGAATGTTATCTACAATAAGTACTGTGTTGTTGAGAAAAGTCTTTTAAGAGGGCATGTCGCTTAAAGTGGGAGGTAATATCCCGGCGCCCAAGGGGCACTCTGCCGACTGAGCTGTTGGAACCTATATCGCTTCGCAAGGCGGTGAGCGCATGTCCGCGGGACGCCGAGAAACCGCTTTATGGAGCTGGGGGGTGTTAAAGACTAAACCACTTCAAGTCTGGGGAAAGGGTTCGTCAATGCTCGTGTCTCCAGAAATCTTGATATTCTGGCTGCGCATGCTCTTATAGTACGGATATGTTGGTCAATAACATCATACTGAAGTAATATCAAAGCATACTACCACGTCTGAACAGGGCGAAAACAAGCCACAAAGGTCACAGCAATAGTCCGTACGTACATTGATTGGGTTTCTTTGAATGAGCAACGGATTGGGATCTAAACCGGATCCTGGTGTAGATATTTTTTTTTTACAACCCTGCAAGAGTCAGGGGCAAGACAAGCATCAAGGTATCCCCACACCAACCTCATCAGCGCGGATAAGCATATGGCATTGCAGATGGGATTCACTGTTTAGTGGAGTGAGTGCAGCAGTATCATTACAGAGGTTTGGCAAATATTATGTCGCAGACATAAATACCGCGCCCCGTTTGATTGATCACTTGCCAACCCGCAGCTTGGCTGCTTGTTGAACTCTGCAATGTCGTATTCCGTTGGACATCTGGCTCGAAATCAATCAAAATATTTCTGATGCTGGTCGGTCGACTGAACTCAAGTACCGATAAAGCAGTACGGGAGGCAACTCCACCGGGTCAGCTTGGTCGCTCGAAAAAGAGATTGTTGACCTAGCGGTTCGGCGGTTTCGCTCATGCTCAAGGCTGGCGGTGAACAGTTCAATGTGGTATTTATACGAAGCTAGTAGAAGTAGAGTGGTGTCCCGTGTTAATAACTACCTGAAAGGCTGGCCTGGGGGAGCGAGATGTTAACGAATCGCTGCTTAGCCAGAGCCAATAGAAGCCCAGCGTTCCTACAGGTGCGAGATGGCGAATGATCTACGCTACTCTATGGACTTTTATGAGAGTTATGCGTCTGTGCTGGATTGCACCAGCAACAGGTAGAAACCAAATCCGACTAATTCCAACACATGCCTCTGTATTCCAGAAAGAAGACACAACTGAACGCATTGTTTAGCAAAGAGAAATCGGAAAGGCACAATACATCATGTCTAAATTCAGATACATATTTGCAATTTTCGAGATGGCTTTCATCCAATTTGCCAGCATGGCCAAGTGGTAAGGCATCGCACTTGTAATGCGGGGATCCTGTGTTCGATCCACAGTGTTGGCATTCCCTTTTTGTTTTGCCGCTATCCATCAATCTCCTATCTGTTTGATTTTGCAGCATTGCATCTTTCTTATTTAAAAGGTAATCGATCCCAAGGGTCTATCTAGTAGGTAAAAAAAAAAAAAAAAAAAAAAAAAAAAACCTGTTTATATTCTCATATGGCTTATGCTTTAATGAACTCAAACTCTTTCTGTATTATTTGGCTAAGTAGTTATCTCGGCTGGCTCCATTTTAGTCTTTGATGTTCGGCCCCGGAAAGAAGACCAGGCGCTGGGATCTTAAGCTCACGTTTAAGGTTGTGTGCTTGGTATGACTCCATCCAGTATCAAATACCATAGCTGGACGGCAGTCGTCAAGGATGCCGTCAACATTCTGAAAGAAGCCGGCATCAAGATTCTCGAAGTGGCCGACCCGAGACCGGTTCTGGGGTGAGGGTCATCGGGCCACAACACCAATGTTGGACACAGGAAACCAAAGAAGCCAGGCTGGGAACGACGGTGTTTTTGGGTCCTTTGATTCAACATTCGGATCCAAGCAATTATCTCATTGCATCAACAGGCGTGTTGGTGATGATATCGGAGACTATACTCCTTTTGCAATGGAATACCATTGTGTTTCTGCTTGGCCAAAATAGTCCACGTCAGCTGTTTAGTAGGACGAGAGCGTCTCCAAATACGCCACATGCAGGTAACATTCGAAACAATACTTATATTGAGAAATACTAAATGGGCATCGCAGCAATACCGGCAACACTTGTAAGCCTTCGCCGTGCCCAGCCATTCATTCGTTTTAATAGAGCGTATTCCGGGTATCCTGCCAAATCCAGCGCCATCCCATACCGTACCCTTGACTGCCATAGGGCCAACAGATCTACATCATGGACGATAACCCAGTTTAGTTGTGCGGGTGGACATCAACACCGTCCTCGTGCTTGGTGACGGCGTACGTCTTCCCGTTGGGCACGTGCATCTCCAGGTCGCCCGTGGCACGGATGGGTGAAATCTCGTATAAGCGCTTGGCCACTACAAAGCTGCCGGCGGCCCAGACCCAGACGAGGACGGCGATGGAGCAGGTAAAGAAGAGGGTCGGGACGAGGACAAGAAGAGCAATGCTAATCCAGAAGAGCGAGAAGACGACAGCAACGCCGAAGGCAAAGGCGACAGTCGAGAAAGCGAAGGAGACGAAGACGAGGGTAGGAAGGAAGGAGAAGATGAGCTGGACGAGAAGGAAAGCCTGTATACAGCACGCACGTCAGCAACGAACAGGGTCCCAAGGGAGGAGCGTCAATCGGCGGTCAGACGTACGAAGAGGAAGGGCTGGTCCTGGGCAAGATTGTAGGCACTGTCGTAGGCTTTCTGCCGGGTATCTTGACTGACGACACGGTCGATCTGGCGCTGGCTGTAAGCGTAGACTCCGGCAGCGTTCTCCTTGGCCGAGGCCTTGATATCGCTGTAGTTGGTGTTGTGCGACGCCATATTGGGTTTAGGTATAATAGGGGGTTGATGTTGATGATGGATGAAGTGCGCGACAGGAATATTGCAGAGAGGGGGAATACAGACAGAACAGGGGGGATGAGCGGGATTCAATACGTCGTGGCTGGGGGATCTCGTCTTTAATCAAATGGACGCCGCTTTCGAATCCAAGGGATGTCACCATACCGGTACCTCCCAATGACGGGTCGCACGGCCAAGGGAGATCGGATCGAAGGAAGTTGAAGGAGGGGCAGAGGGGCGACTACCGGTCGGTACCTACACTAGGTAGGTAGGTAGGTAGGTAGGTCGGTAGACGGCAAGCGGCGATCGGCAGACTGGTGACAAGCGAGTGATGGAGAATGCACGAGCGGGCGGGCGAGAATGGAGCTGCTTGGTGCTGTTTGGTGTTGGCTTCTAATGCTGACGTTTGACGCTCATCGTCGACTGGAAAATGAAAGGAGAAAACACAGCCAAAAAAGGGATCGGAGCTTGCCTTCGCGCTTTCCCCCTCCCCTCCCCTCCCCTCCCCATTCCTAGATTCCCCCCCCAGGTTCCTTCCTTCCCAGGTAGGTCCCTTTCAGCCCAGGAAGTGGGAAGCCGCGCTCCGCAGGAGAGCGCGTCATGCAAGTCGTAATTTAGCTTGACGTGCCTGCGTTCAGCTTGATTACCTACCTAGGTACCTACCTGCCGACCTATCAGGTACGTACTGCGGACTTGCAAACCGAGGTAGGCAGTACGTACCCGTCTGTACTTCTGTACCTCTATACCTCCGCACCTACCTACCTCTGACTACCTGATGGGAGGGACATGTGGCGTGTGGCAAATTGAAGCCACAGATATCAGAGCACCAGCCATCCCTCACCGATACGTACCTTCCTACCTCACACGAAAAGCACGGATCGCTGCACGGTCCATTCTCCTCAATACGCGATCCGTGCCCAAATCCGAGGACCGAACCGAGAAACGACGTTCCTACCCGCTATAGACCCGTCCGTCGCCGTTTCAGGAATTCAATGCCCACGTCACGTGGAGACGCTGGGCTGACCAGGAATTGGAATAATGGTGCCAAGCTCCCCTCCCTGGCTGACACCTTTTACACTGCACTCCAGTGTACGGATACATAGGTAATCCTGCCTTCCCATCTTCCAAATCCACTCAATATCGACTGAGCCGAATTCACCAATCGGCATCCGATCCACCCCAATTACCCCGGCTTGCGTTACACAGCGAGTGTACTGCCTCGACCGCTGCAGGTGAGGTGCGTGGGTCTCTGGGTTGGTGTCTACCGAGACCACAATCGGCGCGGCGCGAACAAGTCCCGTGCGGCGTGCGACGTTTGGTGTTGCCATATTCACGTGCAGAAAAGCAAAACAGGATATGGCAGTATGAGATACGGGCATCAAATAAGGCCTTTGAGGAGCTAGCATCTCGGCTGAGCCCCATGCCATTTGTTCTGGGACCGCTTGTTTCGATCCGTCACGCCACTAGGACACAACTTTCCACTTCACTTTGCTCCTCCAAGTGACAGCCGCTGTAGTGTACCTACCTGCCTACCTACCTACCTACCTACCTAGTCACCTCGATGCGATGAACGGCACGCCACAGACGGCTTCGCTCAAGAATGAGGTGGCGGCCCTGGAGAGCAGCAACCACCGGCCCAAGGCCGCCTCGCCCGCTGTGCGCGGCACTCGTATAGGCCACAAGAAGTCGCGGAATGGCTGCCAGCAGTGCAAGAAGCGTCGCGTCAAGGTGAGTTACGTTTGGGCTTAGTACATCCATCGTCGAGCCCTGGCCCTGGATGGGAGTTTAGCGCCCGACTACTAGGTCGGCCAAACAAGCGTTGGAGTACACACAGAGCATGCCACTGACCACACATCCAGTGCGATGAGAGTCGCCCTTGTCGCAACTGCGCGCGGCACGACGTCCAGTGCAGCCTCATTATGACGCCTTTTTCAGCTCATCTGCTGCCCGTCAGCGAGCCGTCGCCCAAGTCGACTCTCGAGGCCGCCAACACGGCGACCCCTGATAGTGTTGGCGAGGCGTCGACAACCAGCCGCCCTGAAAGCCGCCCGGAGACCTCTCCGCCACAGCTCTCCTCGTTGAAGGAAAAGGTAGCTGCCATCCAGGGCTTGCTCTCCGAATTCTCGGCCGAGGTGGATGCTCTTCATCATACTGAACGGCACAGCTTCTCCGAACCAGCTCATGACTCGACCGCCACCCAGGGCGAGTCCCGTGATGCTCAGGGCGTCTCGAGGACCGACTGGATGATCGACATGCAACTCGTTCACCACTTTACTTCCAACACGGCACACACCATCTCCGAGAACCCAGATTTTGTGCATCTCTGGACGACAACAGTGCCCCAAATCGCCTTTGCCAACGTAGACCAGCCCCCCTTTTCGCCGCCGGTCGTGGTCTCTCTCGGCTGACTCATCTAGGACTTCCTTCTCCACGGTATCTTGGCCGTATCAGCCATTCATGTCGCCCACTGTTACCCTGAAAAGAGGGTCGAGTACGCCACCATATCGGCCCGCCATCAAAATGTCGCCCTCGGCAAGTTCTCGCCAGGCTTGGCCGAGATCGATGAGAAGAATGCCGACGCATACGTGCTACACGCTATATGCATCTTCATTCTCAACACCTACTTCATCGCCAACCCGAGCGGACCCATCGTCCCCAGGGACGTTGCTCAGTCCTTCATTCTGCTGCAAGGTGAGTCGCTGCTGCTTCTATAAACCCCGGTGCTCACTAACGTTACGCCTCCCTTCAGGAATCCAGAGCATACTTGCTCTGCCGTTCGCTCACAAACGTATATCCAACGGGCCACTGGCACGCTGGCTTTACCAAGGCGGCGTTGAGCCCGCCGTAGCAGGGAATTTCTCGGCCAAGATTGACGACCTTATCAACCTCACACGCAGCATGGCACCCTCGGAAGATACTACGACCTGTCAGTCAGCTCTTGAGGGTCTTAAGATCACTTCCACGGCCGTCTCCATGCCTCAGCATAGGTCCGGGCTGGTCTGGCGGTGGGCCATCTCCCTCCCCCAGTCGTTCCTCGAGCTCATCAGCCAAAACCACCCGATGGCCCTCGTCATCCTCATGTACTACGCAGCGCTGGTTCACGCTCTTGAGCGGGACATGTGGTATCTTTGCGGATGGGGCAGCAACGTTGCTTCGAGCTTGGAGAAGGCCATTCAGGAGCCGTGGAGGGAATGGATCCAGTGGCCGCTGGGGTGTATTCGAGATGGCACTGACATCCGAAGAGTCGCACCGTTTAAACCCGTGCCGGTCGAGGCCCTCCCAAGGCCGCAGCTCCCCGTCGTCAACTTTAACCTGGACTTTCTTTTTAAATCAAGGGAACCGCCTTCGTGAACCATGACAGCGTTTCATATTATTATTCATCTTCTTGAACCGTCTCAAGATGCAGGTAACATTACCGCGTTTCCGAGAGGTTTGCCGGCCTCTGGCTTGCAGAAAAAGGCCCATCGGCCACCCCGGCGATTACAAAGATTGCATTGGCTCCGTTGCCCGAGAGAAGCAGACATCAGGAGCAACATCGTATCCCAGTCGCATGATACCCCTGGAGGTCCTGGTCGAAGTCATCTACGCGTCTTGCGTCGCTCCAAGGAGGTGTCGAAAGCAAGCCTTGTCGGCGCCATGGCCCTTATAACCGATGTATCGCATCAACAGCCACGCTAGGGTCGCAGTCCGTGCCTAGCGTGCAGAATAGCGTTGGGTCTCTTGACTCGCAAGCGAGCGAGCGCTGTGTCGAAAATTCACAGAAAGTCGGGGGATGTGGATTCAAGACCGCTTGGTTTTGGCTACAGACTATGTGGGCATTCGAGGAACAACAGTATAAAAGGAAGACCAGCCTGCCAGTGCATGTACCCCCAAAATGTAACTTTTTCTCTTCTTTTTTGTATCTTGTACTTGTTGGCACGATATTTTTCATGGTTCTCGCCTTGGCGGTTTCGCCTAACGGAGTTCACCTCGACGCGGGAGTAATGGAGCAATGAGGTAGATAAAATGGGGGTGTGTGTACCTATATGGATTGATATGCATAAAGACGGGATTGCAAGGTTCGGTGGTGATGGTTTTAAGGCAGCGGGTGAAACGAATGGAGAAAAGAGAAGAAAAAAAAAAAGAAGACGTCCGTCCATGAGAGCAAAAGAACTTGTCCCTAGCAAGGCTCGAACTTGCGACCTTTGGATATCCCGACCTGAAGGCAGGGTCATATTGATGGAATATGAGACCAACGCTCTACCGACTGAGCCATAGAGACGATCGAAACGAATGTTGATAGAATGGTCTCATAATAGGCTAGAAGACGGCTAGCGTAGCATGTGGAACGACTCATGCCTGTGCCCAATGGCGACGGGCCAGTTGGTGTACTGCGTAACTGTGCTGCTTCAGCAGCTTCGCCACATCAGCCACATGCACTAGGCTAAAGTGGTGTTGTGGCTAGGGCGGACCAGGGTTCCAGGTTCTAGTGGCTCACAGCAGATACATGTCTTTTTTCCGGGCAACGTGCGTGTGTTTTATTAGTGAGCTTTGGGCGTGGCTTGGGCTATTTATATATACATATACATATATACAGTCTTGTCTTGAAGTGGTTGCCTACCTAGGTAGATATTCGCTAACTACCCGTACTCTTGGTGGATGCTCTCGAAGAAACCATGCCCTTTTCAACTCCATCGCGTTAGATACTGGTGGTTGGAGCAACGACCAAACCATGACTTGAACGGGACCAGAATCCCGACGCGACGCGATGCGATGCAACTTGCCCGATGAATTATATCCATCGTGTTAGCTACTACGGTCGTTGACTCTGTTTGTAGTCTCAGCAGTGTCTGAACCGGTTGGCCAACTAACACGTGCAGTATCTGATGCTCGTGTTTGCTCAAAGTATAACCGTCGTCCATCGAAATGCTTGGTGTAGTCTCCCGCCTCCCCTCCCTTCTGCCTTTCCACCGTGACAGATTCCTGTAGAAATTGGCTGGGACGTTGTTACCTCCGTTGACCCCAAGATAGCGCAACCGGAGACCAAGAGATGCTCGTCTACAACCACATCGATACACCGAGAAAGGCCAACGACACGCGCAACCAACCCCGGGCGATTGGACCCCATTGGCATTTCTTCACCTTGACTCGTCCTGGAAGCGTTGAGGAAACATCACGACCAACGCCGATTCCCACACATGATTATTCATTAAACAACCATGCTTTCGGCCTCTCGCCACTTACTCCCACACCACACCGTCTCGGGCATCATCAACTGCCGGACCAAAAAGTCAAACGGAAGCTCCCTCCCCAGCTCTGAGACTCGTCGGGAAGAGGCACACCGTCGATACATCAACAAAAGACCGCGACTGCACTTACGCGTATTTGAACAGGACTCAAACTCTCTGCACCTTCAAACCCCCTTTTGTTTTTCTCTTCACGACAGACTGCGCCACACGAGACTTGACGACCTTCCCTCCCCCCCCCTCCTGATCCGTCAGTCCCTTTCCTATTGGGGACGGCGAACAGCTCCGATTCCCATCCCCTCCCCCCCATCTCGAGTCTTATGGTCATTTGCTTTTCCCCATCAAGGTAGGATACGACATGAAACCAAAGGACATGCACAAGCTTTCCCTTGTCACCAACATGGGATGATTGATGCTTCTCAGCATCATCTTCGTGCGGGACCTCGCCTCTGCTGGAAACTCGCCCTTCGCCCTCCAAATTTCTTTCTTTTCCAGCTCTCGGAACAAGCCTCATTGGCGTACCGATCTCATATCACGGCCGTTTTGAGTTCGCCAACTTGGACAACCCTCACCGGGCGAGACTTCCGTGACCTCCTCCCGCATTTTGCAACCGCGACGCCACCCTAGTCTTCCACGGGGGTGTTTGGTTTGGGTAGATCCTTGGTTGCCGCCCTCTCAGCAGAGAGATGTGCTTGGACTCACAAGCTGTTATATATCATGCGTCGCGAGCTTTGCCTCTGGCCAAGGGCCCATCTCACCCTCTCCTCTAGCCCGGCAGAGCTATCAAGTCAAAGCTAGAAAACGATACCCCCCTTTGGTTGCCCATATTCCAGCACCCTCAACCGCTTTATACCAGACTTCAGCATAGCACGTATCAGACCTAAACACTCCCGCCCCCGCCCCCCAAACGACTCGTCATGACCTTCCGGCATAAACGCCAGCCCGCCGCGGCCGGGGAAGCCGAGTCCCAGTCCGTCCACTCGTCCCCGGACACGTCGTCTTCTTCCTCGTCCTCCCGGCGCCTCTCCCTCTCCCGCACGCTCTCCACGCTGCGCTTTAGGCCGGCCGACCCCAACGCGCCCCCCGCCGCCAAACCGCCCGGCCGCGGCATCGGCGCCCACATCCACAAGATCACCACCGCCGCCGGGGTTCCCTTCAACAGGGCCGCCAACCTCATCGGCGCCGAGGGGTGGTTCCCGCAGACCATGCCCCGCGAGTGTGCCAAGGCCGCCCGGATCCTCCAGTCCTTCACCGACGAGTCCCTCGGCGGCGACCCCGCGGACCCGGCCGCCACCTCCTTGGGCGGCGACGAGCCCTTCCACCCCTTCGGCGTCACCCGCCGCGCCCTCGTCGCCATCCCCCACCAGGTCCTCGCCCACTGCGCCGGCCTCGCCATCTTCAACACCCTCCGCGCGGGCGCCTACATGGGCTCCCTCGCCGCCGGCTCCGGCCTCGTCGTCGCCCGGCGCCCGGACGGCACCTGGTCCCCGCCCTCGACCTTTGTCGTCTCCACGCTCGGCGCCGGCCTCATGTTCGGCCTCGATATCTACGAGTGCGTCCTCGTCCTAGTGAAGCAGCATGGACTACTTCCACAGTTGGCTTTTTTTGTCGATTTTATCTAACCATCCTGGTTTTATCTGGTATGACCGCCGTCTGAGTTGGAGTCACTACGAACACATTCAGAAATAAAGTGGCGCATATACTGACCGGACTCATAGCAGTCTACGCAGGTCAGCGGAATGATCGCTTCTGGTCTATGCAGAACTACGCATCCCCGTTCGTATTCAGGTAAAATAATAGTGGTTCCAAAATTGGATAGCTTATTTTCTGAAGACGACACACATTCCCCGATTAACAACGTTGAATCGAGAACTCCTGACTTGCATACCCTGGGGCGGGTAATTTGCCTAGCTTAGCGCGGAACTTGGCCAACAGCGAGCATAACGCTTACCAAGACCGATTGTCCGCTTAACGGCGACCTAGTTAGACGGTCACACGATCCCTTCAACAGTCCCGTTCCCCGATGTCCGCCGTTGATCCGACGGCACCAGACTCCAATTAGCTGTAGAATAGTCATAGCGGGAGACATCCATGTAGTGAGTGCTACGCTGCTCGCATGTCTAGTTCCAGCATCACGCTTTAGCAGGCCTGGTAACGTAAGTTGGGCGCTACTTGTATGGTCCCCCCGAAATAAATCCCTTAGTGTACTCAGTATTAACAATGATGCCCAATCTTATGAACAGTTTCTTGCTTTGCAACCGAAATATGAAGCAGGATGCTGCCGGCTGCACCCTAATTAGTTTTTTGTATGTGTGTTTCTGCAAACTATATTTTATGTAAAGCGAGGTATGCATATCGATATGTACGGGGGCCGAAGGAGGTAACCGGCCAAGCAGGATCAAAATCATTACCCGCGTCCAGGCGCAGAGTCCTCGGTCGCCAATCGGCCCCGTCGGCACGGGCGCCGCCGTCGAGGCCGCCGCGTCGAGGACCTCGCGGCCCATGTACAGCTACATGAAGTCCCGCGGCCTCTGGGCCGGCGTGCAGGTCGACGGCACCATCATCCTCGCGCGCCACGACTGCAACGCCGTCGCGTACGGCGACCGCCGCATCTCAGCGCGCAAGATCCTGCAGACCCAGGCCGAGTGGCCCGAGGGGTCGCTGCCGCTGTGGCAGGCGCTGGTCGCGCTCGAGGGGCGCTACGCCATGGACCCGGACATCGCGAGGGAGCTGGCCTTGATGGGGCCGCCCGGGAACCTGACCCCGCCGCCGCCGGAGGAGGACGAGGAGGAGGAGGCTGCGCCGGCGTACACACCTCGTGTCGCCCCGCCGTTCCGGTCGAATTACGGCGGCGAGGAGGGCGTCACGAACGGGAGCAAGAATGGCGGGATGCCTGTTGTGGAAGCCAAGGAGAGGCTTCGCCGGACGAGCTGAGTGAACGAACGAACGCCTGAAGTTCTGCGCAACGGACGGAGGATTCCAAGTATGAAAGCCGCTTGACAGACAGGTTGTCCAACTAGTCCCCCCCTCCCCTTCCCCCCTCTCCCCAACCACCCCACCACGAAAATGTAATTAATTTCATCTCATCACTCCAAACAATATCCAAGCCACGAAGTCCAGTCTGAGTGCGGGGAGCTGCCCCTCCCACCAACAACTAAGCTTCGGAAACTTCGCCTCCTCGGCCAGGGATCTCCTTGTGAACCCCTTCTCCCCCTTCCGGATCCAGCCGAGTCTGAGCGGTGGCCAGTTTCCCATGACAGGAAGGTTCATCTAGACAAGCAAGATGGGCTACTGCGTCTTGCAAGGATTGTCACGACGTCTGCCTGCGAGCTAGTAGGTAATACTCGTCTCAGAGACAGCGGCATCCTTCCTCCCCAGGTGCGGGGGGGGCTCAGGAGGTCTGACTAAGAACCATTTTCCCATCCAACATCGCCACCGGCGCGGGGACTGTCGGGAGGCTGTCATGCGCTTGGCATCAGTCTGCATCCCAAGTAGAGTCAGTAGGTCTCTCTCGATGCTTAATATAGTTGCAATCATCGCTAATCTCAAGCATGTCTTGGCTGGACCCTGAACTAGGCAACCCTGTCCCTGGCAACAAACTCTTGGACCCGCCATCATTAGCTTGTCTCATACAGTAATCACACTCGTTCGCAGAAGCATGCGCAGCCGACCCAAGTTAATGTCGTTAATCAATGCCAAGTCAATGTCAAGGCTTGTCTTGCCATTATCTATCGTAGCCCCGTCTAGCCCTATCCCCGTCAGGTCGTCGTACACTCAACTACAAGTACAAGCCCTCAGGCTCACTCTCCTGCTTGGTGCGAAGGACCCTCTCTCTGGCGGACCGGAAGTCGGCCATCTGTACACGCATGCGGCGCTCACGGAGGGCAAGCAGACCGGCCTCGGAGCAGATGGCCTTGATGTCCGCACCGGAGAGGTCATCCTTCTGCGAGATGAACTCCTCCAGGTCCACGTCGTCGTTGAGCGACATCTTGGATGTGTGGAGGGTGAAGATCTTGCGCTTAGTGTTTTGGTCGGGGTTCTCGAAGAGGATCTTTCGGTCGATACGGCCGGGACGGATCAGGGCGGGGTCGAGCGTTTCGATCTTGTTGGTGGCCATGATAACCTTTACGTCACCACGGTCATCGAAACCGTCGAGTTGATTGAGAAGCTCCAGCATGGTTCGCTGGACTTCACGCTCACCGCCCGAGGTCGAGTCGTAACGCTTCGTGCCGATGGCATCGATTTCGTCGATGAAAACGATCGAGGGGGCGTTCTCGCCGGCGACCTGGGATTGTCAGTGATGAACTAGAATAGCAAGGCTACGAACATACCTGGAACAGCTGACGGACGAGGCGAGGACCGTCACCAAGATACTTCTGAATCAGCTCACTTCCCACGATACGCAGGAACGTGGCCGAGGTTTGGTTGGCGACGGCCTTGGCAAGCAACGTCTTTCCTGTACCGGGAGCACCGTAAAGGATGACACCCTTGGGCGGCTTGATACCCATCTCTTCGTACAGCTCGGGATGCAGCAGAGGCAGCTCGACCGACTCTCTGACCTCCTGGATCTGCTGCTCCAAACCACCAATATCGGCGTATGACTCGGTCGGTGCCTTGTCGAGCTTCATCACACTGACAAGCGGGTCGGCGTCGTCGGTGAGAACACCGACAATGCTAACGCTCTTGTGGTGCAGAAGCACGCTGGCGCCGGGCTCCAACAGGTCCTTGTCGACGAAGCTCATGATGCTGACGTAGTACTCGGGGCCCGTTGTGCTACTCACGATGGCGTGATCATCGTCAATCATCTCCTCCAACGTACCGACACCCATAGGGCTGCCGCGCATATCGTCGACACGACCGCGCTCGTCGGCCATGCGGTCGACATCGCCCTCAGGTCCGATAGCGGCACCCTCCTTGGCGGCCTTGGCCCGGCGAAGACGCTCCTGGTTTTCGACGTATTCCTCTTCGAGAATCAAGTGGTCATGGATTCGCTGCATTCGTAGGAGGCGGAGTTTGCATCGGCTGGTAGGGAAGACGGCGGGGAGCTTCGCGGCGGCGCTGGTACCGGCCGCCTTTCTCTTCTTGCGGCCGACTCTGGTGGTAGGGCGTGGGGGAGGCTCGTACTTGGGCTTCTCCTTCTGCATCGCCAATCAGCTCGTGAAGACTTGGAATTTTTCTTTCCCTCCGAAATGGCGTACCTTCTTATCCTTGTCGTCCTTTCCATCGCCTCCGCCACCCATTCCTGACTGGTTTTGACCCTGCGTAGCTGTTAGATCAAGGCCACGATGTTTTGGACAGTATTGCGTACCATCTTGCTACGGGAAGCTCCTGGAGCTCAGTAAGACTGTGCAAATGGCTTCTATGTGTGTATGGTGGAAGAAACCGGTAGACCTCAGATCCGATGGGCTGTCGAGGTTTCGTCGATGAGCTTGAGATGATGATGAGGGCAGGTGGATTCCGAGGATGGAGGTGGAAGCGCAGGGGAGCAAGGCAAGGCTGCTACTGCTTGCGTAGGTAATCACAGGTAGCACAGTGGCGGCACCTCAGCACAGGGCGCCCAAATGCTGCTGCAGGCGGCAGAGAAACGCGACGCTCGCCGGGGCTACGCCGGATTAGGCAAGCTGAGTGGATACATATCACGTGAACGTCGAAGAAGCTCAATGAATGCTGCTGAGTCAGCATACTTCTGCTTCGCCTGGGGACTAGACGACGACGGAAGGCACAGGCTACATTTATTCGGCAAGAGCTTCTCCTTGGCTAGACTACTTGCTTTACGAAAGCGCGTAAGGTTACTTGGACAAGGCAACAACTACACTTAATACAACGCGTCGTCAAGAAACCAAGGATTGGCTACCTTTACATGTTGGTGGCCATGGGAACTGGGTCACATACATACTCACTTGAGGAAAAGAGGAGTTCGATCAATATACATATATAAAAACATTCCAACCCAATATCTGGGCTTCAGTTTCATTGCTTGAGAGCCATGTCGTGCATCAGCAGCTGAGATTGTCGTTGCTCAAGCCGAAAAGTCAACAAGCAGATGATCTCGTTTATCACACAACGACAGTCCTCACGCTCTGGAAATGTTATCGATAAGGTATTGTTCCCTCAGCTATTGTCCATTTGAAAAGCTCTGAGATAGCTGATGAATGAGGCTGCATTGTCAATTGTATTTGTTAACGTGGTGACCCCAAAACTGCCACCTATTATACAATTATCCTGAGCATCGTCACAGCTCAAGTCAAAGTGAACGATGCTTGTAACCACCTGAAGATTTATTTGTATCTTTAATCCGGTATTGCGTTGTTCCAGCACTTCGAATAGTATAAGAATAAAATTGGTGATTGATTTATATGTGCTCGCTGGAATTTGTTGCAGCTCATTGTCCCAATTCCAGGTTCATTCAGCCGAGAAGACTGCGGAAACAACATTATATTACATTTAGGAGACTTCGGTTGGCCCCTGTAGGGTAGTATAGCAATGCAGACGAAATTATGGGGGAATAGGGTGCTAAAAGAAGGACGGTTCCAGAAAGAATGAGAATATCAAGTCATCAATATTGCGGAGGCAGCAACATAGATTAACTAAACCTAAACCCAAACCCAAACCCAGGAAACCGGGATTTATAGCTGTTACCCATCTCAACAGTATTAGTTTGACTAGTTCAAGCCGTCGGGCTATTGTATTCGGCAAAGGCCGCTGACAGGCCATGCATCAGTAGTCTATTCCCATTTTGACCGTCATGTGGACGTAATCTTGAAACTAAAAAGACATCATGCATGCTACACTGTTGGTACAAAGGCATGTATTTAAACAAAACCAAATGCAAAGCACGACTGGCTAACTTATTCATCCTTCCAATACTAGCAGCGCCACCTGGCCAGCTGGTTCTGCAGCTCAAACATGCAAGACAGCAACGTCTACGATGTGGAAGAAGAAAGGAACTGAAAGTTACGAAGTGATGCATCATTCGTGGATCTGATTCCGAGAATACGCCATGACGCTCGGTCTAGCCGATGTTTGTCACTTACACGGACGTACACGACCTTGACTAAGGAAAGCAAACTGATGCCAACGCAAGCCAGCCTGCTGTTTCCAATTTCTGTGAGTCTCTGAGAGTATGGTACATCTGCTTTGATGTCTTGGATGAAGTAATTATCCCGAGGTTGACTTTGATATGCCCCGATGACATCCCTCCCCCCCGTCCGTCACTTTTTCCCGCCGTCGCAACCCCGCGCTGGCGCCCTTGCCCGACCCTGCCCGCAGCTGTCCACCCCACCATAGAGGGGCCAATGAAACCCCCTGTGCCTGTCTCCTTCCAGCGGCCCTGACAATCCAACAGCGCTAAATTAGCGGCTTGCACGGACATTCCAGCATCATCTTTTTGCCTTTCTGAGGGGAATGGGCTTCCCTCATCCATCACTCTCTGTCTGTACCTTGAGGCCGGCACCTTTCAGCTCCCAACCCGGATCGCCCCTCGCCCACGCAACTTTGCCCTGCATTTTACTTTTTGCCCAACGGACACACCGACAAACTTGCTTTCTCACCAGACACCCAGAAAACGATCCGGGCCAAAAGACATAGGTAAACACTCACGCGAGCCTGACGCTTCATAACCACCCCGCTTTACAGTACTCGTACAGACCCAAGGAACCCCCCGAGAAGCATCGTCACGATGGCGAGCCCTAAGGAGAGACGCATCGGTAAGGAGCTCATGGATATCCGCGCAGACAAGGACAACTCTGGTGTCTTTGCCTACCCGATCGACGAGTCCAATCTCCTCCACCTCAAGGGATCGTTCCCCGCTCCTCCAGACACCCCGTATGCCGGAGGCCAGTACGAAGTCGACATCAAGATTCCGGATAACTACCCTTTCAAGTCCCCCATCATCAAGTTCGACACCAAGATCTGGCACCCCAATGTCAGCAGTCAAACCGTACGTCTTTCTCTCTATTTCTCTCTCACACACACTCTCTCGCCTACGTAGCAGCTGCTGCCCCCCCTCCCTTCGCTGGCCATCTGTTCCCGCACTTCTCCTCTCACACCAAGACATCCTCGAAACTGACACGAGACAGGGTGCCATTTGCCTCGACACGCTGGGCAGCGGCTGGTCTCCCGTCCAGACAATCAAGACCGCCCTCCTCTCCCTCCGCATGCTGCTCGAGTTCCCAAACCCCAAAGACCCACAAGACGCCGAGGTGGCCAAGATGATGATCGAGAACCCCGAGGCTTTTGCGAGGAAAGCCCACGAGTGGGCCGTCAAGCACGCCGGCGCCCCACCCCGAGATTTCGACACCACCAAGTGGAAGAAGGAGTCTGCAGCCGAGGCCAAGGCCAACGACGAGAGCAGGTGCGTTAATAGCCTTCTGCCGCCGGATGCTTCACCCAGAACGGTGTGCAGGCGAGCTAGAGTAAAAGGGGACCATGGGGTGGCTGACAAGATTCGCAGGTACATGGGCTACAACAAGGAGCTCGTCGACCGCTTCGTCAACATGGGCTTCGAGGTGGACGCTGTGGTGGACGCCTTTGTCTTTGTGGGTATCGACCGCAACAACGGCGCCGACTATGAGCTAGAGGAGGCTTACATGGGAGATATCACGGCCCGCCTTCTGGGTGAGCAGTAGTAACGCAAATACCCAATACCATGTCGCTACTCGACGACCAGAATGGCGCTTGCTCGGGTCCAGCCATTGGCGTCATTCGGTCCAACTAAAGGAGCCACGGGAAGACAGTCACGAACACAACAAATCATGAGACACCAGGCGGCATCGCATGGGACAAGGAGTTGGTCTTTTACAACTAGAAGGGGGCGTACGGAGGATTCCGATCTTTTTATTATCTTATCTTTCGCTACTTTGTTTTTTCTTTCCCTCTGGCAGTCATGCAGTACTACAGGGTTCGCCGCAGCGTCATGGTGTGCAAGCCTGAAGTCGGCTTGAGGAGACGTCGGCTCCCCAAGGGCTGGCTGGCCGCCAGCGAAAGCACTAGCTTTATCCGCAACGAAGGTTCAGCCGGGGTTAGGCGGGAATAGGAAATGGCCTGGGGGATAGGGGTGCTTTGGAAGGACATGGAATTTCGACCGGCCTTGGCCTCGTGCCTCTAGGCTCTGGGGTGGCCTTGCATCAACGACAACGGCGTTTTGGGTAACGTGAGAGACTTATGATTTCAGGATTAGTGTAAGATACACAAAGGCAGCGTTTCTCATTATCGTTATTTCCCCCTGTGCCTTCCCTCTTCTCCCGTTTCGGTGGGCGTAGATGAGTAAAAAGCATCGACTTGAAAACATACCGGCGGCACAGTTGCATCCTCTCCAGCACCGACACCACATTGCGCTCGCGTTCCCTTCTTCCGGCCTCTGATCCCCATATTTTCTGGGCCGCGGCATCGGCCGCTTCCCCTCGGGTTTCGGGGTCGGGAACCCTTGCTCCTCCTCGGGGTGTGAATGGAGAGTCGTACGACAACAGGGTCCTTCATGCCGACATGGCGCCATAGAGCAACGAATGAGGAGCGGAAGCGTGAGCGGGTTCTGCATGCGGCAAAAGCGTTTATAAAGCTTGCGGGATCCGAGGTACAATCGCGTTACGTTTACGAGGGAGTGGATGACGGTGGATTTGTGTTCATTTTCTCTTCTTTCAAATTCAAGGTAAGAGTGACCCCCCACCTCTGTACGCCTCTCCTGGCGCCCAAAAAAACCCCTCCAAGTCTATATCAACATGTTGATTGGGGCCCAAGATGTTTCAAAAACAACACAACGCAACTCGCACGATGCAAAAGGGGGGGAAGCCGCCTCGTTGATCCTCCCATGCCGAGAAAACATATTGTCCCGGGATTTCCTCCGGCGGCGGCAGCGGCGGCGGCGACGACGACGCTTTCAGCACACAAACACACACGCGAAGTTTTTTGTTTGACATGTTACATACACACAGCTGAATCCTCCTCTTCATGCGCGCAAATTACACGCGAGGGCCGGGGTGTTCCGAGAGAGAGAGAGAACCGGGGCTTTACAAGAGGTCGCGGCGGACGAACTCGTCGTACAGGGCCTTGCCAAGGCCGGCGGGGGAGGGCTCGACGATGACGCCAGCGGACTTGAGGGCCGAGATCTTGGAGTCGGCACCACCCTTGCCGCCGGAGACGATGGCACCGGCGTGACCCATGCGGCGGCCGGGAGGAGCGGAGATACCGGCAATAAAGGAGACGACGGGCTTGCCGCCGTTGACGGTGTTGTTGGCGCGGAGGAAGTCGGCGGCGTCCTCCTCGGCGGAACCACCAATCTCGCCAATCATGATGATGCCGTCCGTCTCCTCGTCCTTGAGGAAGACGTTGAGGCAGTCGATGAAGTTGGTGCCGCTGAAGGGGTCACCGCCGATACCGACGACGAGAGACTGGCCGAGGCCGGCCTGGGTGGTCTGGTTGACGGCCTCGTAGGTGAGGGTGCCGGAGCGGGAGACGATGCCGATGCGGCCGCGCTTGTGGATGAAGCCGGGCATGATACCGATCTTGCACTGGCCGGGCGCGATGATACCGGGGCAGTTGGGGCCGACGAGACGAGTCTTGGATTGCGTCTTCAGCATGTTGGTAATGCGGACCATGTCTGAAGAGGGGGAGTTTTCGGTGAGTACTTGAAGTTCACAGGATCCCATAGCAATCATCGATCGGGAGGGGCAGAAGACCTACCATGCTGGGGAATACCCTCAGTAATGCAGACGACGAGAGGGACCTCGGCGGCGATGGCCTCCTCGATACCGGCGGCGGCCAGAGGGGGGCTATTGTGTCTTTTTGTCAACATCCTGCTCAGTGATTGGGTCCATATCGCGCGACGACGTACGGGACGAAGATGGCGGTGGCATCGGCGCCGGTCTCCTTGACAGCCTCGCCGACGTTGGCGAAGACGGGGAGACCCAGGTGCTCCTGGCCGGCCTTCTTGGGGTTCGTTCCACCAACAACCTTGGTGCCTATATGCCCATTGATATCAGTTTTGGGGATATTTTCCAACGTTTCGCGTGTGCGCGGGCGGCGGCGTGCAGCGATTAGCTACGCAGCCGCCTCGGGGTGATCATCATCGCATACCGTAGTCGATGGCCTGTTGCGCGTGGAAACTGTTTTGCAAAACGTTCGTTAGCTTAGATAGCTCTCTCCCCTCAATGTGGGCTGCGCGGGCTGCGATAGCAAATATCGCCAGATGGCCCAGTCCGCAAACAGGGGTTCTCGGTTCGACCGTCGGTCGCCAGAGGGGGAAGATAACAGCACTTACGTTCCCTGCTTGCCAGTGAAGCCCTGGAAAAGGACCTTGGTCTCAGAGTTGATACGCAGGTTGTCGATGGTCTTGGAGTAAGGGCCGGCCTGGGAGACGCTGTATGCGCGCTTCGCGGCCTGGTTGAGCAGCTTGCCTGCCGGCCGCATCTGTCTCAGGGACTGCATCCTGGCGGTTATGTGTATTGGTTTGGTAGTTTGTTACGAGAAAGAGCGCAGCCTCAACAATAGCGGCGCCAACTATAGAGACGGGGGGGGGAGGTTTAATCCGAGGAGGGCGGGTTTCGTTGGAGGAGATGAGGATGATGCGGCTATCGTGGGAAAAAAAGAAGACAGCTGCTACAAGCAATTCACGTCACTTTCCGAAAAGAAGGGTCGGGCTGTACTGGAAAGAGACACACAGCAAAACTTGAACCGAGCTCCCTGCGAGACAACCGGGTCTGCAGCGCGAGCCACGAGGAACCACGGGGACCGGCAGCCCGGGAAAACCCGCGCCAGCCGGTAGAGAAGATGATCCGGCCGAACCAACCAAGACAGCAGCAATCAGCGCGGGAGACAGCCGAGCCGGTACGTACCCAGAAACTAAGGCACGTATCGACAGTGCTGACAGCTTAACATGTGTGGCGTCGTTCAGATGTCGGTGTGGCTGATTACCCCACCATCTAGCACCTCGACGGTCCCTCCAAAATTTCCCAGTCAAGAGAAATGGATGGTCAACCCCCCAATCCAACAGTGACTCTATTCCGAGAGCTTGGAGCGACATAGGTGAAACTGCGGCAGATAGACCACCCGGCCCGACTCAAACCGAATCATCTCACAACTCTTCCGAACTGGCTTCACGCCGGTAATACCACGCACTTCTCTGTCAAGATGGCCACTACCACCGCCACCGTCACCAAGGCGCGGTCCAAGAACGACAACCTGCCGCCCGAGAACGAGCGCTTCCTGCGATGCTGCGCGGATATTGCCAATGCCCTGATCGAGGATCATGAGGCAGTCAGGGACCCTAAGAACCCGCACAAGGACCTCAACCTCAACTCCCTGCGCAACAAGTTCGCGAGGAAGCACAAACTGGCCAACATCCCACCACTGACTGCGATTATTGCGGCGATTCCCGAACACTACAAGAAATACATCTTGCCGAAGCTGATTGCTAAGCCTATTCGTGTGTTTTTCTTCTTCCAGAATGTGGCAAGTTGAAACATGTCCTGACCCAGTTTTGTGTAGGAACATCGTCAGGCATCGCAGTGGTAGCTGTCATGTGCAAACCCCACAGATGCCCGCATATCGCTTACACCGGCAACATCTGCGTCTACTGCCCCGGCGGTCCCGACTCCGACTTCGAGTACAGCACACAGTCCTACACCGGATATGAGCCCACATCCATGCGAGCGATTCGAGCGCGGTACGACCCTTTCGAACAGGCCCGCGGCCGTGTTGATCAGCTCAAGTCTCTAGGCCACTCCGTCGACAAGGTCGAGTATATCATCATGGGTGGTACCTTCATGTCCCTGCCGGTGTCCTACAGAGAGGACTTTATCGCCCAATTACACAACGCGCTCAGTGGATATCAGACGTCTAACGTCGACGAAGCCGTGGAAGCCAGCGAGATGAGCAACATCAAGTGCGTTGGAATTACCATCGAAACGAGGCCGGATTACTGCTGGCAGCCGCATCTGACCGACATGCTGCGTTATGGCTGCACGAGATTGGAGATTGGGGTACAGTCACTCTACGAGGACGTTGCGAGAGACACGAATCGCGGACACACCGTCGCCGCCGTCGCCGAGACGTTTTGCTTGGCGAAGGATGCTGGGTTCAAGGTCGTAAGCCACATGATGCCCGACCTGCCCAACGTGGGCATGGAAAGAGACTTGGACCAGTTCCGGGAGTACTTTGAGAATCCGGCCTTCCGTACCGACGGTCTCAAGATTTACCCGACGCTCGTCATCAGAGGCACTGGCTTGTACGAGCTCTGGCGGACGGGTCGCTATCAGAACTATACACCCAACGGCCTGATTGACCTTGTCGCCAGGATCCTGGCACTGATCCCACCATGGACCCGTATCTACCGCGTCCAGAGAGACATCCCCATGCCCCTGGTTACGTCTGGTGTCGAGAACGGCAACCTGCGAGAGCTGGCGCTGGCGAGAATGAAGGACTTTGGAACGACATGTCGCGACGTGCGGACGCGCGAGGTTGGTGTCAACGAAGTGAAGAACAAGATCCGGCCGAACCAAATCGAGCTCGTCAGGCGAGACTACACGGCCAACGGTGGATGGGAGACGTTCCTGGCATACGAGGACCCGAAGCAGGACATCCTCGTAGCCCTGCTCCGCCTGCGCAAGTGCACTGAGAAGTACACCTACCGCGAGGAGCTTGTGGGACAGCCGACCAGTCTCGTGAGAGAGCTGCACGTGTACGGTACAGCTGTGCCAGTGCATGCCAGAGATCCGAAGAAGTTCCAGCACCAGGGTTTCGGCACCCTTCTCATGGAGGAGGCGGAGAGAATCGCGAGGGACGAGCACGGCAGTGAGAAGATTAGTGTCATTTCTGGTGTAGGTGTGAGGAGTTACTACGCCAAGCTCGGATACTGGCTCGACGGGCCGTACATGAGCAAGTGGCTCGATGGCCGGCCGGGACCCGAGGAGGCTACCTGAAGATGTCCCTGGAGACTATTAATGATTCGGCGGCCGCGAATGCATGACGATGAAGGACATGTGCGTTGTCCGAAGCCAGGCGCGCCCGGCATCAGAGACGAAATATGATGTGTCTCTGGTCGATGGGCTGGGTGGCAATCCGCGCTTCAGGTGACCGACCGGCTTTCCAAAGCTGCAAAACCGACGTGCCAGTCTCGCGACGTAGCCTCGGGGCAAATGTGTGTGCAAGTAACAAGAAGGCCCGCGGTTCTGGGGAGACTGGGTACAATGGACGGAGGGTTCTTTCTCAGTTCCCGGCTGCAGCCGCCAACCTCTCCTCCCATGCGAGAAGGCATTCGTAGGCCCCCGGTCCTGCGTTGTCTTCAATGGCGGACCGTTGTTGCCTTGACATGGGCTTGAGCACGTAGTTAGACACGGTAGCCTTCTCACGCTCTTCTGGTCGTCCAATACCAATGCATATCCTCGCCCACTCGGATCCCGGGTAATCCGCCTGGCGAAGACAGGCGTTGACGCTCTTGACTCCGTTGTGACCCCGGTGGCTGCTCTTCCACTTTCTCGTCTTGACGACCCCAAGCTCCTCCTCCAGGTCGTCGTGGACGAGGAGGAGACTCAGGTCCGTCGGGTCACGGCTGCCGAGGGTTTCCTTCCAGGCCTTGGCAACCCATTTGCCGGAGACGTTCATGACAGCAGGGCTCTGGATCATGGCGTACTTGGGGCCGATGGACGCCAGGCATGGGCTCCCGCCAAAGCGACCCCTGTGGAAGGCGGGTTGGGAAGGGCCCAGGAGTTTCTGGAGGTGGTTAAGGGCATGATGGCCGGCGGAGTGGAGTGTATTGTAATAAGGCTCGGGGTTTCCCAGGCTTATGAGCAAGAAGCGAGGTACGGCCATCTCTGTTTTAAGTTCAGATGAACTGGTTGTGGTGGTGATATAGGTCGAGTGTGAAACGTGAAGCGAGAAACGAGAAACGTCTAACCGGGCACTTTTGGAGAAACTTCAAGGGATTGGAAATAATGAATAGAGACTGTGCTATGCCTTGGTGATGTGCATAAGAGTAGGTATGTACACGCACACTACTTCAGAGAATGATACAAATAGATATGTGGAAGTGAGAGTCAGTCTATTTGCTCAACTGAGGAATTGGCAAACAGCATTTGCGCCCTGTAAAGGCTGCCTGCAGGGCTGCGCCACGAGCGACTCGACGCTAAGGCCCGGCTAAGCCCAATATAGCAAGCGTGGCGCAGTCTGACCCTCCCCATCGCTGACGTCGGTTGCCGTCTGCCGACCAGGTGCTATTACTGGGCTTCTTCGGCCTGCATTGACAAGTGAGTCCGCGCAATCAAAACCTCGCCAGACACATTTCGCTTCTTTCTCTTTCACCTTTTGGGACGACGAAACGGCCTTCACACGAACTGAACGATACCCCCCTCGCGAACCACCTCGTGATCAACACGCACACCGCTCGAGTACACACTTTCTTCCAACTACTGAGGGGTTTTTACTCTGTCTTCTCCCACCCCCACCAACAGACGAAGAGGGACACATCCGAACTAGGCCAAGATGTCGTGGGCAGGTATGACTCTCTTTGGGCCATCCGTCGTTGCTCGGCGCAAGCTGAGTGAAGGAGTTCTCCTACCGACCTGGACGGGACTGATGAAAGGACTACAGGCTTCAAGAAAAATGTCAACCGGGCGACGACGCAGGTGATGATGAAGACGGGTGAGCCCCTCTTTCCTGCCCAACCAACGCGCACGATACGAGATTCTGATCTTGGCAGGTCATGTGGAGAAGACCAACGACCGCGACTATGAAGTTGAGGAGAGGTGGGCAACGATCCTCACTCCCCGTTTGGGCTGGAGATGCAACATAACAGCGCTTATTGACGGTTTTATTCTTCGGACAGACGATTCAGAACCATGGAGACCGCCTCGTTACGGCTGCAAAAGGAGGCCAAGGGATACCTAGACTCACTGCGAGGTGTGTGTGTTTGTGGCGACGACGGCCCGCGGTGGCCTGTTCCCCCGGCCGACGGTGGCGGTGGGCTAACCCGATTTCTCCCCAGCCATGACTGCCTCCCAGATGCGCATCGCCGAGACAATAGACGCCTTTTACGGAGACGCCGGTGCTAAGGATGGTGTTAGCAGAAGCTACAAACAGGCCGTGGAGGACCTCGACGCCGAGACGATCAAGGCGCTAGACGGCCCCTACCAGTACGAACGATGCCCTGGCCGTGATCTCGACCGCGCGCAACGAGGCAGACTGACTGACTCTTGGGGTGTAGGCAAACCGTCCTCGAACCAATCTCCCGCTTCTGCGCCTACTTCCCCGACGTGAACGAATGTCAGTCCGACCATACGCGAGCCCCTTCTCCCTTCCACTCCCTCTCCCCATCCCCAAGCCCCAGAACTCACGCACGTACGCACGCATGCACGCACACGCACTGACCGTTCCCGCCATGTAGGTATCAAGAAGCGCGGCCACAAGCTGCTCGACTACGACGCGCTGCGGGCCAAGGTCAAGAAGCTCGTCGAGAAGCCCGACAAGGACGTGACGAAGCTGCCGCGGGCCGAGAAGGAGATGGAGATGGCCAAGGCCGCGTATGAGCAGCTCAACGAACAGTTATCGACGGAGCTGCCGCAGCTCATCGACCTCCGCGTGCCCTACCTCGACCCCACCTTCGAGGCCCTCGTCAAGATCCAGCTGCGCTTCTGCGCCGAGGCGTACAGTCGCATGGCCCAGGTGCAGCAATACCTCGACGCTGACACGCGCGAGCAGTACGCCCAAGGCCAGCTGGACCAGCGTGTCGAGCAGGTGTTGCAGGAGATCCGGGAGCTAAGCATAAGCGGCACGGTATGAGCTGGAGGACGTTTCACTTGGGGGGTAATGGGACAGGGAAATTGGTTTATTTTTATTCTTCCATGAGTCTGGTTTACCAGAAGGGGGGGGGGGGGTAGACGGGCTTTTTTTCTCCGGGAGGGTTGTAATAAGGGGAAAACGGCCTCATCTAGACCTGCTAGTCGCGACGGTAGGCTTCTTGGAGCATGCATGACCAGAGCCCTATGACGACTTTGCAACATTGTATGAAAAAAACAAAATGACTTATTTTCTTAATCTTATTCTTCATTCTTCTTAATTGGGGGTATCATTTGGTATTCACAGTTCCTGTCTTTTTTTCCCCCTTCTACTTCTGGACATCCTCTCCACATCCCACATCCTATGTAACTTGGTTCGTGACTTTCGTTGCTGATGCGTTAACCATCTTTCTTGCCCCCCTTCCCCTCACAGCAACATGCGCGTGTGCCTCAGAATGGAGTGCATTTAAGCAACAGCTTCGCCATCCAGGGCTGAGGCCTCTTGGGCTGGTACGCCCCTCCCTCGCGGTTCCTGTCCTTCCACACGTCGGGGTCGTCGGCGACGCCCCAGCTGCCCATTGCGCGAACCCGGTCCTCGGCATCGGCGTCGGTGACGGCGGGGTCCTATCCCTTGGTCCCGTCCTGCGCGCCAAACAGGTCGCTGAGGCTCAGGCGCCTCCCGATGGCCTGCATGGCGGGGCCCAACTCCTCCTGCGGCGTGGGAGCGGCGCCATCGGGGTCATTCTGGTCGCCACCGGCGGCGCGGACGTGCTTAAGCGTCTCGGCGATGAGGGCAGCGTTCATGACGCGGGTGTCGTCCTTGTCGGCGTGGATCCAGATACCCATGACCTTGTTGTGGCTACCCTCGTCCTCGTCGCCGCCAGCGCCGCGCAGGCGGAAGATGTAGATCTCGTCGACGACCTCAAAATCGGCGACGTCGGCGAGGTCGAGAATAACATTCTCGAGGCCGCGGCGGTTCAGGACGAAGATGCAGGCGCGGGGGACGGCGGGGACGGCGGCGGAGGCCGGGTCCTGCATGCAGAGGAAGTAGGTGCCCTCGATGCCCGTCTTGTCCCAGCCGGGCAGGGAGGGGTTGAAGGTGTAGACGACGGCATTGGCGGCGATGGAGAGGGTGGAGTTGATGGAGGGGAGGTAGCGGCGCAGGACGGAGAGGTTGAGGTCCGTGTTGGTGCGGTTGAGGAGGGCCGGGTTGGGCGCGGGGACTGGGTGGGAGTCGATGTAGTGGGCGGCGTCGGACTCGTAGTCGGACTGCACGGGACGGGGGCCGTGGCCAGAGGCGGAGGAGTGGCGGGCGTGGACGCGTTTGCGGGGGGTTGGACGGGACATTCTGGGGGCGGTTGGACGCGGGTTTGCTTTGTGGTGGAGGTTGTTATGGTGGTGTTGACGGCGTGGCGTCGAGGAGGTGCGTGTTGGCTGCGCTCTCTCCCTCCCTCTCTCTCTTCGTAAGTCTTCGATAGATTGATCGGTTTATAGGAAAATGCGGGAGAAACGAATGGGAAGGTCGGGGGTGAGTTGGTTGTTCAGTGGAGAACAAATAGTGAAAAGCCGATCGTGGGCATGAGACTTGGTGTCAACGCTTCGGGATGGGATGGATGTTGATGCCAGAAAGAAGCTCCCAAGTTGCTGAGGTGGGCCCGAAGCAGCCTTACCTTATCCTTATCGTCTGGCGTCACTCCCCTCTTATCGGACCTTATCAGACATAACCGTCGCTACCCCGCCAATCCCAGCACTGTGGCAGTGCGCCCAAATTCACCGTAACCCCCATTCAGTGTGGCCTGGTGGCCCCTGCAGTGTGCCAGGCACGTCACTGATGCTGAATGCAGGATGTGGAGAAGGGAGAGAGAGAGACACTGGCTGGCTGAAATCCCCGTTCCGTCATATTCAAGATGCAGACCGGATCCCGGTGACAATCCATCTTCTCCCCTTTCCCCAGCTTTTGCTTTCTCATGTGCCTGTACGAATAGTGTATGTATACATCTGTACATAAGTGCATCTGTACATTCATACACTTACTCATGCTACCTATACAGCCCAACACAGGCTTATTCAATACTTGCGGCTACTTTTTTCCAATCCCCCCTATCGTCCTCGACCTCGACCTTGACATCGTCGGTATTTTTCTGCAGTAGCTTCGTCCGGTCCTCCCTTGCTGTATACCGCAAATACGATACCTCTTCCGGCTGTTCCTTGGGATTTGTACATCCCCTCTCTGCATTACTGCTGTTATCCTGGTCCGCGACCGCAGTTAAGACGCCTCGTATCCCCGCCGGAATTGTTAACATCATGCACCGAGCGTCTCCGGACTGATCGACCACTACTACCACGCCAACGAAGCTAAAGGCTCCAAAACCGGCCTCTTGTCTCAAACCTCACCCTCCCCCGTCACTCGCCCGCCGTCTGCAGCGCTCAAAACCCCAAGTCTCCCCCCCTTCATTCGAACTCGAGCTCGAACCCCCTTGCAAACTCGACCTAGCAACAGCGTATCAGCTGGTCCAACGCAATGGCGCTCTCCGAGACTAACCCCTCGACGACCTCAGACCCTGTCGACTTCACCTCGACGCCGCAATCCCTTGCCCGAGCCGTCTACGCCCGCCGCCAAGAGTATGTCCGCCCTCATCGGATCCGCGTCAAGATTGGAACTTGGAACGTTGCGGCGTGTCCCGGCACCGACAAGGACCTGGCGAGCTGGTTCGTCGATGGATATGGCCTTGACACGACCCTCTCCAAGCTTGATATGTCTGATCACGACACGGTCGAGAAGAACCCTCCGCACGTCACCAAAACAGGATCCGACGAGCAGGACCTCTGTGCCTCTGTACACTTGGTCGGGGGCGGCAAGATCGGGTTGTATGTGCTGGGCTTGCAGGAGATCGTCGACCTGAATATGGCGAGGGACTACATGAACCGCATGTCCTCCGACCCGGCGCCCATGAACAAGTGGAAGGAAGCACTAGAGAAGGCCATGCCTGACGGGTATGAGCTTGTCGCCGCCGAGCAAATGTCCGGCCTGCTGTTGTTAGCGTATGCTTCCCCCGAAGTCGCGCCGACTATCAGCCATGTGAGCACCGCTTCAGTAGGCACAGGTCTGTTCGGGTACCTTGGAAACAAGGGCGCCGTGACGACCCGCATCCTCCTCGGCGAGACGACCCGTATGGTCTTTGTCAACTGCCACCTCGCTAGCGGCCCGGAGCAGGCGTACTTAGACCGGAGGCTTTGGGACATTGGCCAGATCCTGACACGAACCCAGTTCGACCCCATAAACGTGGCCGGGGAGAACGACGCCGACGCCGAGAAGATCGGCGACGAGGATTTTGCCTTCTGGTTGGGCGATTTGAACTTCCGCGTTGATGGCCTTCCCGGGAACGATATTCGCCGCCTCCTCCTGCTCCATACCCGTGGAGAGTACGACCTGGACAAGAAAGGCCGAAAGGTCATCGCGGGCGAGGAGATTTTGGTGGTCAAGAGAATTGACAGCAGCGACGACGACACCTCCACCATTGATACCTCCTTGTCGTCGCCCACCTTTGATGATTCGGAAAGCTCCTTGCCAGACCCCGACGAATTTCTGCCAGACCCGACCGAAGACCCTGCTTCGTTGCAGGCAACTCTGGACTCCCTTTTGCCCCACGACCAACTGCGAAGGATCATCAAGGAGAAGAAGGCCTTCCACGATGGGTGGCGAGAAGGCCCAATCACGTTTTTGCCATCATATAAATACGATGTCGGCACAGTCAGCCTGTTCGACTCGAGCGAGAAACGAAGAGCTCCGAGCTGGTGCGACCGCATCCTGTACCGGACAAGGAAGGACAGGGAGGAGTATGAGCAAAGGGTCAAGGATGCGGAGGAGGCGAGGAAGAAGGACGAGGAGATGACGGCGCGGGGTATCGACCACGCAACAGACGACGACGACGTCCTCTTCAGCTACGATCCCGACGCGGACGGCGAGGAACCTCCGGCTGGCGAGGCCGGCGTCGACTATGACGAATACGACGACGACGAGAACGAGCCGGAGGATGTCGTCACAAAGGAAGGGTTCATGGACAGAATAAAGCTCGACATTTACACCTCTCACCAGCGGATCGTCTCGTCGGACCACAAACCGATAATCTCCATCTTCACGCTCGACTACGATGCGGTGATTCCTGATCTCAAGGCCAAGGTCCATGCCGAAGTTGCCAAGGAGCTGGACCGCGCCGAGAACGAAGGCCGACCTTTAATCACACTTATTCTCGACAATCCACACCAGTCAACAAAGGACGCACATGAGTCCATGGGCCTCAACGAAGCTGTCGACTTTGGCGAAGTCGGCTATCGCAGCAGACATAGCGCGAGCCTGACGATAGCCAATACCGGCCGAGTGCCGGCCAAGTTCACTTTCGTCGAGAAGCCCACGATCGAGCAAGACCCGGACGCCCCCAGCCAGGCGGAGTGGCTCAAGACATTTTTCAAGCAGACGAGTAGCCAAGGCAACGGCGAGGAGTCGCCAGATCTCGGCAGCGAGGTGACATTGGAGCCTGGTGAGACCGTGAGCGGCGTCATCGAGGTCTACGTCAGCGACATGTCTCACGTGCGAGCCCTCAACGACGGCCGTGCATCGCTGGAAGACATTCTGGTGCTTCGGGTCGAGGACGGCAGGGACCACTTCATCCCGGTCCGCGCGTTCTGGCTCCCGACGTGTTTCGGCCGCTCAATCGACGAGCTCATCCGCATCCCCGACGGAGGCATCCGGGCTTTCCTCAAGTCCAGGGCGGAGACGACGGGAAACAGTTCCATCCCGTACGACCTTGACGTGCACTGCGCCGCCCCAAAGGAGCTGTTCAAACTGACAGAGGCTGTGGAGACCATGACGGCCCGTGCCATCGCCGATTCGAACATGATCGAGGAGCATGTCATCCCAGCCGACAAGCCCGGCTGGCCGTTTGACGAGACGGCGTGGCTGTTCAAAGACCAAGAGTCCAGGGACAGCCTGTTGGTCGCCCTAATCGAGGCACTCGACAACGACCGACCGCTCGTCGACGCCCTCCCCGTTCAGGTGCCGTCACTCTACCGGCTCGAAGTCGTCGCCGAGGTGCTGGTCCTCTTCCTGGTTGGCCTTACCGACGGCATCATCACGTCCGCCCTTTGGGCCAAGATGGAGCTCGCGCTTCCCCACCTCAGCACCGCCGGCGCGGCGACGCGGTCCCCCACCGAGGTCGAGGACGACAAGACGGCGGTGCTCGACATCCTCGCCATGGCGCCGAACCACAACATCGCCTTCGTCTTCCTGATGGCGACGCTATCCAAGGTCGTCGCGGAGCTAGCGCCCATCTCGCGCTCCGTGGCCGAGGCATTGATGACGCAGAGGCCGACTCGGAGGAGTCTCAGCTTCAGGCGGTCGACGGGCGGCAGCGCGGCGGCCGAGGCGGCGCTGGCGAGGCGGCGGGCGAGCGAGAGGAGGGTGGGCGAGGTCCTCGGCAGGGTAGTCTGCCGCGTGGGTTTGCCGGCGAGGGACAAGGAGAGGAAAGCGGTGGAGGAGAAGATGAGGGGCGCGTTGGAGATATTCATGAGGAGGCCTTTGGAGGACGGGTAAGTTGTTGTTCGTGGTTGGGGGAGGGGAGGTGTTTTGGGCATTCTGTCTTTTGGGGGCGGCATAGAAATAAAGAAATGATACCTGCTCGTGCGAATGATACAAGTTTCCTGCTTTGAGGCGCTGGTCAATCCGTCTTCGTCGACTATGTGGCTATTTCCCGGTGCTTCTAGGCATCGGCGGCGGACAGGGAAGTGTGCCACGCTTCAAACTTCTCCGTTCCTCAACAAGAAAGTCCTCTTATCCAAGTCCAGCTTACCCAACCCTGCTACTCCTTTCATCCGTATTAGTCCTTACTCTCAACAATTGTCGATCAATCTCGTACATGTAAGTTTCGTCATCCAAGAATGGGCCCAGAACGCCGTCATATACAAGAGCCAGAACCGAACGGGTTTGTGTCACCACGCGGCGAGATACGCACCAATGTAGGACTGCGCTTGTCGCTTGTAGGGGAAAGTCCCCAAGACCAGAGCCTTCCTTCCTTCCTTGAACCAAAGTGTCTCAGACGGACCGATGCAGTAGCGCGGAGTCTCCCAACCTGGTGAGGTGCTGTTGCCTATTCGGAGGCGGCCAGATTCCGAGACAACGGCCTGCTTCGCTCTTTTGATCCCGCCTCAGCTCCAGCTTCGTTTCAACTTCTCTAACTATTACAAAAACCGCCGATGCTGCCCACTATGGCAAAGCTGTTAGATCTTCCACCAGAGCTCCTGCTTACCATTGCCTCTTTTCTCTGGAGCAACCAGCCCCTGAAGAAGCGCCTGTTCGAGGCCAGCATCGACAAAAAACGCCAATCGCTCGTCAGATCCCTCCACCGTGAGCGCTCTTCCGTCATTAACCTCTCGAGCGCATGCAAAGCGCTACATGAGACGCTCAAGACAGAGAAATACCGCTTCGTCAGCATCCACGGGCACAACAGCGCCCACAAGCTGCTCTCCCTACTACGCCTCATCCGCATACGGCCCGAGATTGGCGACCACATCCATCAGCTCCATCTGCGGCTCCTCCCGTTCGCCTCCGGTCTCACCTCGGTGAGCTACGAGCAGCTACGTTCCCTGAGGACATGGGCGGAAACCATCGGCGTCCGTGTCAATGATGTGCTATTAACCGCGCTCAATTACGAGGATCATAAAGACTCAATCAACTACGAGGACCTATATGGACATGAAAAAACATGTCTCCGTATCTTGTGTGCCATGATGTGCTACTACCTTCGGCACGTCAAGGATATCAGCCTTTCGATGTCTCTTGAACTGTTTTCCACCTTCGCCGATCAACTCATATCTCGACGACCACCGCCGTGGAATCAACGCTCAACAAACTTGCCAACTATCCGATCACTGGCATTAGAGACCAGCAATCCTGAAATGTTGGGAGTCGAGTGCATGAATCCTTGGGACGCCATAAGAATGGCGGAAGTAGCAAAGAGCGTCTCTGAAATCTATCTGCGTGGCTTTGGCCTACGGTTTACAGCAGAGATGACGTATTCCAACCATTTCCTCCACAGTCTCGTTCTGCAAGACGTTTTTCTTCCTCCCGATGGAAGCAGCTCTGTGTATCGCTTCCTGGAGTCCTGCAAGAGTCTCGCAAGGTTCATCTACTTAAGAACCAACAACATCAGTGAATACTTTGAGTACTCACAACCCCGTCCCGTACGGATGCAAAAAGCCTTGACGGGGAGCCGAAATTCCCTACAAACACTCTGCATCTACTGCGGCCCGAAGATCCGAGATGATGGAACCGCCCGGTTCCTCGGCACTTTTGAAAGATTTCCCTGTTTGGAGAGCTTGTGGGTCGATGCATGGAGCTGCGGGTGGGCAGTGGGAGACGACGTCGAAACCGACGTCGAGATCGAATCTGAGTCCAACTTTGTGGAGGAGGAACCGACACCGGCCTTGGCAACCAGGCTGATCCAGACTCTCCCCCCGTCTCTGCGACGGCTTCATATTGATGGTCCCGTCGACCGCATTTACGACAGCCTGAGATGGTTTGCTAACCACTGCAGGGACGGGATGGTGCCTCGCTTCAAGGAGCTCGCCTTTGAAGACTTGGACTCCCGAATAGCCACGGAGAATCTCAGGTCCATGTTCAGAGAGGCGGGGGTTAAACACTGTAAAGTAGACAAGGATATTGTCATGTGGTGAGACGGAATGCCTTTTTGGAATTATTAATGTCAAGTTAAGTGCTGGTGTTATCAAGCAGATGCCTCAGGGGCGTTTTACTGATTAGAGTGTTGTCATGAAAAGACTTAGAATAAGCTTAATGCATAGCCTTTATATCTTTCTATCGTTGATCACTAACCAACCAAAGAAACTGCGACTAAATCGTCAACAAATGGGGTTCCGTTATGCCTCAGTGGATGTTTAAATTTCTTTTGCCTGGCGGACGACACTACAAACACGCACATTAAATGACTGTCAATAGGCTTGCGAAAGAAAAAATAACAACAATCTTTGGCAGAAGTACCTTATTCATGTAGTGATTGGTGTATGGCCAGTCACGACCCAACACGCATGAGCTTTGCCAACAAAGAGAGAAGTTGAGATGTAATAGCGGATGCAGTTGTCAGAAAAGAATGGGAGAATTTGAACTGATGTAGCTATGAGACGATATTGAACATATGCAATCGTGTAGCTCTGTAACTTGGCTGCAATCAAAGCCAGAAGAATATGAAGAGAAAGAAGAAGAAGATGCAATACGAAAACCACAACAAGAGCACTTTTTCCAAGGGCGACCGCATGTGATAGATAGATAGAGGAAAAGGAATGTCTCTTTCAAGAGACCCCCCACCTAGAACAAACTCGCGTTCCGTTCACGGGCCATCAATCAGGCTTTTCGTGGGGAACTCTTGATACCGTAATCTTCTATGCAAGAAGCTGGCTTTTACCAAACTGAATTGGGATACCCCCAACGAGGCCGTTGAGATCTTGTCTCAGTTACACGCAGGCGAGTAGGTAGGGGGGCTGATATCCTCAGGCTCCACGATGTAGATCAGGTTTCGGTTACCAGTCAAATAGCCCCAGCCGCTATACTTGGACGGGCTACCGCACGAGTCCATAGTATCCTGGGCCGCAATTCCAAGTGTGGCACGGTACGGGTTGTAGGACCGGCAGGTACTCTGGTTGCGAATGATGATCTTGCAGCGGTACTGGCCGGATTTGAACACCTCGGACCTCCCGGGGGGAAGGTCGATGCGCAAGTTGGAGTTCGCCAGACGTTGAGCAATGTTCTCACAGTCGTCGATGTAGGCCTCCTGGTTCCGGCTCGTCGTCAAGTCTACAGCAGTTCTGGGTCAGCGACGTGCTTTGTGAATGCTGCTCGGGGGGGAGGTCGACTGGAAGCAAGCTGCGGAAAGGTTACTTCGAAGGGGGCTTACAGTTGCTCCAGCATTCTTCGTGCTGGCGCTTTCTAACGGTGCTGGTGGTAAGAGCGCCAATGCTGATGTTCGGATTGGTGACCATTTCGTCTCCGTCATAAATTTGAGAAAAGATCTCATAGACGGAATCACCAGCATCCACGGTGGGCAGGGCAGCGGCCTTGGTGAGTGGAATGGCGACGCAAAGGCCAAGCAGGATAGTGCTAAAGATCATCATGACGATATCAAGGGGCGATGCAAATGAAATTACCAAACGAGTTCAGGAGTGATGTCTGTGACTTGTGGGTGGGTTTCTTCGAAAACTCCCTCCAAGTGCGGCTTCAATCAGTCTTATATATGCATCTCTCGACCCATGCATCATTTTCCATTGCCCTGTCAAACTCGAATGAGTACTTGGATAATGGTTAAGACCCGCATCTTACTCAGACCACGAAATAAAAAAGAGAATTGGAATTCTTGTCCGTTTCTTAGTCAGTTCTCCCCGGGGACCTCGAGTCGGACCTCCAGTCGCACAAGATACGCGCCGGCAACGAGAATCGTTGCCAATTTCCCAACTTCTCATAACTACTCGGAGTGGGATGAGTTTCTGCAAGCCGCTTACTCCAGACGCGGAATGCTAGCGGGGGCCATGTAGCCTCATACGGCCTTCTCGCCCTGGTCAGCTTTTCTACGGGGTAGCTCACGAATCTCGTTGAGCGGCACTGGGAATAGGCAGCAGGAGATTCGACGGAGCTAAAACAGAATACAAGCACTGTGAGAAGAACTCGAGCTCCTAGGTTGATCAGCCTCGGCTCCATGCACGAGCTTTACTAAACTTCACGATGAACCCACAAGTAACCATGCACGTCGGGAGGACCCGCTCAAGCCTGCGATTCTGCTTGACAATCCGTTTAGCTACATGCTTAAATGGTACTAGCGGTCCAGATTGCGGGGGTCAGATCAATAAAAAGGATGAGAGTTGATTGCCCAGGCCCAATAATTTCGGGCGTGACTGAACCAAACCAGGGGTTTCTTGGGTGCCTAAAGTTGCGATAACATGGATCCGTAGCGTGATTACTCAGAACACTAGTCGTACATCAACACAACATACGTCCCGAGCAATACACTACATTCATACCATTGTTCTGAACTGTAGCTGCGCTGAGTGAGGTCCCAAGCTCTCAAGGGAGTAGGTGGTTTTATTTATGGGTAAGAATGGTGATACTGGCTATCTATAGCGATTCATTAGGGCGGAAGAGTCTAGACTTGTCTCTTGTCACATTCGCTTGTAATTGGGAGAGGCTTAGCACCCGAAATCCTTGTTTAAGGCAAGAAATGTTTGTTGTGTTACAGTTGTCTGATTCGATGCGTTCAGACCAAGTTTGGAGATAGTGGCCACACTTGATTATATCCAAGGGGTCTTACTAATGCGGACTATGGTTTGCGTCAACAACTCGTGCTCGGCAGCAGGGCGACGGCAGTACATACCTCCACGAATCACGATTGACGAAGAAGACTGTCATTCTGAGGAGACTATCCTTACGTCTCGAGATGGGGGTTTATAAATTGGTTCCTGCCTCCTAGACTTCCGTTGCATACATATCACGCATTGCCAGGTCTTCACAACATTGATGTCATTATCATCGACCAAGTCGTCCCTTTTCACAGATACACCATTCACCGAGAGCCACCATAACCATCATGAAACTACTTATGTCAACCTTCATCTTCTTCTTTTCGACTGTTGCCCTGGCAGCAGATTGCTCTGGAGGCAAGCCTAAAGCAAGCGCTCCCTACCGCAACCGCGCTGCTGAACTCTGCCGCAACTGCGGCCCTCCCGGCGCCTGCGTCATAGGGGTCACGTCAGGCGGCGGCGTGTCGTGCAGTATGAACGTCCCAAAGAACAAGCAGACTCTGTATTGCGAGGTCAGTTCACTGAAGCTCTAGACGCGCTTCTCACAGGTTCTTCATGTAATAAATTGGAAGTGCTGACTTGCATCGCAGGAAGCCATGGGTGATATCATTGGGCAGTGCATCGGTGGAGGGCAATCTGGCGGTAGATGGAGTTTTGGAGGAGAGTCATATGAATGCCACGCCAACTAGGCTGGTAAAAATTGGGCGTCAACATATGTTCCCAGAAATCCAGTGTAGTGTGTACTGAGTAAGAGTCCAATGTGGTTTTTCGGGCGCCTGGAGTGAACCATGAAGTCACAGTGTCACTATTCCATCGTAGTCTATCGATATTAATGATCTTTCCGAGATAGTGCTTTAGTAATTCGCGATGGTTCACGACCTCATGCTAGTCTTGTCTTGCCTATGCGGATACATTTCTCAACCCGAGCGACTACGGCACCTAACAGAATTTCATTCTCAGTTCGACACCTAGCCAATCACTTGTCAAATAAGTCTAATTATTATATCCTACTCACAAATGGCACGGACTTGTGAGGATTCTTGACCACAATGAGTTGCTTCCAATTATACGAACTTGCTGAAATATGGACATGTAATACTGAGGTACACAACCGTCGAAGAATACCCCTGAAGAATCCATAAATTAGATATGTTCAGCAGCCGAAAAGCTGAATGGGGACCGAAACTCTCTGCTTTCGGACACAAAGTTTGGGTACGATCGTTACGTTCGGTTTGTCAATGTTCGAATAATACAGATCGTACAATGAGTGTATTAGGGTCCTATTGAATTTTTGCGGCATGTTTGGGGCTTAATTTGAGAAACAAACCCTCCTCCATGACGCGAGTACGTGTCTTGGCTTGCCGGGAACTTGCACGAGCTGGAGCGAGTAACGAGTCCCATGTGATGATACCTGCATCAACAGTAATGATGGTTTCCTCCTGAATCACCATGATATTCTCCTGAAGTCACTCCAGCCCCAATGATGATGCGCTATCATAAGTTTGATATGGCCTGAGACACCGGTGGATTATCGCCAAACAGCAAATAGACGGCGGTAAAGAAGATTGAGCGCGAGGAGCGAGAAGACGAGACCCTCCTTTAGCTGGTCTGTGCCTCCGGCCACGTTCCTCGCTTCTTTTACCTTGATGCGACTTCATCTTAACTCAGCGTCAACCTCAATCATTAGTACCCGCTACCCGGGGTCTCATATTGTCCATCCGGTCACGACAGGGAGTATCTCGGTACGTAGTGTATTTGAGACGGCCCCTGTCTCTAGACCATATTGTTGCATCCTGAGTTCCTCATAAGTCGAACCATCAGTCTTCTTATAGAGCAAAAGCCTCTAAGCTTCGGGAGGGGCGTGTTTGGAACTTGAAAGGTCCCAGCGCCTCGAGACCCACTCGGCTTCGATTGAACCTAATTCATCCAACTTTTGGCCGAGCTTAATTGGAGTTATGAAGTCATGGTGTCACTGCTTCGGTATTGCATTGATCCAATAGATTTTGATGGAAAGGATCTTGCCGGGAAAGCAGAAGAAACACCACCGAGGGGAAGAAAGAACTACTAGGAGGTCCAGTATTTCCATATAATGCGCATCTTGCGTCTCAAAACGTGACATCGGACGGATGAAAATAGCACACTCGGTTTGGCCACTGAGTAGGAATCGATGGTGATTGGGGGTGTGAAGATAGACATACAACCAGTGCCAGAAGTGTATGCAGTAGTCCATCAATGCAGCCATCGGCCCGCCAGATAGCCATAAGCAACCTACATTACCACTTCCGAAGTCAGCCTTGTTCATTTGCTGCAGAAGTCAGGGCACGTGTATTAGAATGACCTCGTCAAACGTCGCATGATGCGAGGAGCATCTGTGCAAAGACCCCGTCCCATGCATTGGACCCCTATCGACATACAAAAAGCATCACGGACTTCTTGTTGCAGATGTATACAGGTACAGACCAGTGGATGTCGTTCTGTTTGAGATAAAACGAACCATGTGCACCCCAGACCATTTATTTGGGTAAAACGGGGATCGGAAAACCAAGCTGTCTTAGCTGCGCAGCCGGCTCGTTGATGCTGACACAGCTACCCAGACGACAGGAAGATAAACAATTATCACTCATCAATCATGGAGTTTAGTTTTTTGAGTAGATTCATGTCGTAAGAATATTATTTATGGCTAGATTTATTGCACTATTCAGGTCATACAGGTCATGTAATGTCATCCAACTATTATAACCCGCGTAAACAATATTTTTTTATGCTGAACCAGGTGAAAGAAGAAAAATAATACAGCCCGTTGGATACAGTCTCGGCTTGCTATGGAATATGAATAAAATTACAAAAGTCCTATAGCGACTGACGTAGTGCCACATTACTGCTATAACTCATAAGGAGGGGACTAGTAAAGATTATACTGTTGGGAAGAACGCAGGAACAAGAAGTCTCTGATTAATAACTCGCAATCGCATCCATTCACATCTTCCGAAGCGGCTCGTGGGGAGGGGGCTGATTATAATCCCCCAAGTCGTATGCTGGCATAGGTGGCATGGCTATGGGGAGAACCCCCTCCGTATGACGGCGTCTGCGCCTGCGCCACATGAAGATGCCACTCAGCAGGAGCACCAACATAACTAATAGTCATACACATCAGCATCAGTCTGTAATAAGCTGGGAATCAACGCGCTTACATAGTAGTCCCATGACGCCAAGGCTGGCTCCGACAAGACCCGTGAGGTAAGGACTACCCTGGGTCATGTTGATGTTAATGGATCCCTGATCTGGCGTTCGTCCACTACCTCCGCCTCCGCCACGTGAACCGCCCTCAGCATTGGTTAATCCGGCGGGGTTAGGAGCGGGGAAGACTGTGGCAGTGACTGTAACAGTCGCGGGAGGGAGGGTAATAGTGACTGTGCTTGTAGGAGTCTGCTGAACGGGCGGTCGAGGAGGCGGCTGCAGCGGCGGCGGTGCTACTGGAGGTCCGGGAGGTGGAGGTGGCGGCGCTCCGGGGGACAGAGGAGGCGGAGGTGGCGGCGCTCCGGGGGACATAGGAGGCGGAGGTGGGGGCGCTCCAGGAGACAGAGGAGGCGGAGGTGGCGGCCCTCCGGGAGAAAGGGGAGGCGGAGGTGGCGGCGCTCCAGGAGACAGAGGGGGCGGAGGTGGCGGCGCCACGGGAGAAAGGGGAGGCGGAGGCGGCGGCCCTCCTGGAGAAAGGGGAGGCGGAGGTGGCGGCGCTCCAGGAGACAGAGGAGGTGGAGGTGGCGGCGCCCCGGGAGAAAGGGGAGGCGGAGGCGGCGGCCCTCCGGGAGAAAGGGGAGGTGGAGGCGAAGGCGGCAGTGGCTGTGGCTGCGGTGACGTGGGAGGAGGAGGATTTGTAGGTGAGGGAGGTGGTGATACTTGTCGCTTTTGATGCTGACCAAAGATTAACGCAGCCGGAGGGGGGCCAGAAGCAGGAGGAGCATCGGCTGGAGGAGCATTTGCCGGTGGACCCGCAACTGGAGGAGGATTGGCTGGATCGGCTAGAGGAGGAGCTGGTGCTGGAGCTGGAGCTAGAGCCCCTGGAGGAGGGGGTGCCGGAGCTGGGGCTCCTGGATCTGGAAGTGGTGCTGGAGGAGGAGCTGGGGCTGGAGCTGGGGCTGGAGCTGGAGCTGGAGCTGGAGCTGGAGCTGGAGCTGGAGCTGGTGCTGGAGCTGGTGCTGGAGCTGGTGCTGGTGCTGGAGCTGGAGCTGGAGCTGGTGCTGGAGCCCCTGGAGGAGGGGGTGCCGGAGCTGGGGCTCCTGGATCTGGAAGTGGTGCTGGAGGAGGAGCTGGGGCTGGAGCTGGAGCTGGAGCTGGAGCTGGAAGAGGGGCCCCTGGAGGTGGAGGAGGTGCTGGAGCTGGAGGAGGGGGTGCTGGAGCTGGAGGGGTTGAGATGATAGATGTGCGGTGGAAGGGAGTTACATAAGCGAAACAATCTTTCTCCCTGCCCGACTCGCCACGTACTAACCTCTCGGACAGAAGTGGTCTGCCCTTACGAACCGACACCAATCCATAGAACCCCAGCTAATCATCGTACGGGGCCCTTAGGAAGTACAATTTTCACCACGTCACCCAAAACTAACGTCCATCGCATTGCTCCTTACATGATCGCATCGCTCCATCCCTATAGACGAGTTAGGAGTCCCATGGTGCCCGTCGGTTGTACACTTGTCGACGGT